AGGTTTAACATACAAATTAATTTTTTTAAATAGAACCTTGTAAATTTTTAACAGCGGTAAAGTAGTATTTGTGTAGACAAATTCATCGAGGCAGGTACGTGATTATTTATTGTAATATCATCCATTTTATCCAAAGGACACGATTTGTATCTGAAGGCCACGGTTAGTGTTAACCAGACCTGAGAATTTTTTAAATGACATTATTCGAGATATTATTTTATTTCATAATTATCTTCACACCTGTGATCATTTTCGAAATAAAATTATTTGATATCAGGTAAAATCGCAAGTAGGTACACGACGATTTTGAATTTTTGAAGATGAAACAGCAAACAATTCCATGTTTGTTATCCAAACTCAACTAGAAATAAATATATTGACATTTTGGCAAAATGAATGATCGATTTGTCTACGTCAAACGGTTATTCGATTATAAAAGACGTTTAACCAAAGTATATGACACGTTTTGCGACAATGATAGACAGATTCAGACAAAAATCTCTCAAATAATAATTACACACGTAACATTGAGAATAATTTCTCATTATTTCTTATAAATTTGGAAAAAAAAAAGAAACCAAATAGTTGGTTACTTGAAATAGCTATTACTTCAAATGAAATTTATATTGTTTTCATTTCCAAACAACTGTATTGAAAATAACGGTTCGAAATAAATTATTTGTAACAGTTGTTTCACATTTTCATTTCAATTAAAATTTGCCCAGATCTGGTATCAACCCCGACAAAGTTCTTACTCAAAGGCCCTGAATCTCGTTTAATCGCATAAAACACCAAAACGAATTGAAAGGAAAGATTAGACGTTACCTGAATTTCGTGTTCTTCGATGTCAGCAAGGATGCGATCTTTCAATTTCTTCACTTCGTACGTAGTCAGTGTATCCGCCTTCGCTATCACGGGGACAACGTTCACTTTACGATGCAATCGTCTGAGTATTTCCAAATCGAGCTGCCTGAGTCTACGTAAAGAGGAAGTAAAAGGGGAGCAAAAAATGTGATATTGGCAAGCTCATAAGGGAAGTAAACGATCTATAGCTCGAGTTGAGAATTAGAGAAGTGAACAGAGATGAAGATCATCGTTAATGTAACGTAATGGCATGAAAATTAGACGCGAACTGGGCCGTTGGTTGTTGTTGAGTTTTTTTAGAATTTTGATTTTTTTTTTTTTTTTTTTGTTTCGACGTGGATGATCTACCCTGAAACTACGTTTTTTAAGTCTGTGATGAAGAGATCTCTAGAGATAATGAAGCAATCTGTTAGGTCTAGCGGAAAGTTCTGTCCGTTTTTAGAATGAAACAAAATAATAAATTTCTCATACCTCGAATCAATTTTGTTGGATAACGTAATTTTTATTATTATTTATGACATCTTGCCAGTGTGATTGCAATTTGTATATCGTTTTTAACGAATATGCGCATACTCGTTGAAACTTGTTGTAACCGGAATGGTCAGAACTTTCCGGTAGACCTAATACTTCAAATTTAATTGAGCATGTCCCAAAAATATTGATCTATGGCTGGTACTAGAATTACCGTTACATCTACATTCCCATTTCATTTTTTTACAACGACAACGTTTCGTCAACGTTTAGGCTAAATAGAAGAATTTTTCTTATAAAGAAAAAACACACGTAGGCACATTTATACAGGGTGTCTCAAAAATATTGGAAGTCCTTGAAAAGAGTGGTTCGGGGGGTGATTTGAAACAACTCTTTCCTTAGCGAAAATGTTGTCCGAGGCTTCGTTAAGGAGATATTAACAGAAAAGCCCGGACCAATCAGAGCGCGAGTACGCCGTCGGACCGCCCCGCAGTAGCGTAGGCTACGCGCTCTGATTGGTCAGTGTTTTCCGTTAATATCTCCTCAACGAAGCCTCGGACAACATTTTCGCTAAGGAAAAAGTTGTTTCAAATCACCTCCCGAACCACCTCTATCAATGTGTTACAACATTTTTGGGACACCCTGTATATAAAAAGAACCTACTTGAATTTTCTGTTTCATATGATCCCTGGCGCCATTTCTTTCAATGCCGAGAATCTTTGTTCATTTCAGATGCCTATAAATAACAGCTTACAAATGAGAAAGCTTTTATGATTCTCATATGCACCGTAGAGAAACCAACGAGAAAACATGATAAATTAAAACTCTTTCAGGGCCAATACTTTAAGAAACTTGAGTTACAGTTTACGTACTTCCCTTATCAATAAAAAATGGAAATCAAAGTCGAGCCCGCATACCCGTGACCGTAAGGAGGGATAAAGTATAAACAACAGTGTACTCGGTTATCCTGAATGTTCTTCCTGTTTAGTCCGCTTTCGTCAGTAAAATATTGGCGAAACTGTTCGTCTATGTAGGCCGAGCACGCTTTCCAAGTGTCTTCACAGTTCACCGCATCGCCAAATCCTAAACACACCGACTTGATCGTTTGCATGGAAACAAGAGTTGATGCTCAATTAAAACTTGTAACATTTAATTAAATCTCTCATAATCCTTTTCAGTCTCGCAGTATGGTTATTAGTCTTTAACTCCTGGCAATAATTCATTCGTTAATATTATTTCCATAATCGTTATTCTTATTTATATCTTTTGCGATGCTTTTTATTACTACTTAGTCAATATTTAGATATTTAGTAATAAAATTAGTTTTACACCCCTTTTGGACTTTTTGGAGTAGCAGAACTTGTAACGAAATTATTTATTACTTTAAGAAATTACTGAAAGAATATTTGTGTACGAGTATGATTTTAAAAATAAGAGAATTGTTTATATGCACCTTTTATTCGAACTCTGTAGCCACGTTTTTGTGTTCTTACTTTTATTTTCTAAACCTTTCTTGTTTGTTTAATATATTAAATATACAATGTATATATAATGTATATATTACATAGGACAGCTGTGTTTTATTTCGGTATAATTAGGACATTAACCTCAACAAATTCCACAGTGAAAAATTACCGTTTAAAAGAAAATGCCATATCCCAAAGATTTCTGTGCGAAATGATTTAAAAGTATCACCAAATATGTTTCAAAACGTATCTAAAATGTTCTCGAAGTTCCATAAACGTTTTTATAAACTCTTCTCTGTAAAAAATAAATATCCGGAAATACGCTCAATATTTGGCCTTCTGAATTGAATGCAGGTATTCTTATCAGGTTCTCGACGGTGAATTAAATGTGTGTAATGGAATTTGAAAAGAAGTTTTTTATGATTTTGGAAAAAAAAATAATCGTATACCATTCAAAGAGCATATAAACAAAATTTGATTCGGATAATTTCATGTTTGAGGAACCAATTACAATTTTCCGGGGACACATTTTTATGAAAATCAGCTATCAGTAATATAAAGTTCCACATAAAATTTTAAAAGTATGTACTCTTGTGTGATTTCCGTCTGAAACGAATTAAAAATATTACCAAATATGTTTCCAAACATATCTAAAATGTTCTCAAAAGTTACGTAAACGTTTCTTATAAACTCTTCTCTGTAAAAAAAAAAAAATATCCCGAAATACACTCGGTATTTAGCCTTCTAATCTACATAGTTTCCTCCACGTGTAGTAATACGTTGAAAAACAAAAACCGTATTGCAAAGACCTAACGGTGTTCCCCACCGAACGTCCTAAACATCTTCAGACAGAAATCCCCCCTTCAAACCTTCTCAAACCTTCTCAAACCTTCTCAAACCTTCTCAAACCTTCTCAAACCTTCTCAAACCTTCTCAAACCATCTCAAACCTTCTATGGTTTTAAGGTTCAACGGGGCATCAATTTCTTAACTGACGATTCCGTGTACATTTTAGTCGTTCAAACGTAGAGCAACAAAGGTGCCATACCTGGTGTATCAACAATTGTCAAACGTAATCTGACACCGCGTTCTTCGATGTCCATCGTCTTCTTCTCTATCGTCGTTGTTTTTTCAATGCGTTCTATAAAATCAATGATTCGGGGGTCAAGGTGCTGCTTAAGCCGGCGACTGACTTGCAACAGAATATTGTAAGTAACGTAACGCGAGCATTCGCTTAGTTTGGCGGACTAACGAGCGACGTACCGAGCCGTTCTTGCGCTCGGTTCGCGCTCGACCGTGCTCCACTGGTCTGTCGGTTTTTTCGACGAACCTCTTTGATCGTCTACTTTTCACTGAACTGAGTAAGAAGCATCGAGAGAGAATTCAGCCGAGAGTTCGAGGCGGGCATTCGTGATTCCAAAAAGGACCTTCAAATGTTAACGTTGGCGTCGAACCGTAAAATTCGTGCCGAGCAGTTACATTAACAGCGTTCTGTTGCAAGTCGGTCGCCTGCTTTAGATCGCGAATCTGTTATACACGTTCGCTACTAACCTGCGGCATCGGGTATACGTCGTTCTTTGTAAAGATCTCCAAGAAACAGACTGTTTATCAAGGTGGATTTCCCAAGACCGCTCTCTCCCAGTACCATCAGGGTGAACTCGAACCCCCTTTTAACCGATTTTCTGTGCACTTGCTCGGGTAAGGTTGCAAATCCGATATAGTCCCTGTCTTGATGAACAAGATAAAACGATTAAACGGTGTGAAGCTTTTCTCCTTTATTTATTGTTTCTTCTCTCCTTTTCGTTTCTTTCGTTTCCTACTGTCCGTCTCCATCCCCGTAATACTCTCTCCTCTCGCGTTCCCTCTCGAAAGAAGAGAAGAAGACGAGACCTAAAATCAAAGGCATACACACGTACCGCCGGACATATTCACCACACGCGACGACACTTTGCCAGTGTCGAAATATCAACACTGAAAGACCGTTAGGATGGTGTTAGAGCACCGCACGGAACATGAATGAGGGTAGATCGCTACTGTTCTATCGCCCCCAGGATTCCGCTGCGCTGGCGCATTCGGCCCGACCGATCAATAACATACTCTACTGTGAATTCCAGCCTGTACTTTTACGATAGTTCCCTGCTTGCCAAACTCGCAGGTTTAACATGAGACACATCATTTAAACACCTGGAATTGATTTTTTTCTGCTTGAAATCACTTGAACCTTTTAACCACGGAATTATGTTTCGAACGTCCCTCGTGGGTGGCGTAATTAGAGTCAAGAAATGATTAGTACATTGTACGAAAGTACGAGAAATGCTTTTGTTATAAATTTTATGAACAAAAGGAACACAGAGAACGCATACGTTATTTTCTATATGAAATTAACGATTCATTGTTGAAGAGGTTATTCTTATTTATTGCGATATTAGTCTATGATGTATGAAGAAATATGAGAATATACAGGGTGTCCCAAAAATGTTGAAACGGGTGGTTCGGGAAGTGATTTGAAACAACTTTATCTTTAGCGAAAATATTGCCCGTGTAGTTGTCCGAGTTTTTAGTAACATAAAAATACTTTCGTTTCTGCGGGTGTGTTTTGCTCGACTTTCGTTCGACTCTGGACGCTCATATTATTAAATATCAACACACTGGTCCAATCATGACCAGAGCACCCTTCGTTGGACCTTCCTCTTTCGAATGAGCCCTCATTCAGCCCAAAATATGCTAATATAAGCGCGAAAAGCGAAAAATCCCGAACCCCTTTTTCGCTGCATTACTCTGTGCGTGTGTGTGTGTGCGCGCGCGCGCGCGTGTGTGTGACTCGATTTATGGGTTCCTATATCGCTAAACATGTTTATTTAAGGGATTTCAAAATTTCTTCACTGATGAAATATAACTTTAATCATTCCCCACACAAAGTGGAAAGCATTTCAACGATTCAGGAACTGTTACGAGCACGCCGAATAAATGATTGCTGCTGTATAGCCAGAAAGACGATGCGGTTTTATTATTAACTATAATTATAGGTATGGATCCGTATTAAAGTTCCCCCAAATAACTGTGATTCCATCTCGATTTCGTCGCACCCGCAACCAGAAGCCTGGTATAAAATCCACTGGCTTCGTAACATTAAGCTATTTTCTTTGGTGAAGTCTCCCGGGATCGTGGCAACTTGCTAATGATTCGAAAGGTTTGTAAAGCTATTCGTATTCGCCATTATTTGCATAAATTGATCCATTTTATATTTGGTCGTTTCGAGTGTGTCGAGTTGTCGAAAATTGTACAGTTCGGGACGAGGGGTCCATGTATTCGTATTTAGAACAGTCAACGAATACACGGTACCGTTTTCAATCGACTTCGAAAAGAAGGAGGTTACTCGATTCGACATGTATATATATATTTTTTTTTAATTATTTTTTTTTTTTTATGTATGTTACTCGATCACGCCGAGATGGCTTGACCAATCGGAATGAAACCTGTTGCATCTTGTAGAGCAAGTCTCCGGTGTGGTCCCATTATAACAAAATTTTAGGATTTCTCATTTTTCACCCGTTCTTTTTGTTATATACAGGCACTCGTATTAGCGACGATGTTGGCAGGTATTTTGAGCGAACCTCAAGGTCCTGGCTACCTTCCGCCAACACCATCACGTCCACCCATTGGAGGAGGAGGTGGAAATAGTGGCCATCCAGACGAGTGGGCTGGTGTAAGTAATCTTTCATTTTTTTAACCGACTTCGAAATGGAGGAGGTTACTTAATACGACATTTTCTTTTTTGTAAACGTATGTTACTCGATTACGTCGAGATGGCTTGACCAATCGGGATGAAACCTGTTGCATCTTGTAGAGCATGGCTTCGGGGTGGTCCCATTATCAAGACATTTTGGGATTCTCATTTTTTACCCGTTTCTTTTTTGCAAAATACCGAAAAATTTTGTACAGCTTCATACTCCGAGACCGATGGATCAATCGGATCGAAACCTCTTGCATCTGATAGAGTATCGCTGCCATTTGGTTCCATAAAAAAAAAAAAAACATTTGACCTTGGAAACCTAAAACCTTTGGAAAACGTTCGATAACGTACCGAACACGTAGAATTGCACTAAATTTCATTGTTTAACACAGTTCCAATCGATTCCACAGGCTGGAACGCTCGATATTCTCATTTATAGGAAACCGACGCCAACGGTATTGCAGCGACCTGAAACCTTCGGAAAACGTTTGATAACGTACCGAACGCGTAGAATTGCACTAAATTACATTGTTTTGCACTTTATTAATTGCACTCAACGAAGCCTCGGACAATATTTCGAATCACCTCCCGAACCACCCCTTTCAAGGTGTTTACAAATTTTTGGGACACCCTGTATTTTCATATGTCTACGGTTACGCTCCGATCACTGTATGAAGAGTAGGTTCGAGTGGTCCATGTGCTATATGGTCGATGATCCAATCGTAACAACTTACCATTGTACTACATATGAGAATTCTCTTAACTGTAGTACTTTATTCAGAGACTTTAATGAAACAGCCTTATTTACCCAGTAACCTCTTTTTCGTAGGATCCGGCGAATTACGAATTCTCGTACGAAGTGCAAGACGCAGGAGCCGGGTTAGACTTTGGTCACCACGAATCAAGAAAAGACAACGAGGCGAGTGGAACGTACCACGTGTTGTTGCCGGACGGTCGAACACAAATCGTCGATTACGTTGCCGACGGTGGCGGGTATCGTCCAATGGTACGATACGAGGGCACAGCAACGTATCCAGCTCCGGGACCTCCATCATCGGGCGGTGGATCAACCAGTAACGAGGGATACAGATATTAATCGATTATTCGAAAACAGTCCCCCCAAATAAAGATAAAAACGAAGATTTGTTAGGCAGTGGAGTTATTTCAGAAATAAGAAGAGGAATAATTTCTCGCCCGGATAAACAAACATGACGTACGATTAGAATTCATAAAACACCGTTATACTCGTAATATCAACAAATTATTCGATTAAATAAAATTGTTAACGTGTTCTCCCGCTTCTTAATTGCTTCCTCGACGCTTCACGATGTCTTGTGCTTCTGAATGAACTGCAACACTTCCTCGACATCCTCTCGTGATCCCAAAAATATGGGGGATCTTTGATGAATAGTCTCGGGTACCACGTTTAAAATATCAGTTTCCCCGTTTGATGCTAAACCGCCGGCTTCCTTAAGTATGTAAGCCATTGGGATACATTCGTATAAAAGTCGAAGCTGCAAATAAACGTTTGCGTTTCGTTGTGTTAATAGAAGAAAATAAAGGAAAATTAAATGTGTAAAGAAACGAAGGTAGGAATGATCGTTGAATCAGATACCTTGCCAGTTGGGTGAGTCTTGGTTGCCGGATAGAGAAATATTCCTCCATATTTGATTGTCCTGTGCACGTCAGCGACCATGGAGCCCACATATCTCGCACTGTACGGTTTTCCACTGGTGGGATATTTTTTAGAACGGATATACTCTTTTATGGATGTATCCCAGATACTCTCGTACCCTTCGTTAATACTGAAATAATGACTTCCTATTATAAATTACGAATTTTTTCTGGATTTTCTTCCTTCTTTCTATGTTCTTTTTCCACGATGGTTCAATCTATATGAAAGTATTGAAATTTTATATTATACACTCTTGACCAATAATAATTTCCATACACCAGCACACCTGTAACTTTTCCAAGGAAAGACGAACGTAATTAATGCCTGTAGAACGTAAACGAGTCGAACTGCTATTGCAAGTTTGCAGTCATTTCATCAGGCAATTGAGTGATGCGACCATTTAACGGTTATAATATAATGGAATTTAATGATGCAATGATTTACCGTTGTAAAGATGAATTTGAATAATTAAACAATTTAGCGAGTATACGATAAACATAGTGAGTACTATTGAACAATTGTGTATTCCTGATTTGTATAAATTTAGAGAAATAATTAGTAATTGATCGTAATAATTACATTAATAATGTGAGTCAAGTATAATATTGAATTTGTAGATATTAGGTCATATTTTGTCATTAGAGAATTTAAAAAAAAAATATTTAATCGTATTTAGTGTTCGTTTGTTGTAGTCGGTTAAATTTAGTTTTAAAAGATTCTTCTTTTCCTTTTGTTGGCGAAACTCTCCGTTCGAATCGCGCGCCATACACGACAATAATTCGCAGCAGCGCATCTTGAACGCGCTTTGTTAACGGCAGAGATGGGCAAAACCCTAGGCTTCGATTAAATCGGAAGTTTCCCGATGTGTTTGTCTCGTTTCTTTCTCTGGAAAATGTTCGAAAGAGGAAACGAGACAAACATATCAGCAAACTTCAGATTTATTCGAAGCCTAGGGTTTTAACAGAATTCCGAATTGACTTGAGCGACAGTCGCGGAAAAAGTAGGAAACTCCGGGACAAGGACAGAGAGGGCGATACAACAATTGCAGGAGAGACGAGGACAGCGCGATTACGGTAGCATGATTTTTGTCCAGGATATTGAAGCAAAGAAGCAATCTTTTCTAATAATTCTGATTTTAATATATTCGTTACACCTTGGCGGATGCGACTGCAAGGCCTGATTTTGCAATTTCGGCCTTGAAACTTTATAAACAATAAAAGTACGTTTTTCTTTTTCTTATAGAAGAAATTTGTTTACATATACTTTTTCCAACATCAGGCCTTGGAGTCGCGTCCATCAAAGTGTAACGAATATATTAAAAGTAAAATTATTAGAAAATATTGCTTCTTTGCTTCAATATCATTGAAAAAAATCATGCTAGTCTAATCGCCCTGTCCTCGTCTCTCCTGCAATTGTTGTATCGCCCTCTCTGTCCTTGTTCCGGAGTTTCCTACTTTTTCCGCGACTGTCGCTCAAGTCAATTCGGAATTCTGTTCTGACTCCTGCGCACCCATGAAAGACGCCATTATTAGTTTACTCTTGGCACGATCGTCACGTGTTTCCTCTGTTCTGCGCTTTTCTGTATTTTCACGCCGTTCACACGAAGTTTGATTCAATTTCAGTCCACGCGATTGCTTTATTCTACTCGATTAATCATAGTTAACGTATTATGTATTAATCATAGTATTAGTGTTGTTACTCGATGTAAATACTCTGTAGAATCCGTGTGTTCGTTCTTCATAACTTTGTAAATAACTGTGCCCTGTTTTCTCGTTATCATTACACAATCAACTCTATAGTTTTAACTCAAGGTGTGTATGCCATTATTCAGAACTCTCAGACCACAAAAACTCTGAAACACTTTTGTTTAAAAGCCCCATGCTACGCTTCTGTCACTTGAATTAAAAACTATATGATCTAATACGTGTACCTGTTGATATCATTAACCTATAAATAACATTAATTCATTAAGACCTACAGAAAAGAACATAGAAACGAATGAAGAAAAATCGGGAAAAAACATTTCTTGCCCGGGGCGCCAATATTGCTAAAACCGACCCTGACTGTAGCTTAAGTAAAAATATTCACTCGTCATTTTTTTAGGTTAAACTTTCATTTTGGTTAAAACTGATGAAATCTTGTAATGTTTGCCTTGAAAAGTGCGAAAATGCAAGTTAAAAGTTTAGGTACAAACTTTGAGAGGTTTGTACGACGCCATATTGCCTCTACCCATCCTCTTATTGGTTCACACGGATGACCGTTCAATTCGCACCTCTGTTCAATCCTTCGTTTCTTTCATATTTCTTCCGAGTGTTTGAAATAACGAAAAAATAAGTTCAGGAGTCTAGGAATTAAGGATTAAGAATTAAGGATGCTATTTAAATTTTGTAAAAGGTCTTTTAAGCGAATACACACACACATCTTTATGTACTCGTATCTTTTAAACTATTGGTTTCCTAAACTTTTAACTTGCATTTTCGGACTTTTCAGGACAAAAACTATAAGATTTGATGAGTTTCAACCAAAAAGAAATGGGCCTCTGAGCCAAAGTTCAGCCTTTTTTCACGTTAAATTATTAACTTTCTAACTTCTCAAACTGATCTTCATTACAATGAATGTATGTATACATAAACTAAGTCTCAACCCGATGGTCATTACAATTAAGCATCCTTTCATTCAATACCTATATATTTCACCCCTTGAAGGAATTTTCATGTTTCTTTCCGTCAAGATAAATTCACCGATTGCTGGATCGTAGATGAAGCCGTTAACTCCATGACCGATCGAGAGTACTATCATAGTCGCGGAACCATAAAGCGCATATCCGGCAGCAACCAAATTCTTTCCAGGTTGAAGGGCGTCTGCCGCCATAGGTCCCTTCGATTCATCAGGCTTCTTGTAAATACCAAAAATCGAGCCAACCGATACTAAACAATCTATATTGGAGGATCCGTCCAAAGGGTCAAAGCAAATTATGTACTTCCCCCGCTTTTCAACTTCCACTTCGATAGCTTCCGCATTCTCTTCACTCACGAGGAGGTAACTCTTAAACGTGGATGTTAACATATTTATGAACAACTCGTTGCTTAGAACATCCAGCTTCTTTACTTCCTCTCCTTGAATATTCTTAGATCCGGCTATTCCATACCTGTGCCGAATATTAAGAAACAATTAGCCACTTACCAAATGTACTTTAGAAATAAATTATAGACTTTGTACGGTAACATTAAATAATCTCATTCTGTCGAAGTAAAATCTGTAACCATAATTCAAATTGCGCGCGATTATTAATGCGCCATCTTTTTCAAACGTCCTCTATCAACTGGATAAATGAAGCTATATTCTCATTTGTTTTCAAATTTTTGAATGTGTCCGTGATATAAAAGCAAGGTATTTATTTAATACATTTAAAAAAAAAAAGGGTTAAACATCTTTTTATAGAAACTGAAATTACTTTTATTTGATGCTCTTATCTCTTTATTGTAACCCCGTGAAAGCTTATTTTTTTTTTCATCTCTTGGCTATTTCAATAATGAACATTTATTAAAGCAAAGTTGATAGAAAACCTTAAACAATTATAAAACCGATAATTTTCAAAATTTATTTAAGTCGTTCGAGATACGTTCAAATATTACTAAAGACTACAACATATTCAAATTTCATTAAAATCTGAGGTGTTACTTCAAGAAGTATCAAATTTCACATGAAAAAAACGATATTGTTTTGCCTGTAAAATAATTGCTATGCACAATATCGGAGAAATACGCAAATGATTCTACGCCAATGAACTATAAGCGCAATCAAACACGTATTGAACACTACTCTATTTAAAAAGCACGTGCGAATTAACTTGTGCAGAGGATTAAAAAGGATAATAGTAACATTTGCCTTTTATAAAGTATTTCAGAGACAGAAAGTGCTTCTCAAGGGAATTAGCTCCAGGCCCCGATATATCTAGATCCGCTACTGCTTACCATCAGCTCCCCGTGTGTATAGTTTCTTCATTGAATATCCGTATGTATGTGTCCGCGTATGGGATAAAGTACACGATTAAGTACTTACATGCTAGCAATGCCGGCTTTTCTAACTGCCGAACTAACCGCCTTTACAGCGGTTTGTATGTTGTTTAAAAGTTGACTTAAATCTCCCGTGGCGGTTGGTATTTTCCGTTGCTCCGCGAGCACGAATCTCGTCAGGGTCATGCAGTCGGAATCAAAAGGAGATTCTTTGGAAGTCATGTTTAAGAAAAGTTATGTTCCTCTGGCCAACGGGGATTTAACAATGAGACTAAGCAAATACGTTCAGGCGTTGTCTTATATAAGGTCGACTGGCTTGGCGATACTCTATGTACACTTAGTTAGCTTATCGCCGAAGTGAAAGCGATAGAAGAGGGAAAACATCTCGTGCAATACGAACTAATTTATTTTAAGACTCGCTGCCGTTTACAAGTGCACCGGCTTATTCAACATCATTTTAAGAAATAAACGGTCAACTAAACGACGATACAAGCATTCGTAAATTTCTTTTCTTTTTTTTTTTTTTTTTAAGTAAGAGGAAATAGGTTATTTATTTTGTTTAAAACTAACACTGTGTTAAAGTAACTAGCGGTGCTATTTCTTTTTTACCGTTTTAGTCGAAGTAGTATATTTAATTGTCAACTTTTTCCGTTGAGTTTCTAATTTTAACAAATTTCTTCATGTTGATTAATGGTTCTTTTTCTTCGTTGGTACATTCTTATTTATAGTTGAATTAATTATTATAGTATATTATAATATATAAATATTATAGAAATAATTAGAAATAACTATTTATAGTAGAAATAATTTATGTAGAAATTTTACTTTTCGAAATTTGTTCGCTGTTATTTGAACAAAGTTTTTTTTTTTTATAATAAATTAATATTTATTGAAAAATATGTAAAAATTAATATATCTACATGGAATCTGCCATTTAAAATTTGTTTAGTTCAACTCCGATTTTGTATTTAACTTAACGAACTTTAGAACATGAACCTGCGCCGTAACGCTCACGGCTACAACAGCTTCTGTTGAGAACTTGAATGTTTTCGTATATCTAGTAACCTGTAAATGTTTAAAGCCATTTTTTTATAAAAACGGCTGGCCAGATACCCCTAATGTTTTGCACTTTTTTTATGCCCATCAGCCCCCATCATTTGAACCCGGTCTCGTTCAAAAAGCGCTCGTCCGGATCGCGACTTTCCCTTGTAAATAATAATGTAAATTAATACAATAAGCAACAAAAATGACGACTTCCTCCATTCTATCTATAATATACAAGAGATATCGAGGGTGTCCCAAAAATGTTGTAACACCTTGAAAGGAGTGGTTCGGGAGGTGATTTGAAACAACTTTTTCCTTAGCGAAAATATTGCCCGAGGCTTCGTTAAGGAGATATTAACGGAAAACACTGACCAATCAGAGCGCGCGTATACCGTTGGAGCAGCCGCGGTAGCGAAGGCTACGCGCTAAGCAGCCGCTCCACCGGCATATTCGCGCTGCGATTGGTTAACAGTGTTTTCTGTTAATATCTCCTCAACGAAGCTTCGGACATTTTTGCTAAGGAAAAAGTTGTTTCAAATCACCTCCCGAACCACTCCTTTCAAGGTGTTACAACATTTTTCGGACACCCTGTATGCATTGAATAGAGCTTATTATACATAACATACAAATTTTAATTAACGAAACAATAATTGGATTTTGCTAGTATTTAAGCGTTTGCATACAATAATTCATTGTTCTCAGCAGTTCTCTGTAAACTATGTTGATTGTGATGTGTCATATATATTAATCATCACAATAATCACGAGAAAGTATAGATTACTCAGGCAATTGTCTTACATAACCATCATGTTATGTACAAGTACATCGCAAAATCAACAACGATGTCATTTCTTAATTCTGTTTTTCGACAATTTCGATTGCCAAAAGAAATGATCATGTTTATATATAGATGAATCGTGAAAAACAAAGTTAAGAGTTTTTAAGTTCGTAAACACAGCAGAGACGAATTAAGAAAGATTGAGTAAGATTCCGATTGACTTGGCCCACCTCGATCTACATGTCTGCAGAATGATTCTCTCATTAATTTCCCACACAGGTACTAGTAAAACTAGGGTAAAAGAACCCTGTTTTCAAATGTATTTAATTATTTCGGGATAATACGAATGAATAAAAATTCTAGACTTTGTTATATATTCAATACTTTATTACTTAATGGGATTTAAAGAGATCACATACTGAATGTACATATAGAAATAGAAGAAGACAATAGTGATAATTGTATTCCTTTAGAAGATATTTCCATTTTACATGTGTCTTTACCAAATAATTCTGTCAATATCATAAATGCAACACCAACAAAAACTTCAACAGGAAGTTATTAACACATTTATTCGATTGTTCATTGACTTTCTACAAACAATTTAGGCACTTTATGTATTTATTATTTTAAATAATAAGTATTAAAAATAATGAAATGGTTAGCGTATGAGTTATTATGCCAAATTTATCATAGTACATGCAGGCATAATAGTTTAATTAACATATAAGTATAAACTTGCGATTCATGAACACGAAATTGGTATCGCCATCTAGCGGTCAAAAAGCCGAACTAATTTAAAAAATATATGTATATATAACCTATTAATATCTCATTTTCCCTATGATTGACTTGATAAAAACTTAAATAATGAGCGTAGAAAATAATAAAACAGTTAGCGCATTTGTGATTACATCAAATAAGTAATTTTTAAAAATAAATAAATTAATATTCGTTTTAGTCCTTAGTGGCGCTATCGGTGGGAAAACGCCCAAGTTTCTCCCGAAATAGTTCCCTCTTCTCACCGCTAGATGGCGCTACCAAGGTCTAATTATCGACATTACAGTATATTTAAATAAATTGTTTTATTAAATGAAATAATAACAATTTAACTATACTACTAGCATAACAGAGCTTTAAAACGTATTAAAATTAAAGTAGGATTAGGTTTTTCTAAGTTTTAATATTTTCTTTACGCAGTGGCGCTATCTAGCGGTGAGAAGATGGAACTATTTCGGGAGAAACTTGGGCGTTTTCCCACCGATAGCGCCACTAAGGACTAAAACGAATATTAATTTATTTATTTTTAAAAATTACTTATTTGATGTAATCACAAATGCGCTAACTGTTTTATTATTTTCTACGCTCATTATTTAAGTTTTTATCAAGTCAATCATAGGGAAAATGAGATATTAATGGGTTATATATACATATATTTTTTAAATTAGTTCGGCTTTTTGACCGCTAGATGGCGATACCAATTTCGTGTTCATGAATCGCAAGTTTATACTTATATGTTAATTAAACTATTATGCCTGCATGTACTATGATAAATTTGGCATAATCAGAAATGCGCTAACCATTTTATTATTTTCTATGCATATTATTTAATTGTATTTAAAATAATAAATACATAAAGTGCCTAAATTATTTGTAGGAAGCCAATGAACAATCGAATAAATGTGGGCAGTCTGGGACAACTACTCTAAAAACACTTTCAAGAGAGATACATTTAGTAAATGTTTATAAAGAAATTATGCTATACATGTAGAAAATGTAGGAAATATAAACATGTATTTACTTAGAAAAACTTCGGTTATATTTTGAATGTATCACCAGTATATTTAAATTCTTTTACAAAGATTCTTATAAAATTGCAAATCTTATCATGAAGCTAGTCAATTTTTACAACGGCCGCTATCTTAGGTCGTCAAATTATTTGGCAATGCACGATAGTCTCAATTGATTACGATAAATTCACATTTAATTTTTGATTGTTCTGTATTTTGCCTTTACACATATATCATATATACCGCAACAAACGTTTAAAACTTCACGTTTATTCTTAAGACCCGTTCGTTCGTTCCTTCTTTCACAATCGATAGCCGAAGATAGTATCTTCTCGATTTTTTGTGTGCACCATTCCAAGACACTTATTTTTCGTATTTATCATTTATTGCTCTGGTAATACTAAACACACTCAAAAGTATGAATTAATATTCTAAATAATTTTACATAATGTTTGTAACCAAATGTTTGAGGTGTATCAAAAAGACTGTTGTTTCCTCTGATTTCAATAGGTAAATGCCGAATATAGACACAAATTAATTCATTAATTTTGACCTGACAATATATAGTCAACAATGTCGTACATGCTTACAAAATTTAATTTTGAATCTACTTTTATTCCCTCGAAGAGAATAAACGTGCTTCTTCAGTAATCTTTTCTATTTTGATGTCCTGGAAGTGTTGAGCAAAACTTAATCAAAGCAACAGTTACAATTGAAACAGATAAACGTTAACCGTTCGCGACGATTGCCCGATAAGTTACATTCACTTTTATTATAAATATAAAATTTATGAATTTACAAATTTCAAAACCTTTTCCATACACTTGTTATAAACAGAAATTTCATTATAAGTAAATGATTTTTCTACGAACAAATACTAAATTTAATGTACTACAAATAGAAATAGTGTAAATTAATTTCTAAATGTTGTATAAATGTAGAAAATTTACACATATTTATTGGAGATTCATTATTTATCAACTTTATAAGTTTATAACAAATCTATGAAAAGGTCGTTAGGCAGAATATTAGTTTGATTAACGATTACAATTACAAATGTATAATCGGTAATGGCAATTACAGATTATAATTTGTAATCGCTAATCACGACTAAACCCAATTACAATTATAAATGACAACTGTAACAGCAACTACCTGCAATTAAAATTACAGTACAGTACAGATTAGTGTTGATGTTTCTGTTGCTTATTACAACTAATATTGGAAATGGGTTTGAAATATGGCGACCGAACGCTGAGTTTCCTAGCGTAAAACTAGGTGAACGATAAAATATTGTTGTCCCTGGGTAAGATTATTGTACATCTTAAACGATCGTTCTAAAATTAAAAAGTTCCTTACATTCGTTACGATAATAAAAACAATTCCTATTGTCATCCATTATATGCGTTCACTTATTTTGCTTAATATTTTAGAATCTCGAATACAATCGACAAATTTACTGTAAAATTAACTGAGGGCTAAGCATTAGAATGTTATAACAATAACATTATTGGCAAATTACTCTAATGTTACAATTTTGTTTGGTCTATCCAAAGATTGTTGGTGACACTGAAGAGGTCGACTGGTCATCCGGAAAACTAGTAAATCGAGACTTTTGTTTACAATTTTAATCGACGTAGGTTGCAGTTTCCTAACTAAAACAGATAAAATATTAAAATAAATTTAGAGAAAGCAGAAAATAAAGTGGCGCCAAGTATTTATTATAATGTATTTATTAATGAAGAAAGCATAAGTATATAAAAGAATTGACTTGGAATTAGTTGAATTAAACTTACGAGATTATGAATGTGCGATGTAGTTAGAACGTCGGTGAATTCAAATTTGGACTGCCTGGAGTCGAAGTAGGAGTCGATGGAGTACCTGGCGGTGACGATTCCAGAGGACAGACCAAATTACCATAATCCGCTTCATTTTTGCTCTTCTTACGCTTTAATGTAAACTGAGATTTCTTTGGTACCTGCAACAATGTATTAATAAGATATATTTAAATTGGAATATTTAAATTTAATGAGAATTTGTTTAGACACAAAACAATATTTCTTGAATTACTAAAACTTATACTATTAACTATTCACGGTAAGTTCAAAGAATATGTAGAGATGTAGTATGAACGTAGTATAATTATTTATGAAAAAGAAACTACAATAAATATACGCCAAAGCATAATGCAGGGGAATCTCCGAATGACAATTACTTTAATATAAAGCAAAAATTACTAAAATTACCTTCAAGCGAGCGGTAAGCGTAAGTGGAATGAATCCAAGAGTGCTTTCAATTTCCCTTTTTCTCTGTACAACTTCTCTACCGAGAATTTGATTGAAATGTGTTGTTAAATGTCTACGAAGAAGAGTTTTTCCAGGGGAAATACTAAGCAACGTAGCCAATAATTCTGAAGTAAATCTGCCTTCGTACATCATTAAACCTCCATGTAATCCGGATCCTCTCATATTGGGTGCGTATTCTGCCAAATCAACTACTCTGAGCCATTCCATTACTCGATGGTTTGTCCAGAGACGAACATTACTACCATCAGCTCCGTTACCGTTTGCAGATCTTCTTTCAAGGTTATCAAACTCAAAATTTAATTCACGAAGAACCTAAAAACTTAGATATGTTTAATAAAAATAGAAATGATCAACCAAGTATGTCATTTTTTCAACGGTACATTTATATATTATTTATTAATGAGAAAACAACAATCCTACGATTTCCTACAGTAACATGAAATGGAAAAAAGAAGAAAATACATATTTTACCTAACTTTCATTTTATAACACTATTTGAGTTACAAATGTATATTGTTTAATTTTGTTTCGTAAGTAACTAGAGTACAATACGTAGATTAAATTTAATTATTTTTAGTATTATTTATATTGCTAAAAAATTATATCTCAAATACCTGAATTCCTCGTCTAAGACTTGCAGCATGTAATTGTGCAGTAACTCCAAGATTTAAAAGATCTTCGGTAGTAAGTCTATGTAACATTCTACCATCGACTTTACCGATTTGAAAAGCTTCTTTATGTTGTGGTAAACCAATATCATCGAGCCATCGTAGAACGGCTGCATTATCCATCTATGAGTTTAAGAATTTTTAGACTTTATATATTTTATAATAGTTTACGGCTTTAAATTTAATTGCAGTACGAAAATTAATTAACAATAATAAAGTTATGAAAATTACCTTATCCGATCCAAAAAACTCACTGCCGCCATATTTTTCTGACTCTATTGCGTACAACAATTTCTTTCTGTGAAGAATATTTTTTATTTCCAGCTCTCTTTCTAGCTGCTGTTGTGAGCATTCAAGTAATTTTGCTCCAGTTGCACCCCATCGTCTTAATTCACCCGCATAACATTCTAATCCTAGATTCGCGAGCCAATCTTCAATTTCTTCCATCGAGAGCTCCGCCAAAGGTTTCTGAGTTTCTAATCGAGAATTTGGGTCTCCTATAATAATCGTTTTTTCTTCTTCAGCTAAAGTAGAAAGACAAAGAGGTAATTAATTTTCATTTGACAGCATTTAATTCTTATCGGATTCGAATGTGTATCAAATACTATTAAGGACAATCTAAGAAAATATTCTGAGGTTACTGAAAACTCAAACGTTAAACAAAACCTGGAAGTATGTTGGAAGAAGATAATGTTCAGTAACAAGACACTTTGATAGTAGAATTATTTACTTGTCATTATTGTCTTAAATTCAGACCAAGATTTAATCCAGATTATTAATAAACACTTAGGAGTTAATTATAAAACAAACACAACTAGTGTATATAAATATTGTTAATATTAAATAAAGTTCATGAATGTTTCTAAGTGAAAAATAATTGTTAGGTTTGAGTTTTTACTGGACTAACACTTTGATGTCTATCATAGTAAGTGTCAAGCTTCCATTCTATCTTTCAGGACTTGAAATGCATTGAACGCTGTAGGTGTAAAAAAATAATGATTTTAATTTCGTTCTTGCCGGTTGTTCATGCTAAGTACAATTTGTACACTTCAATGCTAAAGTGTCAGAGTTTTGTATCAGGTTACATTGGAGCATTTTAATCAAAAGAAACGACTTACACTCGAAAGCCTCAGTTAGTATCAAACATAATACCCCTAACAGTTCACTTGGCGAAACATAGTAATGTCGGTGCTGCAGCGAAATGATTAGTTAATTGGTAATAAATAATTAAGTTTGATACTATTAGCCACGACTGCCTGTCATGCAAACAAAAATAAGTAGCAGTTGTTTCTTTCTGAAAAAGCATGTGAAGATGCATGCTTAGACGAGAAATCAATCGCAACCTAGAGTAGGCGCAGACAGGCATCTCGCGGAGACTCCCCTAATGGCCAGTGGTACCGTCGTGTGTGTCCCTGAAGCTAAACTTGAAACCTTACCGAATGCTACGCCTTTCTTTGAAGAATTCGGCGGCCTAGGAAGACTGCTATATTGGCTGGTATGCCTTTCAAATCGCTCTTCCTGTAATAATTGTACAAAATTGTGCAAAAGATAAATTGAAATATATAATTCAATTTAATTAAGATAAATTAACTTACATTTGACATAAGGTTTGCACTACGAAGTGCAAGATTTTCGTGTTCTAAATTTGTTAGTCTAAGCTTCATTTCTGATAAAGAGCTTAAAAGCTCTAACTTTTGTGTTTCCAAAGCACTTCTTGAAAGTACTTCCTTTAAAGATAGAAATTGTTCATATCAAATTAAAATAAAAATAAGATTGGAATAGGAATATTAAGACTAAAAAAATTGATGAAAACGAATACAGACACGGTAAGGAAATTGATGAAAATTTGATATTAATGGAAACAAAGAAATAAAATTACTTTTTGCAGTGCCTCTTCCATTCTTCTAAGAGAATCTTTCTTTTCTCTGAGCAAACTTTCCAATTCTTGAATTTTAGTAGACTGTGCATCCACTTGCTCAGATAAAACTGACACTTCCATACGTAATGCCCCGCGTTCATTTTCTGATTTTCGTAAACGTTCCTACAATATGAAAATGAATATCACAAAAATCATATAATATTTTAGAAATTTAGAATATAAATTACATAATCACATTGAAATGTCGTGATCGTAATGCTACAATAATAAAAATTATTATTTATAATTTTTAAGAACACACATATATATATACTCCTTAATAATATTTTATAAAATAACAATTTCTTAAAAGTACAAAGCTAGAAAGTTCTCTAAGAAACTCTTGCAATTTTATATTACATAGAATTACACTGAAAGAGAGAATAATATTGAAATGCATTTTTAATCAATCTAGTTTATGTAGTAGTACTAAACTGTTTCACAGTTTTTCCAAAGTGTGATATAACATTCAAATTTTATGATAAATGTTTTTGATAGTATACTTTTATCCATATAATTTCATGTATTATTTTCATTACTTTCCATACTTTTCAATATGTTTTATTGCAAACAATGGTGTACCTCGCTAGGTGTTTGATACTCATTCCAATTTTGAGTATCATGAAAGTGCTGTAGGGAGCAACAATAAGGAGATTCTCTTCTTCTTAAAAAGAGATCTGTGTGCGACCTAGCTTTTTGTTCATAATTTATCCTATTCCTGAACTGTCGTTCTTTTCCTGACTCATAAGATTGATTGCCTCGTTTTCCTCTGTATTCTTTAGCATTTCCTTGATAACTGTGTTCTTCAGAACAAACTCTGTTCAATCACGTTACAAAATTAGGTGAATTTAAATACGAAAATAACAAAACAGGAAAGAAACATAAAAGAGACCTCATATTATGAACAGCAGAACAGCAGTGTAGGTGATTCCCAATGTGAGTCAAATTTATAGTTGCACAAAGATTAGGCTCACTTCCTCGGAAAGCAGGCAATTTACCATAACCCAAAGGGCAACTCTAAGAAAGTAATATGATTCCCCTAAATGCATCCTTATAATTTGTTAATGGTATTAATAAATTTAACAGCTATTAACATCATTAAAATTAAAGTAAAACTTAACAATTTCTATTATAGCAATTACATTGAAACAAATTTTAGTTTATACAACACCATATTACAATCAATGAATATAACCTGGCATCACTAGTTTTTTAAAACCTTCTCATTTTTTTAAATTTACATTTTCATTTTTAAAGACTCTCTTGTGTGTATCTGGCAAAAACAGCTACCAGATTAATATGTTTTTGATCAATAAAATCAGTATTTACAAATTCATCCTCTTCTTGTTCAGAATTCGATGTTCCTGAAGAATAATAGTCTTCTGAATGTACCATCCCATTCCATGTATCATCCCATTGTTTTATTCTTGGCATAGCTTCCAATGAGTCTGAAGCTAAATGAATTTTGTCAACTAATCTTTGGAAATATACTTATTAGATATACTATCTAATTTTCATTAAAATATTAATAAACAAATAAAATATTTATTTATATCAGCAATTGTTTAACACGCAAGTCATCCATTCTTGTTACATGTGGCTAATAAAAAATTGTATAAACAAATTTATTAATGAAACTATTTACTATAGATGAAATTCTATTTCTCTAAAAAAATTCCTTTTGAAGTAACTGAACAAAAATTATAAATAAATTTGTAAAATGATTATTCAAATGAAAATTATGCAATTCTGGTTCGATGACTTCTCTCAATACAGACAAATATTAATAGAACCTCATGCATGTTCTTTCTCATCTAATTCCATGTTCAACCTTATATCTTCAAAATTGTTAATGAGATTTCTTTATTCACGTACTTCCTCCAAATTTATTTACTTCCCTTGGAATCATTTCAATACAAGTCTATCTTTTACGAATTAATCTCAAGGAATTTTACCGATGCACTCGTAACGTGGTTCTGCATGAAACTAAAATTACCGTCTTCAAGTTTCTCAAGATGAGAATAGTCACATGGTACAATATACAAGGTGGTCAGTTTAAATGTGAACACCTGAACATTTGACACAAGAGAAATTTAGCAATTAATACATTTTTTTAAATCTGAAATTTTGTAAAATTAAAGTGCATGTAAACCTAATCATATTATTACCTTTCATAGTACTAAAAAGGCTTCTAAGTATGGAAACAACCCTTTAAAGAAACTCATTTTTTAAACGTTTTTTAATATCTCTGAAACCATATGGGATACTTAAAAAATTGAACATGAAATATTGTAGTTTCTGATGTAACTCTGCATTGTGACAAAAGATTTTTAAACAAATTATCATCATCCTCTCAACTTTGAAAAATTGTATTGCTCAATATTCAGATAGAACTACTTTTTCAAACGCTTTACAATCGTATGTACGAATTGACTGTTATATTTCAAAGGATAAACTTAATTTTTAAGTAATCCTTATTTATACATCATATCCTATATCTAAAAATAAGTGGAAATCTCTCTCCCGTTCTGACAGTCGACTTCCCACTAGAATTCATATATTGCTACGATTTTTCTCTTTTTTATATTTCAGTTTATATTATTATTAATCTATGTTATTTAACACAATCATCATACAATACGTTCTTGTTTGATTGTACGACCTACGATCACGTGGCACCTTCTTTGGGTCCACTTCCACTAGGAATTAATTAATAACCGAACATCATACAATTCCCGTAATATTGCTTCAGTAAACTTGATTCAGTTGAGTTTGTTTGAGTTCTCGATGAGACACATTATACATCAGAGGTTTAAGACCATTAGAATGCATTCCTAAAGATCGGTGACCTATTTCAGTTATATGTATACTACTTTTAACTTAATATGGAACCAGGATGAGAAACATGATTTTCTTATGATTTTTTTAACTAAATAATAGAGGTTTATTTTTATCATTACCTGTTCTAAATTAAAATATATAATGGATATATGAAATAGTACAAACTAATATAATGAAAATAATACATGAAAAATAATATGTTTTCAATTTAAAAAAGAAATTTATTTGACTTCGTCAGTAACTCCTATATTTCAAATTGTTTTATACCAGATCATGTAAAGCTAGGAAAGAAGTTGTCATACTAAGTTAAGCTGTGTCTTTGCAAAGTACATTGTAATAGAAGAAATAAGACATTACAGTATTTAACCCTTAACTACAGTAGTATGTACAAGTTATGACACGTAAACACATACGAGCTGTTCCAAGGACCATTCAGAAAAAAAATATTGTAAAATGAACAGAATAGTTTAATATAAGAATATAATAGTTTGATATACGAGATATACACTGTCGACTGCTACATAATGCAAATTGTGCATTTTTCCAAGTACATAGACAACTTGTACATCTTACAAAGAACTCTGTCCGATCACTCTCGGTTTTAAATAATGTTCATCTGTGTTCAATGAATTTATACATATAATTTGTTGATATAAAATTATTAAAGGACGAATATAATCAAAAGTATACTTTTTAATACTTTCGAAAGATAATTCGAGATAGGAAAATAGTAGACATAATTTTCTGAACTTTGAGAAGATAGGAAATAATTTTTGTCACAGGCTTAGTTTTGTCTGTAAAATTGTACAAATTAATCATGCTGAACAGTGTCCAGACTGCATGATTGTAGTTAAGGGTTAATTGTCGATTCACATTATTACAATGTTTTGTAATATTAATGCATGGTAGTAATAAAAAGCACAAACATATCGATTAACTTACTGGTTGCATCCACTGCAATAAAATTTCAGTAGTAGCTGCATCAGGAGTAGAAGGAGGACATGGTGCACTTTTAATTGCAGACACGAGATTTCTTGCAGCTTCTTTAACGGTATCTTTCCATTCTGTATTTCCGTCATTATTGCTGTCTGTACAAGCACCTAAAAATATATATTTATTATTTACTATGTATATTTTTAGTAAACCTTAACATTGTGTATTATAAAATTCAAATGTTTTTTTAAATTGAATAGAATTTCCAAAAAATAACAAGTTTGTAATTAAAAAATGTTAAGATCAAGACATTAAGACTGTTTCGATAATACATTCTTGTTATATATGTTGCTGGGCCAGTACTTCATTTATACGCAACTTGATAAGTTAATTATTTGGTGATAAAATGTTTCACGCATAAGTATCTTTGCCATACATATACAATTTACAGTTTTTTTCCCTAAAGGATTTTATCAATATTTCTAAAATTCATGTAACTATAAAAATGTTGGTGTACAAGTGGTAAACATTCTATATTGATAATTCAATATTCAATATTCATAAAATTTTTTTTAAAATACCTCAAATAAATCTAAAAGAATATATAGATAAATAAATTGAATAAACTATATTATTTTCTTTACTAAATTACAAATTAGAAGACATTTTTTTTTCATTTTTAGTTATTCTATGATTCTTTAATTCCATCTAATTTCTATTTATCAAACCACTTTTCCTGTGTTTGTCTTCTTTTTAATCAATTTTGCTTTTTTTTATTTCTGCAAAGTAATACTCAATATGATGTTTTGAAAAGTATTCCAATGCAATTGGCTCTATTAATTTTTCTTAGTTTACATAAGTCACATAAAAAACGAGCATGTAGACTAGAATATTGCCATAATATTTGTGACTATATATTTTAATTATAATTAGTACAAAGTAAAAATCATACCTTACCAGAAATAATGTCGTCCATTTGTAACAAAGCAGCTTCTAGCATTTTACTGGCCTCGCTTGTTGTTTTTCTAAGAAAGGTTGATTCGCCTGCATGTATTATAATTTCATTGTTTTCATCACTTTTACCCATTGCTTGTGTCTAAACAAAAGAAACATTATCCACCAACAATTACTTGAAATATAAAAAATATGTAGATTGATTGTGCTTGAGTTGTATAAATCATAAATATTATCAAATATACACTATAATTATACAAATTTTTTAAAATTACATCGATAAGAAAATGTATACAGATTATGTATGTATAACCTAACAAGTCGTTACTACATAAAATTATTTTTATATATTAGAATATAGTAATGTCATGAAGATAATTTGGATAAATAATCTAAATTCATAGTTTTATTTTTAAATTTATAATAGCGAAAAGAATAAAAGTAAAAACAGAACAGAGACAGACGAAGCGAAATGTCAAACATATCAACACGTCAACATGGCGAATTTAATCCAATCATCTATATATTTCATACAATAAAATGAAAAATACTAATCATTTTCTTTTGTTAATTACATGTTCATACTTTATGTGTTAAAAATATAAACGTACATAATTTTGTTCAATAAACAATAAAAGGTAAATTCACATTTATGTAAATAATCTTATGAAACGACTCACTTTGTTGCACCATGATTGAAACTGAATTTTATTAATAAATGCTGTTGGTCTCCTTTGAATTTTAAGTTAAGCAACAGCAACAGGTGTTAAGAACAACGCCCAATAATCTTGGTCTACCGCCATGATAATATTCCATTTTTTTATGTGCAGGCATGCGCATGCAGCGATGGACATTCGTGGGATTTTCCTGATCATGCGCACTGGAGCGAACGTTGAAGTCCTCACTGCTGTATACACTTACTTAGTATTTAGGGTACCATTGGATCCCAGTAAGGAACAAAATGTAAGGAAGTTATAGGGAAAGAGAAAAGTTTTTATGAAGGAAAATAGCATAGATGTACAATAAAAAGTGGAAAACAATTCATTATTTATTTAGTTTTTACGTCTGCAGCCGATTTATTACATGAATACCAACATTTATTGCTAAGGGTAAGGAGACTGGAGAAAACCTTACCAGTATTCGAACAGAAATATTGCACATAAAAATGAACATAAGATACAAATATATGAAACATACATATACAATCATAAATTGGAAGCATATACCTTACCAATATTAACTGAATACATTTAAATAAAACTAATTTCATATTTTAATCGACTTGAAACTAAGTCACAGTAGTTCGATCACAGGAAAAAAATGCAAGCATTTCCAGGAAGTAGCTATAATAAAAAAATTACTGATTTATAACATATATACACACGCCTATATATATATATATATATACAATAAAATGAATACACTTCCAGAAAAACTCATAAGAAAGAAGTAGAAATATGAATAAAAAAAAACACTAACACTTTTGTACTTTATTTGTAGTTTGTCTCGTTTCTTCTGTTGAACATTTTCCAAAGAAGGAAACGAGGGAACCACAGATTTATTCTGTGGCTTTCACTGTCGCTCCCTATATTCCTATGTCCATGAGTTCACATCACATTCAACTATCCAACCAGTGAACCCAGCCTTAGGAAAAGCACGCAGGTGCTCACCGGACATGGTTGTTTCGGTGAGTACCTGCACAAGGTGGGGACGGAGGGGTCGCCCGCGTGCCACAGGGTTCGTCACCCCCCCCCCCCCGCTCCTTTGGAACATGCCTGGCGCTTGCGCCGCGGGGGGCCGTTGGCCCTATAGCGGCATATTTCCCTGTGGGTCGGGGAACAGAATACGCCCACAGTAATCCCTGCTTGTCGTAAGAGGCGACTAAAAGGGACAGGCGAGACCGCGGGCTGTGGCACCCGCGGTCAGGTGGGGAGGTATTCACTTCTCACCGGAGATGGCACTCGTCCCTTCGTTGGGGGGGAGAGACGCGGGGGGGGGGGGTACGCACCGGTAGCGTTCGTAAGAGATTCCGGTGCCCCTCCCCAATGCGCCGTGGCCGGCCACCGTGAGGTTTTAGTGGGTATTCCCCTTGATATCAAATCAAGGGGCGAGAAAAAAAAAGAAAAAAAGCCTTAGGAAAAGGTAAAGGATTAGCATTTTCATTTTGAAATTTCATTAAAAATTAATAACCACAATACAACGAATAAATATCTCATTGTTTCATTTTTGTTATTTTGTTTTGTTTTGTTTAAATATTCAAAGTGTTGAAATTCTAAAAATTTATTTTTAAACATGTAACCATATTTTCAATTATAGTCTTATTTAAACTTCCCGCTGTAAAAGAGTAATGTATCATGACTGACGGGCCTCCCCCGTTGGCTCCATATCGCACCACGTCCTTTGTCGGCAAATACCCGGTCCCTATATTTCTATGTCCGTGTTTTAACGTCTTTTTACTGAAACCTGGTTCCCCATTGATCGTGCTGTATCACCTACTAATGTTAGGGACATGCAATAAGCAGCTATCAAACGATTCACGCACATACCAATAGGCACGCGGAGAATAATAATGTAACGTTAAAGCGGAGGTTCGTAACTCCGGAGAAAATTTCCTTCTTCCTTAATTAATGCTCTGTTTAAACAATTCGCCATAATACATACCAAGACTATTGAGTATTTGTTCTTCGTCGATAAATCTCTTGTTGCGAAGTTCCTTTATTATGTCCTGCAAGTGTGCAATGCGTTTGTCCTTTCGCCTACAACTTTGCTGTAAAACTTTAATCTTTTTGCAATACTTGGTCCGTTGCTGTTCAATTACCCTTCTGAATTGTGTTTTGATAGGGGAATTTACAATTTGGATGGGTGTGAAGGGTGTGATGCTTGTGCTTCTGTTGCACAAATCTTTCCCATCAACTGGAGCTTCAGTTGCTTCTAGAAAGAAACGAACAGTATATAGTACAATAATGTTAAAAAGAAAAAGGTATGAAAAAGTAAAGAATTTTTTAAAACTTACTAGATATTTCTGCATTGTACTGTAAATTTCGTAAATTTATTGATTACATATACAGCACATTAATTAACACATATCTCCTCTGAATAAATATGTAATTTACCTTGGGCACAGCATTTGGTCGAAGTCTAACGCAACTTACTGAGGTACGATCAAACATTTCTGTGCAAAAATGTTGTGAACAAATCAATGTGTTGTCTGTAACACATTTCTCATCTAGACTAAGATTTATGATCCACTGCTTCCTTCGATTACTGTCTTTAGGGATCCTGTGGCAATAAAATATATAATTAAAACAATGAAATGTTTAATTGTTGTATTGCAGTTATTAATTTGTAATTAATGAGTTTCACATGTGCGTAACTGCAGTATACTACCTTATTCACTTACCTGTGGAATGTTATATTTTTATCATTACCAATTCCTGCACATTTTTTTTTCAAATTAAAATGGCAATATTTAACGGGACACGTAGGCATTTTCAAAAGATAACTGTTTTTTTCACGGATGCAATAACCCCTCCAAACGCATCCGTACACTTCTAACAATAAATATATTTGGTTTTTGTATATAGTCTTATCAGAAACCGGGGAACGCATTTAACCATAGACTAGACCCGATGCAGATGTCGGACTATCTCCAACATATGTTTATGCATACATATCAAACACGACTGCACACATACACACAGAGGAGAAAGGTAGTAAATATAAGATGGACCGAATATTAACTACTTCGAACGTCGCAATGATAAGTAGAAATTTAAATTCAATGTAAATAATTTTTAGTTTTGTATAGAAATGAAGTGTTAGGCTCATATTTTTCACAAGTTTAGTCTGGCAGTAAACGTGTCGACAGGCTTACCGCGGTTGCTGTCGCTCAACATGTGCCAACCCTGCCCGTGACTATATCCCTTCGTGATGTTACTTCTTTATGTGTAAAGTATTTTTGAATTTCATTTCACATTTTCATTAACACCCTGTATGTAATTTACATATACGTTTCAATAACTATGTCGCTTTATTTAACTTATACACAATTATTATGTACTTAGAGAAAGTGAGTGTAAAGACAACAGATTGAAAACGTAGTGTAGTTTATGATTCTTATTGCGTAAGGGTTTGAATATAACAGGAATCGGATGATCTGTTTATATAGTAGGAATGTACGTGGACGATGTAATACTACTGCGTCTAAGCAATGTATCGGATGCCTGTAGCGTAGCTGAACCTTTACGAAAGGAACGTTTATGCGGATGAAGATTAAGCGGTGGTAAGTTTGGATGTTCGATTCTTGTTGGCGAACTGACGCGTGGACGTAACGTTCCTCTCTGTTGTATTGAAAGTATACCTGCAAATAAAATAAAGCGGAATTGAAAAGTATTCGCAACTAAAATCGATCTATTAAGGGGGAAACCACATTAGGAGGCCAAGTATTAAGTGTTTCTCGGAATATTTTTTTTGCTGTACTCGTGTGCAGAGAGAAGATTCGTTGGTGAAATAGTTCAAGTCAATTTTAGGAATAAGATTGGTTTGTATTTTTTTTTATAGAAGAATTTACGTAAGGTTTTTCTAACTTTGAGAATATTTTAGGTACATTTTACAGTACATTTGAAACTTTTTACAATTTTAGTGGTCCTTATAATGGTCCGCCCCTCTTAGAATATAATAAGTTCAGAGAATAAAATATTGCCTAAATCGTTTGGTTCCAAAGCATCATTGAGTTGATAGTAGTCAGTCTTTATTGATAGCGGCTCTTCGTAATCTACAAACGCCGTGTTATCAAACGCTTCATCGTCCTTCGGCCGATTTTGAATCGGGCTCGTAATTGGCGGATCCGCATAAGTCTGAAAAAACGATGACCTGTCTTCAGATATTTTAGACGTTCGCGTATTTTACGCGGGGAATGCTCAATTAGTTAAGCAATAACGTTATTAGACAAGTGTCGTTAATTCGTTCCTCATTTACAGGAGAAAGTCACTAGCGTCCCATAAAAACTGTAAAACAAGTGATTTGTACGATTTTTTTCTAAAGGTAGTATACAACAATGTTGTATAAGAATTTATACATGTTGAATTAACATGAAACAAATTCTTTTTATTAATGTTACCCGAATAATCCATTGTACTGGTGGCACACGGTTAACAGCTGCAAATGAAAGAAGCAGTGTAAAGCTGGAATGGGGAGGGGGCCCCATTTTTGAAAAACTCAAAATTTTCTTTTTGCATACGTTTGCTCATCGTTTGCTCACGAATGCTCAATTGGAATTTCCGTTTGCTTCTTTTTAGTAGAGTTTTCTCCTCAAAAAATCCTAAAAATTACCTAAAAACCACGCCTCTAGGCGGGAACCCCCTTTAATGGTCCATTCTATACCAAAAGCTAGTGATTTTCTTTGTAACAGAAAACAAATTAATGACCCTATATAATTCTATGTGAAGTTGGCAATTCATTGATCTACTACGATACATTCGATTAGGATTATATACCCAAGCTAGAGGGGGGACAGCGGACCCCAATTAGACGAGAAGTAAGAGATACTGCAAACACCGTATTAAAACAATGCAAAAGTCATGTAAGACAATGATAAGAAGAATGGAAATAAGCTAGTAATAAATAAGCAGTAGTGCAATAACTTTCTATAATAAGTTACACACTTTAAATGAATGAATGAATGAATGGGATACCATGGCACGCACCATGGGTACGCGTGCCATAGGTTAGCCATCGCTGATTTAGACAAAGGAAACAATTAATGAATTACCAATTCCTCCATAAAAATTCGTGAAACAACATTTTAAATTTCGTAGATTGATAACGCATAAGAATAGTACTGGATATACAAACGTAATATCAGTAAATTGCCTTAAGTTTTACATGTTCAGTTGGCGTAGTTGAACAGGCACGCTTGTGGAATTGTCCACCGCCGATCGTTTCATATGTATGCTCCTCTAAATAGTGTCTGGTAGTTCCGCGTGGCGTTAGAGTAGCCCACATAACACGACTATCTTGCATGTTGTCGGTTGCGCAAGGGTACAGAACAGCTTCGTTTTGAATCCTTCCATTTTTCGTTTGCATACCGGATGCTGTGTTCGGCATGGAAATCACACCGTTCTTACCACTTCTATTACTAGAAAATAATAATCGGTTATTTCGTGACTCCGAGGATTTTATCCTCTTTCTTAAGACGGTATTGTCTCGAGATAAGCAACTCGGTCGGGACCGGCGAGTTGCTTATTTCGAAACAAGTATGCTATTCGACTTGACTTTGTTCTCGAGCGTGACGAGAGGGAGCCCGTAAATAAAACAGGGGGTTCGGTATAGCGGCCAACTATAAAGTGATCGCTCGAGCACGGGTGTTGTACTTTAGGGAATGATAGAAAATAACGTGCTTTCTCATTTTAGCATTAGTAAAATCGAACGAATGGAACGTACAGTAACTAACGAAAGTATTTGAACACTTAGTACGAAATACTTTATTAATTGTAATAGGTATATTATATAACATTTACTAAAATATTATTAACACTGTAAGGAGGTACGACTCTGCAGATTATAAAGGTAAAATTTCCTACCTACAAAAAAAAAACAAGAATCATAATTATACTCACAATTTGCATTTCAAGAGTAACGTCGCTAGTATTATGCCTATGAAAATCACACCGACGCAGGATGATATTAACACTGGCAGCCACGTGTCGCCTACAATTATTATAATAAACATTGTTACGTTAAATTTAATATTCCAATCAAAATGAACGGAAATTCATTGTTAGTTACTGAAAATAGAATAAATAAATTATTTTGGATTAATTTAATAAATAGCTAAAGGGGATTACAAACTTTTTTTGGAGTTAAATAATATATTTTTTTTTTGTTACTCGAAAACTTCAAAATGTTTCTACTAAGTTATATGTAAGAAATGTCAGAATTGCCTTTGTCGCTGTTTCTAAATTCGGCTTTTCGAATATGCTAACGTGATATTTCAAAAACCGCATTTCGAATCGAGTTCAAATTTTGCATATACAGGGTGTCCAAAAAATGTTGTAACATCTTGAAAGGGGTGGTTCGGGAGGTGATTTGAAACAACTTTTTCCTTGGCGAAAATATTGTCCGATGCTTCGTTAAGGAGATATTAACAAATAAACGGTGACCAATCAGAGCACGCGTATACCGTTGGAGCGGCCGCGGTAGCGTATGAGCGCAGCCACCTAGCGCGTAGACTACGCTCAACCGGCATACGCGCGCTCTGATTGGTTGGGGTTTTCCGTTAGTATCTTCTCAACGAAGCCTCGGACAACATTTTTGCTAAGGAAAAAGTTGTTTCAAATCACCTCCCAAACGACACCTTTCAAGGTGTTACAACATTTTGAGGATACCCTGTATAAAATATATTTTAGATTATGTTTCAAATTAACATGTTTTAGATATTGTAAAAGTTACTATGTTGTTCTAGCCACTAAAGGTCCTTTTATGGCCCCCATACACGATACGATCTGTCTTACGACACGTCGTACGACACGCCGTTTCAGTTTCAGTGGAACTGTCAGTTTTTCCTATGTGTAAAAAATGAACACTGAAAGAAAAACAATAACGGAGACTGAGAACTGACGGGATGGATAGACTTATTGGTTTCATTTCATTTGTTAGAATTCCTATGTGTAAAACAAGTGAGTGTTTAACACTGCTCCATAATCAAGGCAGTAACTTTAGCAATTATAGAAATTGCTTCTTTAAATTTCTACACAACATTCTTGAAATGTGTAAATAATCGATTTTCTTTTAAATTTTACAGTGTTTTGCTCCCTTAACCCGTTGCGCTCGAGACATTTTTCTATAGAATCTTAAAAATAGAATATTTTCTATAGATTTTGTTCTATAATAAATTTCTGTGAAGCCAAAAACTCTACTTCGAAGAAAAACATCTACGAATATGACTTCATGACTCGATGTATTATTATTTCAATTAATAATTAGTTGTATCCTGATGTAAGTGAATTTGAATTTGTACGTTCACGAAATCACTTTTAAATTACATATATCGCCCTAGGGGCGCCACCCGTGCGCAAAGGGTTAATGTAACGTAGTTAGTTAGTTGTTTATTTTCTTTAGACTTTACAATTTGGTATGAGTCTGAAAGATGGCGTTCGAAGTAATATAATGTAACGTATAAATTTGGAAAATAGACCTTGCTGTGGCATCTCTATGTACTGCACTCCTTCGGAACGACGATCGCAGAAATGCTTGCATGGGCTGTCGTTGAGATGCGGTGGAAACGACAGTAGATCCGTGCGTGGATAAAAGTCGGAACTTTGCTGCAGAATAGCCGGGAAGGGTGGTGGTGGTATGTGAAGAATGTCGGGCGGAGGTTCGAGTATACATGATGCGCAACCCGAATTATTCATGATTAAATCGAAACTTCTCATCTAGAATTTAAATTGGCAGAGCAACAAATTAATAATTGGTATTTTTTGTTTTTATATGTATATGTTATCCCTTAGCGGTCCACGTTTGTAACGCGTTAATATTAGGAATAATAGGAAGGAATAACAGAATAATAGGATTAATCATAGCATGCCTTCGTTTATTTTAAATAGCAAAAATTTAGTCGATACAAAAAATCCGTTGCAAAAACTGTCGAAAATATATATAATCATAAAAATAAGTCTAATCATAAAAAAAAAGTATTTTATGTGTAAAACTGTAAAGATGGACATTTAATAACTTCGATGGAAAATTTTCATTTTAAAACCTTCCGCAATTTTTTGAAATTCGAAATTATAGCAAAGAAATTCAAAAAATTTTCTTAATATACATACAATTCAACAATTGCAGTATCTACGATTTTCTTCATAATTCTTCAAACACTAAAGAAAGAGAAAATTAAATTAAAATAAATAATCAAATTCCTTTCTGTCGCTTTTCGTATAGTAAAGATAGGAAGGTTGAAACATTGTAGAGTTTGTTCTTTTTTAGAGAGTTATCGATCGTCGTGTGGCATGTTCAAATCGGTTTAAGAACCCTTTCTCGTACTTATTCGTTTGATAACCTTTCCAAAAAACAAAAAAAAATCAAAGAAGAAACGGAAACGTTCATTTAAGTGAACTAAATTCACGGTACGAAACAAATTATTTTCATCGTCTAAATAAATAACAATATGTAATACTTAAGAATTTGTTACACTTCGTCTATACTCCATTCCCTTGTTTTGCAATTCGTGGCTAACACTCGAACATTTAGTATCTTCTGTCACAAACGTTGGTAAATTATAAAAAATACCGTAATTCGTATTGTATTACATGCTTTCGAGCACAAAGCATGCAACGATAACAGTCAAAAGTAAACTCTCACCGCTGAGCGATGGCATACCCTTCTGCGATGTACCATCAGGGTGGCTACTGGCATCCCTGTAAGAAAAGCGCACGCGTTGTCGTATTGAGCGGGCAGGAGAAAATTTCGCGTGTACTACTGTAGGTACGCGCGCCTCAGAGGCGTAGCGATCGGGGGGGTAGGTGAGGGCACGTGCCCCGGGGCGTCGTTGGCGAGGGTTGAAATTAGAGATCCCTACTTCACGTGTATCGAAATACCCGGATACACGGGTAATTAATGGATCCGTGTTTTAATCCGTGTATTTTTAATTTTATGATTGTCAGGATTCGTACGTTATAAAGGGTGTCCCAAAAATGTTATAACACCTTGAAAGGGGTGGTTCGGGAGGTGATTTGAAACAATTTTATCCTTAGCGAAAATGTTGTCCAAGAGTTTGTTAAGGAGATATTAACAGAAAACTCCGACCAATCAGAGCGCGCGTATGCCGGCGGTGGGTGGTTCCTTAGTGCGTAGTCTACGCCTACCGCGGTCGCTCCTACGGTATACGCGCGCTCTGATTGGTCACCGTTTATTTGTTAATATCTACTCAACGAAGCCTCGTACAACATTTTCGCTAAGGAAAAAGTTGTTTGAAATCACCTCCCGAATCACCCCTTTCAAGGTGTTACATTTTTTGGGACACCCTGTATTTTTTTTTTCACAAATTATTTTATTTCATGGCGCAATAAGGGGGCAGCTCCATTTTTTCAAACTGTTGGAAAATTAACAAAAAAATGTTCTAAAATTCAGATTTTTTAAATTTCCTTTCGTTTTTTGTTTTCTGTTTCATATCACAGCATAGATATCTAATTATTACGCCCCGTTCTAAAATACGCCTGAAATTTAAGGGATTTTTCGAATGAAGAGAACAAAGTTTTCTTTCAAACATGTATTTAATTTATTCTTAACATATTTGGCAATACAAACAAAAAATCCGGAATACAAAAAGTCGTAGAATTAGTGCAAAATTCATTCTTCTTCTTGCTCTGCATAAAGGCCAAGAGGTAAATAGTCAACAAGGGAAAAGTAACAGCAAATAGGTTCAATAGTATAGCCTGGGCGTTGATATGTCAATGAATCAGGGCTTTTATTCTTATAGGTATATGTAATATAAATTCCATCACGTGGGTGCAAAAGTAATTTTGTTTTTAGCTGTTAACTTTAAAATATCGTAACTCAGTACAGAATAAAGCATACATTTATTAATAGAAAACAGACGATATTCATTATCAAAATGTAGAGCAAAATTTATACTTTTAAACGATATATAGAAATATATTACAAGATTGAAATTACCAATGTATTTCTATAATGTTACCTACAATCACTTGTATTAGTTTTATTTAAATTTGTCTTAAGTATTAGGTAAAACTGAGTGCTAATCTTTCGTTGTTTATTATACATACAAAAATTTTCTTATCTGAACACTTTTGTCCCTTAATTAATTCACATAACACAGGTTCTACTACATATAAAGATATGAACAATCGAACACTTCAAACTGACAAAGCAGTAAAATGTACGAACTGTCTCCGAATCTTTTCAAGGAAAAATTAAGGAATAAAAGCATGTATTTTTGATAATTAATTTTATTACCATACTATTCATAAAAATATTTTTTAGAAAATCAGGTGTGTTTGTAAAACTAACCTATGAAGATAATTGTGTTTGTTACGTTTGGAAAAATACCACATCGTCTGCAATGACCGCTGTGCTGGGTTTTGTTTGACCTTCTTCATCTTTAAATTCACCATAACTCACTTTTCCGGTGACCAATACTCTTTGACCTTTCCTAAGATACTTAGACACGGTATCACGAAGTTGCGGTTTGAAAACACATATTCTATGCCACTCCGTTCGTTGTATAAAATCTCCTGCAATTTTTTAAATTTATTACATTTTACGAGTACAGTAATGTTGAGAATTTGAATTGAAGCATAAAATTTACGCTTCACCTTAAAATTCTGAAATTTCAATATCTTGTAGTCTTTAACTTGAAAATCTCTTTTTAAATAAATGATAATTGTTGTTAAATATACTACTGTATTTTTCAAACTATAGAGTAAACAATAATTATCACCAAAAACTTTTTCACAGCAGAAAATATGTGAAAGTTACCAGCAACCAATTTAAAATAAATTAAAAGTTTCATAGTCTTTTTAACACAATGTATATTAGAAAATTACTTGGTTTAACTTACCATTCAAATATTTATAATTAGTATGTGTGGCAACAGAAAATATAACAACAGGATGTTCTGTGGAACCTCTCGTTTGTGGGTCGTTCCCTACTCTTCCCAACAGTGTTATATGGTTCACTGCTATAAATTGAATAGTTCGTAATATTAATTGCTTTCATCAGTTTAATTTACACAAATTCTTCATCATTGAAGTTAAAATGGAGACCTTTATTATACGAGGTAAGTGGAATATTTCAAGTGAATCGCATAGATGAGTACCTCGATTATTTTGAACGCTAATGAATATTAACTTCTTTTTTAGATAATTTGGTTTAGAAAATCTTCTAATCTCGTTACAATAATTTTTACTCAAATTGCTTTTTTCTAAAATCTTCAAAGTCACCTCAATTTTTTCAAATCAGCATTAAAATCAACAATGCAAACCTGTGTTCAACTTTACTTTTCAGAATAAAGAACACTGTTATCATTGACTCTTTTATAGGGTAAACTATTTATCTTTTATAAGGTAAAAAATATACCATAAGTATGAAGCTTGAAAAATTAAATAAAGCAATATATATTTTACAGTAAAAATACTTTACCTTTACTACTTGTTATTATATTAGCATTTACATGTGCCACGAAATGCATGGTCCAATGCATGTTATAGATTTGATTTACTTGTGCAGAATACACAACAGCTGCATATAAGTCAGTCTTCGAAGTTTTAAATGGAACCCTATAAGTTTTTATTTATTTTTTTTACTACAGAAGCAAATTCATCAAATACCACAAAATATTTGCTTGCGATTGGAAATAAAAGTACAATACAAGAAAATGTTCAAGCTAAATATTGCACCACTATACATTCTCCAGTGTTATTTTATAATTAATATAAATCATTATTAATATTTAACATATGATCTTTTATATAAAATAATATTCAAGAAATTTATTTCGATTGTCTATCTAATCGAAAGACAAAACAATGTAAAAGAAGAAGAATGGTTCTGCTATGATAATTGATCATTGACTAACTATCAATGATTTCCATGGCTTTTAATATATTAAAATTAGAAAATACATGTTATAAAAAAGTTGTCTATATAATTATGTGTACTGATTATTCCATATTTGGTGATACGTGGTTCTAATGAGAACGATGCACTATGATACAACTTGTTGCATCCCATTTGTTGAAAAGAGTTAAATACTTTCTCTAGCAAATGGATTAAATACAGTTTTCTATTATATTTTTATTTTTCACAATGACAAAAATATACATTGTGGTATTTAATCAATTTGTCACTGTATTTACTAAAAGATAAATGAAGATAGATTATATTCATTTTAAAAACTTAGTATATTCAATATCCTGCCTTTCAATAATACTGTGGTCCATACACGGATCATAGACTATGAACATGCTAAGATAACTTTGAAAATTATTGAAAAAATACAATTTATCAAAATATGCCATCTGTTTACAGACATTTATAAATCAAATTGGTCAAAGCAATAAAGTCTCTAAGTAATTCTTTAACACAAAATATAATCAAGGTAATAAAATTATGTGATTTGTGTTGTACAATAGTCATGGAATAGCATCGATGAAAAATGTAGATGCCAGTGGACATAGTAGTAGAAATACATGCATTCAGGGCCCATATATTTTGATGTGCTCCTAAAAACTTTGTGAACGCATATTGTTCTCTATTCTTTCCGTATATTAACATTCATTTATTTCACAAATCTTTTGTCATAAGCTCACACAAATCTTTGTTACTTTAGTAACGTAACAAATAGATCAAATTATTTTCATTGTTTTTAGTATGTATGAGAAATCATTGAAATGAGATATTTCATATGCCAGGCTTTCCTTTCAGTTTGCTATATAGGAGATATTTTGTAAGCTAGCTTTTACAGAGTACGGCTCATAAGAAAACAGTTGCTCGTGCTTATTGTACAAAAGAGCATTTATGGTATCATAAAACATAATATGTTCAACTTATATACTTAAAATATAAGTCATTTTATAATAATATTTGTACAAACTTTTATTTATTAAATATTACTCAATAATGCTGGAAATAAATAAATATTTCACTTACTTTTTTCTATTTTCGTCTCTTTCATATTAGTACACATTCGCATATTCTGAACTTCTGACATACTCTGTATTATCTTCGGCAGAACCTAAAAATGAAAAGAAACGCTTGAATAATACACAAGTACGTAATTGACAAGCTTTATTTCAGATGATCTTCAATTTAACATACCCGTCGAAACATTTTTCGTTAATCTGTATAGAAAAAATTATTAACCAAAACAATAAATGTTCACTAGTTTCGTTCAAAAATTACTGACTAGAAACTACACGCTACACCACGTGCAATTGTACAACTGTGTACAACCATGTACAACCGGTATTGATAACTGTGTTAGTGCCTCGCGTGCTCTCATAAATGAATGCGATTCAAAATTACAGAATACTTCTCTAGAAACGAAACTCTCACTTTTTCTAATCCCGATTCTAAATGCGCATACACCTTCAGCCCAAAAAGGCGGATAATTTAAATAAGAAGAAATGATTACAACTGGACCAGTTGTACTGGTGGTGGTCAAACTCAAAGTATAGAAGGTTAGGTTGGGTTACGATTTTTCTCAAGAAAGAACATCAAGGTCAAATAACGCTATTTTTCAGCTAAATCCATTAAAATTAATTTGAATTTAATTTAATGCTTCAATAATAATCGATGTTAACAATCTACTAGTAAACAAAATTGTTGTTTAAATGAAGTATTATCATTTTATTTAGTTGGCGTACGTTTTTTAACTCATCTACGGATAAACGATTCGAACTTAATTTTAAATAAATGTTTATTAAAGGCTTCGAACCAGTGTAGGTCCACACAGGTCCATTTGCTTAAGTTACATGACTTACAGAGAAATTATACATTATTATACATTGCACTTCCAATAAGCTATTATACAACTTATCTATTAAATTTATATATACATCTATAATGCATCATTGATGTGTAATGTATTTCATTCTTTCATTTGTAGAAATATGCAACATTATAAATTATAATCCTTCAACAATGTTCTCTAAGTGAAGATGACATTCTTGATGAGGTTATAAAGACTCCCAAATCTGTAATTAGTTGTTCTACATTAATCAAATTTCTTTGAACCATGTATTAGTAAATTTATATTATTATGTATGTCCCTGTAGTACAGAATAAAATGAGTACTTTGTTACACCCTACAGAGACACATACATTAATATAAATTGTCCACTGGTCAACATACTATACATCTGTAAAATACCTAAAATATCTGTTGTTTTTAATGATACAAAGGTATGTCTCCAGAGGAAAGTGTTTAGTTTGGAGGGGACATACTATGACAGGCAAAAAACTTATTAGCAAGTTTGTCAATGTTTTTTTTAAGTGGAACGAAGTATTTTCAATAATGTATTCTTGTAGCTGATAAAAAAACAAATTCGAACATGTGTGATTCCTTTACTCTATCTATATAATCTCTTTGATGGGAAACGTATGGCTCTAGCGACGAGTTACGGGAAGATGCCACCATATTACTCACCTACAAGTAGCGTGGAATTTTTCGTAAATGTTAGCGACGTCGATCCTTTCTTTTGTTGTTTACAGGTAGATTAGGTCAGTGAAGGATGTTTTTTCTTCGTAAGATAAGTTTACATTGTACGCGATGATGACCGGTGTGTCATATTTTTATTAAGCCGATTGAATTCATCATCAGCTGTAGGACTATTTTCGTATGACGAGCGTGTTACTTAAGCTATGATGCGACGTGAATGCGTTGAAAACTGCGTTGGTCATTGACGCCCGTACTTTTTTTCTAGACACCTTGATAGCCGGTATAGTATGCCGTTTCTCATTGTCTGACGAGTTCGACTTAAGCCGCGCCGAGTAGTACATGCTGTTGTCCTAGGATAGTCAACGAAGAGTGCGAAACGAGAAACAGTCTTTGTAAACTGCGTTGAGATCTGGAGTGAAACTTCCTTGGCTATGTCTAGCTCAACTTTGCTGCAACAGATCGAACGGTTGAATAGAGGCTATACTAAGAAACGGATTACAAATTCGGCATTAGTACGATAGATAATGTTAGGTCATTCTCTAAATTCATCCCACAGATTGTGTTTATATTTAATACATTGAGTACGGGTGACATGATATCTCGTCTTTAGCAGGCACTATATTCAACAACAATATAAGAATGCCTGAGAAATATGTATGCATTTGTGTATGCGATGCTTAGGGGAATGTGAGACAGTTCGAGTCGTATTGTGGTGCGTGCGTTACTATTTATTCGATCTTGTGTGTTACTCGTTCCAAGAAATTAGATTTTAAAATTGTTTCATTTTAATATGTATGTTTAAACATTTTCTTACCAGTATGTTTCTCCGTAGTCACACTGTGTTGTGCTAAACACTGTACGTTTATAGACTCTATAAAATATTAAAATTATAAATAATAAAGTAAGCTACGAATGTACCTCTTTCACTACAAGCTTATTCTTAACATATACATACTTGGCAAATACAGAGTGGGTACTGCTGTTCTACTCAAATGGGTTGACAATTTATAACGGTCTTCAAAATGAAGATCACAAATCTTTGCACTCTTTGGTATACTTGTAATCAAATCTGGGTCACCGCATGCCGCTATCCATTTCAGGCGGCGTTCCCTATCTTTTGTAGCACTAGGGAATTCTCTCATTCGCCGATCTTCGAATTCGCATCCTTTTACCTTACACTTCGAAGGTGGTCTATTTTCTAAAAAAAAAAAGAGAAAAATATATGAAGTATGACTTGTACTAACAAGTTACACTATCCTACGCTATAATTTGTATGTGGAGATTAAATATTAATTGTAAATAAATTAACAGAAATTTATTTTCTAATGAAATGTATTTCTTTTTTGTTAAAAAAAAAAAGAAGAAAAGAAATATTGTATTTAGCATTTAACTTGATTTAAGAATGGTGATTAGGGGATTCCCTGATGGTGTTCACTGATTCGCTACGTATATAGTTGCGATGTCTACTAGCGCTACCTATCAAAATTTTCACTAAATATGTTTTAATATGTGTGTGGATTTTGCTTCTGCAATGAAAGTACTAATATTTTATCATTCATTAAGTATTTTCTATTAAACTTATTTTGTCCCATTTTTCGACATGTGACTTATCAAAGTTTCGAATAACTTCTAGCTATCTTTCAATACGTTCCGCAAACCCACGTCACGAGCAACCTTTCTCTTAATGTGGTCTTACGTCTTCGTAGTTCGTATATGGCGCTATATGATAATTTCTGCTTCTTCTCACCAGGCAGGTCCTCCCTTCTTGTCGTGCAGAACCGCTGCAATGCTAATTCTAAATCACAGAGAAAAATAAAATAGATGAATATCATAAATTACTACATTTTTTTAGTAAGAGATGCTCTTCTTAGTTTGCAAAACTCTGCAGCAAGAAATTATTTTGAGCAAATTATTTTTATTAAAATATTTTATTAATTATTTTAATCGTCTAAATATCTATTTAATTTGCGATTTCTTTATAATTTTACAAGCATCAAAAACATGAAAATTAATATTATAATATGATATTACTTGTACAATATGATTTAATTTTCTAGGACACTATAGTGTGATACTTCTTTAAGTTTTAATTTGTAAAACAATGTTTGCTAACTTTGTACTTTAATAAACTCTATAGCTGATTTATATATAGCTGTTTATTTTCAAACCTAGAATTTACCCTGAATTCCTTGACAACTTATAGAAAAATAATTCTATTATAAGCTACAATATGCTTTACTACCTTTTTCTCTTTCCATTAGTTCTTCAGCAGTAATGGGTACCACAGTTTCCTCTATAACCTCTGCAATTTTCTCTGTGACCTCTGCAGTTTCCTCTGTGACCTCTGCAGTTTCCTCTGTGACCTCTGCAATTTCTTCTGTGACCTCTGTAGTTTCCTCTTTGACATCTGCAGTTTCCTCTGTGACCTCTGCAGTTTCCTCCATGACCTCTGCAGTTTCCTCTGTGACCTCTGCAGTTTCCTCCATGACTTCTGCAGTTTTCTGTGTGATCTCTGTTGTGTCCTCCCTGTCACTCCTGTGTCCATGAGTATCTGAAACATTCATCACAAAGGGAATTTAAGGGGGGGAGTCTGGTCTAGCAGGTTTAAAAAATCGACTTTTTCTTTTTGCTTAAAAATCTTCCTAACCATATGGAGAATGTTTCCGCGAAAGTCTACTGTATGCCCCTGGAATGTCAGATTAGCTTCATACAGCCGTATGAATATAAAAACTTTGGCTTTTTATAACTAAAAACTTTAAACGTATTTTTCTCAAAACTACGTTTTCCAAATTTGCGAAAGACATAGCTTATCGAATTTTTATCCGATTCAATTGATTCAAAATTTAAATTCAACATAATTAAGTTTATATGTGGATGAACCTCGACTCTTTATGAATTATTAATATCACATGATTTGAATAATATTAATCAATTAGATTTTAAATTTGCAAAGGCTATACACAAAAACTGAGTTTTATTTGATTATAATATGTATGTTTGATCATTTGGTTACCAATGTGTGTCTCTGTAGTTACAATTTCTATCGTCTCCATTACTTCTATTTCTTCTTGGACCGAACATTGGATATCTAGAGGCTCTATAAAATATTGAAATTATAAATAATAAAGTAAGCTATGAATGTATCTGTTTGACTACAAGCTTGTTCTTAATGTACACATACCTGGCAAATACAGAGTCGGTACTGCTGTCCTACTCAAATGGGTCGACAATTTGTAACGTTTCTCAAAATGTGCATCACAAATCTTGGCATTCTTTATTTTCTCTAGGGTTACTTCTGGATTACAGCATGCTGCTATCCATTTTAGACAGCGTTCCTTATCTTTCAACGAACCAGGGAATTCTCTCAATCGAGCATCTTCGAATTTGCATCCTTTTACCTTACATCTCCTAGGTCCCATAATTCCTAAAACAAAAAAGGCAAATACATAAAGTATGGAAATAGCTTACATCACTATATTATACTATACTAAATTATAATTTTTACACTAAGATTAAATATTAATTGTATATAAATAATCAGAATCTCATCTTTTAATGAAATGTATTTTTTTTTGTAAAGTGAAGAGATAAAGAATATTATTTTCAGGGTTTTACAGTCCTAACTCAAAAATTATGACCGACTACCGATCACTGCCGACATTGAGATATTCACAATAATTTGGTGGTTCCCAGCTTTTCATTGAATACGTTCTGGGTATGTAGTGTCTACTAGCGCTCCCTACGAACTTTTCATTAACCAAAAATGTGTATTCAATATATTACATCTACGCTTGGATCGCCCGCATTCGAAGTGATTCGAAGTCTCGCATCTTCGGAATGCGATTCACGATTGTCTAACTAGATCCTTAACCTAAGCTAGTATAACTATGTGCGCGGACGATTACCGAGTGCAACTTTGTCACACCGTTGGTGATACTTGCTACCGAAAACGATCCTTCAACTACGATAACCTGTAGCTTAAACAGTTACCTCAAGCAAATTCAAATGGTCCCAGGTCGAATGTGGATAACCTCTTGACTGGAATCACGCGTTGTGAAACGATTCCTATTCCATGACAGAACGCTTGCGTTATCCCAAATGGCGACCAGGGAAGACGTTAGTACTGTCGAAAGCGGTGTGGTTAGAAACGTATTGTTTGAGAAGAAGAGCCGGAGAGACAAACGTTTTAAAAGTAGCGGGCAAAAAAGACGCGCCTATTTGAAATTACAGTATTTTCCAAATATTGGTATTTTAGGTTAAACTTTACTTTGGCGGACCTAAAATATTTAAGTTTTTTTTTTACCTGAACCTGTAGATTTTGGCGAGTGGAATCCGAAAATGCTGATTTTCAGGCGAGAAATCCACTGGTTCAGAAGTTATGAGCAGTTGAAGGTGAACCTTTTTACTGTATATCTCCTTATACAGTCTTCATGACATTTGTATACAATTTATCTACAGATAATCTTTAGATTGCCCTGCACTTGACCGGCAGTGCATTTGTTATTGCAAAATACATATGAATTTTTTGAGGCCTATATTTTTTTGAATACCTATAGATAATATATACACATATTCATATATATATATATACAGGGTGTCCCAAAAGTCGGGGAGGAGCCGGAAATGGGGGGTAGCTGAAACGATTTTGAACAACAATTTCCTTTGCAAAAATGTCGGATGGGGCTTCGTTAAGTAGATATTAATAAAAAAACCCGACCAATCAGAGCGCGCGTATACCGTTGGAGCGGCCGCGATAGCGTATGAGCGCAGCCGCCTAGCGCGTAGCCTACGTTCAATCGGCATACTCCGCACTCTGATTGGTAGGGGTTTTCACTTAATATCTCCTTAACGAAACCTCGGATAACATTTTCGCTAAGGAAAAAGTTGTTTGAAATTACCTCCTGAACCACCCCTTTCAAGATGTTACAACATTTTTGGGACACCCTGTATAGTCTTCATGGCAAAACCCTAGGCTTCAAATAAATCTGAAGTTCGCCGACACGTTTGTCTCGTTTTTTCTGTTGAACATTTTCCAAAGAAGGAAACGAGAGAAACACATCGGTAAACTTCAGATTTATTCGATGCCTAGGGTTTTGCCCATCACTGCACTGAACTGATTCATAATTCTGGGGAATTTTCTGCTGAACACGGACTTACTAGACAAGTACTTCCGACATGGAGCGTTGATCATCAGTCTTTCCCCTTCTATACGGCTTTTACGTGTGTTTACTACCAAACTAAAAAATTCAAACTAACCACCACTTTTCTGATCGCTCACTATTGGTGAATCTAGTGGTTCTACGTTTCTAGTAATATGGATCATGGATCGGGATTAGCAGAGATGGGCAAAACCCTAGGCTTCGAATAAATCTGAAGTTTACCGATGTGTTTCTCTCGTTTCCTTCTTTGGAAAATGTTCAACAGAAAAAACGAGACAAACGTGTCGGCAAACTTCAGATTTATTCGAAGCCTAGGGTTTTGCCCATATCTGGGGATTAGTAATCTCGCTGGAATACGCCCTACGTTTGGTACACGTCTGAAGTTAGTAACTAGTAATCCATACTTATATAGTCAAAGAGATGACTATATTGTCTTCTATGCGAACAAATTGTTTGATAATCAGATTATTGAAAATTTTTAAAATGTACTTCTGATTCACACAACATTATAGATGAACATTATAGATTCAAAACTTTCAAAAACTTCTAATTTTGAATAATGTAATTCGAAACTTCAGTCTGGAATTCAAAAATAAAGCGAAAATAACTGTAGTGCATTGTATTGATTTTGTATGAACCTACATACAAAATATAAATTACAGATTAAATGTTGAAGATATTTATTTATTAAGTTAGACTTCTTGAGTTTGTTAATATCAATATATTAGATGGTAAATAAAATGAATAATTACTATTTATAATGCATGTTTACGTATATTTACATAAATATTACATATAACTATTGTAACCATAAAAGTATTAATGTATTCCACTGTGAACATCTATTTATCTGCAGCAGTTTTAGGAATTTCAGGAAACATCTTATTATAGAGCTCCTCATACTCCTTCTTGAGCTCCTCTCTGCGTGCAAAATATTTTGGATATTGAGCCTTTTCCATTGGATCCCAATAGTCAAGTACAGAATCTGGAGGAAGAATCTCGCGTTCGTAAGCTACTCCGCCTACGGAATTAGCAAACTTTTTTGGCTGCCAATGCATTGTTTTGAATAGAGTTTCTTCAGCATCTAATAGAATTTGTTTTGCAATACGAGCATCACGTATATTTCGATTCTCCTCGAAACGTTGTCTCATTAAAACTGATTCATACCTTAATCAAAACATTACTTAAATCCAATATATTTTAATAAAACTATACAGGATACGACAATTTTGCCTCTACTACTTTCAACCATAACTTCTTTAATTCTAAATGGGTTTCAAAATCATTACTTTTATTTTGCAGATAAGGCATTAAAGAGTTGTTTGGTATTAATTATTTGTATTTGAAAAATACAAGATGGAACAACTACAAGGAATAAAAGATAAAGCAGAGATCAAAATGTTTCATTGTTCTCTTTCATTTTTCATAACATTTTTTTAAAACCTTGTTTAATGTAACATTTATTTACAAAATATAGATATTAAACATTTATTTTCAACAAAATAATACTACAAAATGTAAAATACTTGTTTAATTTTTCAAAAGGACTTTTCATAATTGTAAACCAAAAGGACTACGCTACATAATATTGATTTTATTAAAACACTGGTTTATACAAAGTTAGAGAATAATTTATGACGTGAAAACGTGTAATAAATTATTATAACTCGTTTTTCTAAAATCATAAACCAAAATCTTTCATACGATTTTGTTATATTGAACTGTTAACTATGTATTTTCAAATAAAACAATTGTAAGAAGCTCTTCGTTAACTCATTATGTTATTTGTTTTTTTTTTTCTATTTTCGACAGAGCGAATAATTTTGTGATTCACTGTATATGAAAAAGTTTGAAGAAAAAAATATGAGCATAAACATACCTAAGATCAAGTCTGTCGTGATGATAGTCTCCTAAGGATCGCAAAACACGTTTATAAAGTCTGCATACTCTTCTGCTATGAGAAATTAATTCCGATGGTATCTGTGCCATTCTTTTTTACCTCAAAAATACACTTTCCTAAAAATGTTCTTTTTTCCGAAAAACCAATTACCCAACAGAACAGTCATTGACTACATAGAACGACCAAACGATCATGAACCACCATTAACTAGATCGGAATCTGAAACTCTGAATTTCAACAGACTTCAGATCTATAGAAATTATATTCTTTACAAAATATTTCAATCGTTACATGGTTGTTTATACGAATATTTCGTGCTTAAACATTAATACAGTTAAATTAGAAAATAATTTTGTCGATAATTATGTTATTTCTGAATATGTTATATACAGAATAAAATTTTATCAAATCCAATATGTTGAATGTTTGAAGTCTGGATCAGGACCGCTTTTACCAATATTGGCGCTCTGGGGAAGATTATCTTGGCGCCCCTTCAGGGGCTTAAAATTTTTAAGAAGAGAAGACAAGGTAATAATATCAAACGATGAATCTGTAGCCAGATTGTAAAGATTGTTAAACTACAAATATAAATTACAAGTAAACTAAATTACAAATATAATTTATATAAATTATATATAAATACAATATAATGCATATATTGCAATATATGCAATATATATCCAATATAAATTACAACTAAACTAAACTACAATATAAATTAAACTACAGGGTGTCCCAAAAATGTTGGAGGTCCTTGAAAGGGGTGGTTCGGGAGGTGATTTGAAACAACTTTTTCCTTGACGAAAATATACGAGTCTTCGTTGAGGAGATACTAACAGAAAACCCCGACCAATCAGAGCGCGAGTATGCCGATGGAGCGTAGGTACGCGCTAGGCGGCTGCGCTCATACGCTATCGCGGCCGCTCCATCGGCATACTCGCGCTCTGATTGGTCAGTGGTTTTCCTTAATATCTCCTCAACGAAGCCTCGGACATTTTCGCTAAGGAAAAAGTTGTTTCAAATCATCTCCCGAACCACCCCTTTCAAGGTGTTACAACATTTTTGGGACACCCTGTATAGCAGCTGTACTATATTCGTATACTAGGGACACTGGACTGCGACACCCACAAAGATTTGGCGCCCCGGGCGGTTGTCCGACCGCGCCCCGTCCCTACTGCCGGCTCTGTACTGGATAGATATAATAATAACATTAAAATTAAGAATTTTATCAAAGCATGAGAGAATCTTTAAAAATGCATCAATAGAAATGTAAAGTAAGCTATAGATGATAATATGTAGCATAATTACAAACAGACTTCCGGGGAAAAAATACGATGGATGTGTAGTTAGTCGCAAAGAATGGCGATTGTTGTTTAATTTACAAGCCCTCTATTTTTCAACATACTTAACGTCCAGTGCTTAGAGCGCGACGAAAATTTTCCTTGACCTTTCATTATATCTTCGTGCAGGAATTTAAACCTCATTATCCATTTTGTGTAACAAAATTGATTTCAACATTTACATCGAGCAACGAATCCAACCTTCAATTTCAGTTTCGAAAAAGAAAAGGAATGTTTTAACTTATTTACAGACAAATGTAACATTAAAACAAAAATTCGTACATTTTGTCAAACCTTTTGAATAAATTCGTTTATTTACATTACGAGTAACATTAATAATGGATGGAACTGTAAATTTTATTTTATTTTATGACTAAATAATTTTTCGATAGTTGCTTTAAATCGCAGATTGAACGCCGGACTTCTTTGCAACGAATGAACATTTTAGTTCAAGTTGAAATTGTAGGATCGAGTTTTCAATATCGACGACTGTAGTTCGTTTCCTTCACGGAACGATTTTCAACGGACGAAAAATGGTGCCGACGATGCCGCCTGATTCGCATAAAATTTCATTGAAGATCATCGACGCGATAAAACAGCACCCGGTTTTATATAGTGCCGAAGTGAAGGGTTCTTCGATTAAGCTTCAGGAATTTCGGCAGAAGGTCTGGAAGAGGATTTCTGATGAACTTGGTCTCGATCGTACGAACTCATTTTCTTCTTCTTCCACGTTTTTTTTAAACGATTTCCGATGTTTTTATTGGTACAACATTCTTTTCACTAAGAAACCTTTATTAATTCTGGCAAATTGTTAACACAAATTTAAACGTTTCCGTGAGCTTCATCTCGTTTTTTTTTTTTAACAATACTACACGTATTTATGCACATACTGTAAATGTTAAATAAAATTTGTTTTCCAAAACAATGTACATGTGACAGTTAATAAAGGAATATTTTTAAACATTCAAAAGTTACTATAACTTTGTCGAAAATCTTTTTAATCTGCAACAACAATTATTATTTTAACTTTGCAGGTTCTGTTTTACCATATTTAATGAGCAATATGTTAATATGTTGTTTTTATATTTTAACTTTGTTAATTTAATACTACATATTTTATTGTAAATTGAATTTTAAATTTACTTATTAAGTTAGTGAAACGAATATATTAATATAGATGAAATAATGTCCTTAGCTACCTGGGTGAGATTAAGATGGAAAAACTTAAGGGATACCTATTGTCGCATACTTAAATACAAGAATAGAACGGAAAAGGGAGTTCGTAGAAAAAAATGGATTTTTGAAGATCATCTGAGCTTCTTAAAATTTCCGTAAGAATGTTATGCAGCTTTTCATTAATGCAATATTATCAATTTATTAATGTAACATTACTTATATTATATCAAGAGTATATTTGCAATTTTTGTAATTTCAGTTTTTATGTTCATCATATATAGCTGACTTAGGTGTTTGCATTTGCTTTCATTTTTCGCAAATTTAATTTTATGTAGGAATATCCCTCTGACTATATGTTTGTTTATTGTATCAAGCAAGTATGTAAAACTTAAATACTATTAATACTGTTAAATTAGATATGAATCGGATTATCAACCGCAAAGTATAGAATTAACAGAAGAGTACATTCAAGATATTAATACTGGTGGAATCAGTTCTGAAGGTTTATTGGAGCAATTGGAAGATCGCAATGATGAAGATTATAGCGAATACTTGGAAGTTTTGGAAGAAACAACTGCGGATCCAGTTTTAGATTGTGATTCCTTAGAATTGAATGATAATGAAGACGATGTGGTAAAAAGTCGAGAGATAGAAGAAACAATACAAAATGATATTGACATGTACACGCAACAAATTCAATCAAAATATAGAAAAATAAGACCAAAGAAGATGAAAGTTGAACCATCAGAAGTGCCTACAACCTATAGTCTCATAAAAACCTCACCTTTTAAGAGTAGAACAATTGATACACCAATTTTTGTTACTGCACCAGCTGCAAACAGTACTGTCAAAAATACTTCCACCAAAGCAACGGTAAGTTCAAACATAACAAATCATGAAACTTATTCGCCACTATAACTAGTTATCGCCATTTTTTAATTTACTAATATATTCTTTTTAAATACACAGAACAATTACAACCAGGTCTACTTAGCACCAGAAGGAAAAAGTAGTATAGAATTATTTTTTGATAGTATGGCACAAACTGTTAAACGACTTCCTTCAAAAGTGCAAGCTGACATTAAAATGAATATTTGTAAGATTGTAACAGAAGCAGAGCTCAGATATTCTGGATGCAATAGATCACAAGGTACTCAACAATTTATTGCCCCATCTGGAATGATTCCTAAATTAGTTTTGATTCCATGTAATATGATTGATAAACAAAATAATAAGGGTTGACAATTTTTAATGATCTTTTTTAAGAAAAAGATTTTGTAACATATTAAAAAATACAAGGTAGTTTAATCAAAAGATTGTAAGAATTTAGGAAGGAAAGAGTCAACAATTAAAACAAAAACAGTGTCCCGATAAAAATAATTTTTCTATTTAGTGCCAGAATTCATGTTTTTGTAATATAAATTGATAAAACTCAATTAATTATATACATAAGTGTTATCATTAAATTTTTAATTATTGTTATACATAAATATACTTATTTTAATAGAATTCAGTATCCATAAATGTTCATTCATACCCAGTTAATAAATTTTCTTTGCAGGAAAATCTCTTCCTTTTCCTACAGTAGACATACGACAAACAGGACATTTTTTCTTAAAGTAATTATTAAGTAATTATCAAATTCATACTGATCAATGTATTTAGTAATTTTTTTTTTCTAAATAAGATCGTAATTTAGATCGATCTAAAAAAGATCGGAGTATGATGATTTTTACTGTAACATTTGTGAGATGTTGAATATATTTTTTGGATAATGGATCAAACGTTAATGCTTTTGTCATTGTGCCTTCTTATTTTCAATATTCATATATACTTGTAGTAGTGCTCACACTAAAAATAGCGACATAGAAAGTCAATATCAAATATGTATCTACATGCTTTTATAACAAATTGCTTGAATATCATAATACATATCAATATCAGTCAATAAATTCTCTACTTTACCTCAAGCAGTATATTTTTTTCTACATGATATTATTTGAAACATAACTACCATGTAAAAACAAAATTGAGTGTATAAATCAACGATTCCCAACCTAGGGTACACATATCATAAGGGGTACCCAAAAACAAAATGAAGAATGTAGTAACACTTTATTCTAATTATTGTAAGATCTTACAGATATGAAATATTGTATTATTTCGGGGTAGAGATACTCATAACTGATATACGTAATCAAGGAGTACAGGAAACAAAAAAGAAGATTGGGAACTGCTAGTATAAGCAATAACTTTATTTTATCATACATACAGATCTAAACAGTTTTATTATATACTATGTACTTGCAGATTTGTAGGAACATGCAATAAAAAAAATGAATATAATTTATTAGAATATAATGTCGTAAATCGTAATTCTCTATTAAGTTTAGTTTATAAATTATGAATATAACTTCTAAATTAAATGTGACGCGCTTTCAATTCGAGAATACCGTTTGAAGAGACGTCATGCGCAAGTGACCAACCAACCAACTTGCGTATACGAAAACTGACGAAAACTGATTGTACAAACTCGAGAATAGGCTCCCTGATCGGTGATCATGACCATGATGTTTTCAATAGGCATGCGTGAAAAACTCCGGCTTATCTGAGAACACACGTGTAACAATTTTCTTGAACTTGTGTCGCGTGTACAAGCAGTGGTGCACGTGTGTGCTCGTGCAGTCTCATGGAATCGACGTTTTTAATCTGCGTTATCTTACAATAATTTTTATTTTACAACAATATGTATGAAAAGTACATGGATTGTATGCAATGTTTGTTTGTGCGTTGCTTATCATGCATGGAAAATTTACAGAACAGATATAATGTTTCTGAGATAATGATTTAAAGATGCAAGATAGGAAGAATCTTATTTTCAATCAAACTATTCATGAAACTATTTAGAGTTAACCGAGAGTAATTGTAGTTATTATAAATATGTTACGTATTTTTGTTAAGAATGGAAGGCAGTTTAAGTGTCTTCAAAAATATTTGTTTCATCAAACTGGAAGACCTTTTTCAGACAAGGTAAGGACAAAAAGTGCATTTTTGAGTTCATTTTGTATGTTTATAGATTTTTTCACTGACTGGCGAATTAATTTGGCACTTTAGATTACATTTCTTACACAATATAAAAATCTAATTTACTAATGGATTATATAAGAATGTAATGTACTTTTGTACTCGGTCGTTTAATTATAAAACTTTTTTTGAAATATTAGAAGTTACGTGTACTTTACTTTTTCATTTGTTATGCTCAAAGTGTTCTTGTTTCAATGTTTATTTGTACGTTAACCTTAAAAATTACATAACAGTGCTAGTTACACGGCAGCTTTGCTAGTCACCACTGATAATTCAGAAAGAAAAATGAAATGTAATTAGCTACATAGTTCGATAATAATCCATGTTATTATTATATTATTAATAATGTAGTATGTATGTTATAACATTATTAAATTCATAACAACATACGTAATTATCTTATTTATGTAAACATACTCTTTTCTAATAGTTTGATATAAAAGCCTTCAATAATGTTTAAAAAATATATATTCATTTCTGTGTTACTTTATAGAAAATTATAAGAAGAGTTCCACAAAATAGAAATGTTTCTAGTCCTATAACACTAAATAAGCTAAAGAATGGCATAAAATCTATAAAAGACAAAATTGTACCATGGGATCCTAATGATGATAAAGTACCATGGGAAGAGCGCACACCACTTATTTCAAGTGAGTGTGATATTGTTATAATTGGAGGTGGAGTAATAGGTAGTTCCATAGCTTACTGGTTGAAGAACCGTGTTTACGACAAGGAAATGAAAGTTATAGTTGTTGAAAAAGATCCTACGGTATGTTTCTTATCACATCATTTTATTTTTAATTCGTTATACAATTACACTATATCAACTGATTAGTACTTATTCAATAAAATAAATTTGAATTGTACTTGCAGTACACCAAAGCATCCACAGTTCTTTCCGTTGGAGGGTTACGTCAACAATTTTCTCTTGAAGAAAATATTGAAATGTCCCTTTTCGGAGCAGAGTTCATACGCAACATTAATGAGTACTTAGGCATCGATGGAGAGCCTCCTATTGATCCATATTTCCATCCATATGGATACTTAATGTTGGCAAGCAATACAGGAGCTGAAACACTAGAAAAAAACTCTAAATTGCAAAATTTTCTTGGAGCAAAGAACATTTTACTAACACCAAACAAATTAAAGGATATGTTTCCTTGGTTAAATACAGAAGATATTGCATTAGGTTGTTTTGGATTAGAGAAAGAGGGTTGGTTTGATCCATGGACTCTTCTTTGTGCTTTTAAAAAAAAGGCATTATATTTAAGAACAGAATATGCTTATGCAGAAGCTAAAGGATTTACATATAAGGATAAACTCAATCATCCTAATGACCGTTTGGATAAATTGGTTGTAAGATTTTAATTTTATTTTATTATTAATTATAAATGAAGTTTACAATCTCTTGTATTCACCAAATTAATTTTGTTTAATTTTAATGTATTCTTGCCACGAAGAAGCCATGCAACTTATATAAATACTTCTTTCCATTATTTAAAATAGCACAGATGGACTAATCCTAATGGGACTTTCTGTATATCACATACTTAGAAAAGATTATTAGTGTAGATTCTTTTCAAATTCCTTATAAAATACGAGTAGTAACATATAATTTTTCCTTTAACTTCATTTTCACATTTTATTATTTCCGTTTTAATTATGTGAATTGTAATCAACTTCTGTTATAAATTGTGTTCATAGAAGTTAATATAGTAATTATTATGTTAAACGAAAGAATGTAAGTAAATGCATATTTTTCTAGATAGAAACTCCAGAGGGTGAGACAAGAACTATAAAATTTGCTATATGTATCGTGGCTGCTGGTGCTGCTAGTGGAGAGGTTGCTAAGCTGGCTAAAATTGGTACAGAAGAAGGATTACGGTACCTAGCACTGCCTGTCGAACCAAGGTAATAAATTAATAGATTATCTCATATTTATAAAAACTTTAAAAACGTTAAATTATTAAATACAATGCAACCTATAGATACTATAGTAACTTTATTTCACAGGAAAAGATATGTATATTGCTTTCACTGCCCTGAAGGACCGGGGCTGAACACTCCATTAACAGTAGATAATTCAGGAACATATTTCAGGTCACGATTAATTAAACATAAAATTGTTTTATTACTTAATAATATGATCTTTGTTATATAAACTTTGATATTTGTCTTAGGAGAGAAGGCTTAGCAGGTACTTACGTTTGTGGACGTTCACCGTCTGAATCCGAAGAGCCTTCAATTAAGGACTTGAGTGTCGATGAGAATTACTTCAATGATGTAATCTGGCCGTCACTTGCACACAGAGTTAAAGCTTTTGAAAAGTTAAAGGTATATTTCAATTACAAAAATTTCTCTTTATTTAAAATATTTAAGACGCAACTTCAGTTTCATAGGTGTACCCTATATAAAAAGCGAAATATGGAAACTGAATTTTTGATATACTTATTTTTTTATAGCTACAGTCTTCTTGGGCAGGATTTTACGAGTACAATACCTTCGATCAAAACGGAATAATTGGAATCCATCCATACTATAAGAATATATTTTTTGCAACCGGATTCAGTGGCCACGGAATTCAACAAGCGCCAGCTGTTGGTAGAGCAATTGCAGAATTAATCCTCGATGGGAGATATATAACAATTGATCTAGAAAATCTTGGTTTCGATAGAATCATTAATGGAAAGCCCATGTTTGAAACTAATATTGTTTGAAGTAGCCATTTACACGGGTAAAAGGTTTCATGTGCGCATTGATATGTATTTTACATGTATATATTATTTATATATTATATCATTGTTTGTATAGTAGGTGTAAGCAACTAGATTTTTTCGGGTCACGATCTTTGCCTGTGCCAGTTGGAATTTAACCCTTTATTTTTTAGCTTTTTTAATTTTAGTACATTTTTGTAGAGCCTCACTCAACATAGGACTATAAAAGGTTAACGTTTTAGACGAGTGCGAAACGTATGGCGAAACATAGCTACTGTTTCCATTACTAATTCCACTGGCGTTGGCGTTTTTCGCGTACTGGTCCATACCACGTCAACGAAACCCTGTCACTGATCACGATTCCTAGATTTAATGCTGTATATAGTTGGTTAAGGTTCCAGTCTTAATAAATAGCATTTATACATGCACATCGCTTGAACTGTTGCTAAATCCTTCTTTCGTTCCACCTTCGTCACAACATTCTTCTGTCCTTTCTGTTACATTTTATATTTAATAGAAACATCTGCTGATCGAGATTATCCAGGGAGCGGAGAGAGGTAAATATGAAGGAACACGTAACACTGCTCAATGATCTGGATAGTAATATTGGTGTTCTAATGTGGAGGATCATGGAAGAGGTCAAACATCTTATGCTGCAAGGACAAAGGGTTTAGAACCTTGAGATATACCTCGAAAATATGACAGAGAATTTAACAATTTTGGGACTTGAAGTAAAATATTGTGATTGTAGATTCTGGGAAGTCCATAAAGTCTGCGCTCTTTACTTTCACTTGGTTGAACGGTTTTGTTGATACTATCTGGTAGTTTGGTTGTTTTGATGATGACTGCTGTCTTTCTTTAAGTTTTTGTTGAATCTGTCTGGATTTCTTTGTATGTGACTGTATTTAGTAGTTTCTACACTTTTGTCGTCTAGTCTTATTTTGGTTTGATCATTGCAATTATGGCATTTCCTTCATCAACTGGTAGTATTAACATGCTTTGTTATAATCTGCTATATCTAATCATAGAATCATAGAACATCTAGAAAAGGAAGAAAGAACGAAATATTTGTTCAAAATTCCAATAATTAATTACTTATTAGGAAACATGTTTGGTGAAATAAACTACTATATTTTGGTTCGTATCAGTTTACTGTATTTCAATGCTGAGTACGGCGTATTATCAGTTAAATGCAAATAAATGCGCACACATCGAAGCGGCAACGGCGAGAAAAGATTATCAATTCTGACATTCAAGCCGCTCTACGATCAATGTGTCTAAAAATTTGCATAGTATACGAACAGAGCCAACCGATAGCAATTTCCTTTTTCTTTTCATTCTCTGAAGTATATAAATATTAAAACTACAATTAAATGTAATGCATTTCACTTGAAAAAATGAGAGGTGAAGTAACCAATATTATAGAATTATTGAAACAAGATTTAAATTAATAAAGCAAAAGGAACAAATTTTAAATAAAATACAATAAATAATTAGTATTTATTGGCAGGAACAATTATATAAAATTGAAACATCTAAAGTAATAACAATAAAATAAATTATTGGAATATTTTTAGAAGTTATAAAATAGAAATGAAATCTAACCAAAGATAAATATAATAGGATAAGTATTGTTACCATATATGGTATTTAAAAAAATACAAAACATTCAAGAACTGTTACTTCTTCGCAGCCTAAATTTGTTCCTATGCTAATACATAATCAGTATACTATACTTTATAATAGAATGCGTAATGAATACACTAATGATCAGTATGTATTGACAATCGGATAAAAGACGTTACGATACGCAGGAGTGAATCTACCATGAAACTAATGAAGTTTTGGGCCTCCGCATAGAAAGGCCTCTACTGAGTACTTCTTATGTATGAATTTTTTAATTTAACTATTCAGAAGCACATTAGAAATCTTTTTTTCTTCTTGACAAATGATGTGGTTAATATAAATAATTTTATTTAAAATTTAATATCTATAAATTTAATATTACCCATATAGATGGATCGAATGAGAAAGCAGTATTTTGTATTAAATAGTCTGATTTCTCATAGACCTTTTTGTTGGTAACTATTTCGTGCACAAGACAGTGTACACATAATTTTTCTTTATCTAATACTAACATTATAGCTTTTAAAATTGATGGACACAGAATGGTCGTTCGGATTTTTCAAATTTTTTATACGTTTCCCTGTTTGGTTGTCGAAGTAAAAGCGTTTAAATTTTTGATAATTTCATTTATTCCACGATTCTTTAAATTGAATCTATAACGACTCTATAGCGACGAGAATCTATCGAAGAAAGAAGTAATAGGAGGATAAATGTGCATTTATAATAATAACCACTTGGCTTTAACAAATCATTTGAGTAAAAAAAGAATATCTCAAAATAATTAATTTCAGGCACTGATAAGTCGATATTCACCAATAACGATACTTATTTGTATGAAATAAAGTCAACGGCAGTATCTTTCTACCGCGTTAAACAAATTTCATCATTCATAAACGTAATCGGTGTCGAATAGGCCTTAATTATTTCGATTAAACTAAAAACCGATTGCATGTATGAATCATCAAATTAGTTGATGACAATTTTATTTAGGATTTATCTTAAACTTGATTAAGATCTAATAAAATAGTAATTGCCAAATGTTATTCAATATAGTAAATATTATTTCCATCAATGATTTATCCTCCTACGTCTCCCTTACGTTTCATAAAACTACACTTTATTTTCTCGAAACGCAACATTTGAGAACAAAAGACTTTTCTCAATTAGAGAAAAAAAGGAAGAAAAACGAATGCTTTCGGCCGGCCACTCTGTAATTTGATAAAAGAGCAAATTTAACGCAGACTTGAGCGCCAGTTGATTCAAATTTTATTCGAAAATTCATGAACAATTTTTAATATGTTATTCCGAAAGTTATTCGAACGAAATAAAAGTCCTTTTCGAATAAACGATTTCGTCTACAAAGAGTGCTAAATGAAATAATATTTTGAACACTTATATAGATATAAATCAAATTATTTTACCACTGGAGAATTATTTAAAGATTAATTTAAATTAAGATTACTTGATGTAACGTTAGCACTGTCTATGACGATTCAATATTATATAAAAATTAGTTCTTCAATTGTTCGAATAAAAATTACCCAACTATCAAACGTAAGAAGGCGCGTGTAACTTTGGATAGGACGAGGTGTGCGGCTAAGGGAGTTGGCCTATATTTTCGGGTTGAAAAGACGATAAAAGATCAATTATTCCTCTTTTTCAGCTTTCTCAACATCCTGTTTTTCTTCAACCTCTATATCTCCCTCAAACTTTGGTCCTGGTGCTTCTTCTAGTACGATCTCTTCTGGATCTGGTGCTCGCGGAAGGAAATCTTCTTCGGGATACATAGCCTTGAAAATGCTTTTTGCCTAGAAAAGTTGTATACTTATTTACAGTAGCAAGTAATCCAAAATACTTATCCTAAATGTTCCTTAACCCTTTGGATGCCACAGGCAGATCTGTGATCCAAAGGGTTAAAGTAGTACTTTTCGATTGATTTTAAGAAATTACAATTATATTTAATATTTATGTAAAATTTTAATTGACTCCGGGCAATAAACAACATTAACTATAGGAAACATTTAAAAAAAAAAAACCAACCTGATGGACTGCAAAGTCGAAGTCAAGTTCCAAATCCGGACCCGAACAGAGGTGGAGGTTACTTGGCGCAGAATCGTTTAACTTAATATCACTTGCGGGTAAATTTAAGTACAATGACCATAATACTTGTGGTTTTGGATTCTCCGAAGCCTCTTCTTTGTCAGTTTCGCTACCTTCCTGTGAACATAGAACTTTTTTTTTTAATCTCTATACTAACATTATCTCCATGTATACGTAATACATGTAACACTCAAATTTTAAAACATTTTATATCTTATTTAAATTATAATATGTATTAAGTTTATTAAGATAGATTACTTTATTTTAAATCAATTTAAACCTTTGTGGACGATGGACGTCAGTCAATTAGGTGACTGTATGTGATAAACGTAATTAGTATTCAACATGTATACAATGTGGAGCATTTAAATGAGATCACCTAACTATCTATTACTTATGGTTCAATAAAAAAATCTTAAGACGAAGTTCTACTATTTGAAGGGACACATGTAATGGTTGGACGAATTTTGTTCAAGGTCATTTTTTAAAAGAGACTTCGAGGATATCGTTATTTCTTTGAATGGAATAATATTCAGTTTTGTGCACATTTTTATAAAACATAAATAGCCAAAATCATCGATCTCAACAATATCATTTCGATCACTTAATTTTGAGAAATTTATATTTTAGTTGCGTGTTCAGAAGTTACATCTGTACTGAAAGAGATTGTTTTTATAGAACCATAAATAATGAAGATATTCAGGTATTATATTCTCTGTATATACCCAACTTGTGAAAATCTTCCATACAAAGTGTGCATGTTGCCCCAAGACGCCCGTCCGCAAAGTGTTAACTACTGTTAAGAGGATATTCGTTTTTTTTTTTCATACGTAAACAGAACGTGCATGCAGTTTATTCTTCCACCATTATATTAATGAAGAAAACCGTTACTTCGAAATCGCCTCTTTTTCTACTGGACCCTGAATAATTTGTAGTTGGTCAGCTCATTAGTTCATGAGAAATCATGCCAACTAGTTTGAAAATCGTAGTTTCTAGAAAAACGCGACTAATAACTACGTGTTCTATTCTGTGCCATGAAAAGTGATATTATGAAGGTAGTTGTTTCGAGATAGTCATCTTCAAAAGTCGAAAATTACTAATCGGGAACTTTTGTAAAATAATTTCGGTTTTTATAACATATCAAGTTTTCAGCAAGTTCCTAAATTACATTTTAATTTAAATTTAAATAATTTACGTGAAAATCTGTATGTTTCATAAGGATGTGTTAAAATTACAAAATTTTGAGATCGTTTTTTATCAAATTGAGGTGGTCAATTTAAATTGAAATAGGCTCATATCGTTCATATTTAATCAAAGAATAATCAAGTGAAGTTTTGTTACGATCTTCCATTGAATAATCCACGAAGCAACTACCTTAAGTAACAAATAATTTTATCGTAAAAAAACGTACTGTGAACCTATTAATTTAAGAATAACGCACCTGAAGGTGTCTCTTATCTGGGGAAACAGTCTGTGTATGGCTATGAATGGATGAACGAATGGCTGATGGATCGAATGGTTCTGCTTTTAAAAATTTATTGACGACGTAAGCCAAGTCTTCCTTTGCATTCGTCGTTCGCTTGCATGTCATGTGAACCATAACTGTTTTAAAATAAATTATTTAAATATTATATTTACTATTCATATTAAAAATTTGTTAAACTATATAAATTTACATACATAGCCCTTGAGGACAAGCATTTGTAGATGGTCCCAATTCAATCAGGGTAATAGGTTCTTGACCAGGTTCTTCTGGAGGATAATATAAAAGTGTCAAATTCTCTTTTTCACCTTGCATAATTGACCTACAAAAATCACAGTGCAATATTTTGTCATGAATATTTAGAAGATTTCTTGACTTAAATTTCTACAAATTTTGTATTGTTTTATTTGTACATTCAATTAAAGTTGAACATGCAAATAAAACATGTATATACAGCCTGAGCTATATGATACGTTACAAGTTATTGTCTTGGGTACTACTAGAAACCATGACAAAACTCATTTCACTATTTCAGAGTTCGCGAGAGTCTATTATATGATGTATATCGGAGTACCATTGCCAAACATACCAAATAACAATTATTCAGTGGTTTATATATACATACAGAAAGTTTTTAACAAGCAGAATTGCAGAGCATTGCGTTCAACTTAATAACTAGATAGGAAAATTGTTAAAGATAGATCTGATGTTCGCCAGTTCAAAAACAGTCGACAAGAGAACCTATACAAACTGTCAGAAGGAATATTGCAACATACTTGGAATATGCTTATGAGTAATCAAAAACTTCAGTAATACAAATCACCAAATGTACGTTTAATATTTTTACAGGTAACAACCTCCTTCAGTGTGTCTAGGTTCTTAAGGGCTCATATACAGTGGTGTTTCCATGACAGCATGATGAATATAGTTCCATCAAGAGTTCTCTTCTTGGGCTGTCTGAAAGTGGAATTTGTTAGATGACTAAAGGCAGTCAACAATTTTAAGAATCTGAGGAAAGTTCATTGCTAACGCAACTCAAAGCGTGTTGTTGTGTTTCAGGCGAAATCGCGTTTTTTCTCACAGCTATGACGTTTAAATGCGTCATTTCCAGACGGTGTGAGTATACTCCAACAGGTTCAATTGAATTTGAGGTATACTAAAATTATTTGCGTCATTAACGAATTAGTGGACGTTGGTGTTTTGTTTATGGCATCGTTACCAGTTATCATTTTCCGTGTTTTCTGATATGTTTAGTCCAGTTAAATTTCTTGGTATTCGTATTAACATTAAATTATAATTCAAAATTCACACCAAAGATACCTTAGTTTAATGCAACAAAGATTTCAATATTATTAAATTCTTGAAGGGAATTAGGTAGTATGACCTTCAAATACTTCTGTTAATATACAAGTCATTGATCAAGTCAAAAATTGGTATTAGTATGTAGTACTTTCTCAATGAAAATTATTGGATAGATACGAACCACAGCTATTCATCTAGCAATGAGCTATAGAGATCTAACACCACTTGATACCATTACAGCTAAATCACAAATACCCTAAATAAGAGATAAGTTTATGTTTACTTTGGTGTAGAATACTACTATATAAATATATATAAAACCTAATGCTGGCTAGTATAAAACTTATATGAATTTATAATCTTAATGAAATTTTTATACTTTTACATTTTCATAAGCAATATTTACAGTGCGATAGGTATAGCATTAATAGTTCTCTATCAAAACTGGCAGATAGACTTGTAAAGAGCCTAAAATGTCACTGAGAGAGAGAGAGAAGGAGCGAGCGAGAGAGAAATATGGCATTGTTGGTATGAGTTAGTGTCTTATAACAAACAACTTCTTTTTTTATAAAGCAAATTCCTGCGAGGAATTTATCTTGAAATAAGTGAGTAAATCTTTTTCTTTAGAATTTATATGTTTTACACCTAAGTAGAAAGAAAAAGACGTATTCCAATTTCGAATAAAGGTGCAATCGCCGATACGCACCTTGCATGACACGCATGTAGCATAATAGTCGATTCAACCCATATGGTATAAGTAGTAACATTCGACGGTACCCACTTTGTATCTTGTTATATACTTGTAACGAAAGTCTGTTACATTACAATCTGTGTAGATCTTTTCTTTACAGCAGATTTTTTCCTGAAGGTTCAATGTGCGGATCACCTCGTAATCTGTTGCCTTCTTTTTGCAGTATTTGGTATGCCGGCACATCGTGATATGCTTCACCAGCGCACAATTACGTCGATTGTTTCATCCCACTAGACGACTTTTCCATACTTCTTCAGAAAGCTCGAAATATTCCTCCCCTTCGTCCTCCTTGGAACGAAAAAGATTGTGAGGGACCAACATAGTCTTGCTGAATATGTATCAACAGTTTCTAAATTGTATGTTTTATATATTCTCTTTGTTAGTATGAACTTATTTTTAAATTATTTTCCAAATGACTTAAATTTATCTGAATTTACTTATGTACTAGGATACTTAAATTTCTAGAATGTTGATATTTCGGATTGTACGCGCCAGTTTTCAGTTGTTAATAGTGTACGATACGAGGCTTATCGTGAAGAGAATTGAAAGATTTTATTTGGTAGTAGTTTAAGTACTCTGTACGATTCAATGTACTATTTAAATTTTCCTTGTCGCACATTGAGTGATACGTAAATTTAATCGCCCACATTGTATTTTTATGGTTTGATTTTTTGATGATAATATTTTGATTTCTCTTCTACTCTTCTTAAGTTGTCTGTTGACAAAAATCTTACAAATTATTTATCGTATAATAGAAGTCACGTATGTAGGTAATCTTCATACATGGATTCCAGATTCTCTTGTAGCGATGGGTCATTTGAAGGAGAGACTTTAACATTCTAATGTACACCACTATTGTAGAAGACCTTGCAATACTGCAACAGTTCTAACTAATTGTCCCAATTATTATAACCATCTTATATTTCGAATATTCTACGAATACATGTGTATGAGTATTTTGCGAAGAAATTAAATTTGTCCCTTGGTCGGTAAGAATGGTTCGTGGCAATCCTAATTGACGAATAACATTTCTTATAAAAACATTGGCTATATCCATCAGGTCTACTCAGGGGCACTACTACAAACTACGCATTTAATGAATTCTGTTTATTAATAAACTAATATCCATACTGATCTTCGCAAACGCTTGCCAAGGTGTACTACTGTTATTACCAGTGGTTGTTTTGTCTTCTTTATACGCATAAGTTTTTTTGAGTAACATAGCTTGAGGTAACAAATATATCTCTAAATATATCTCTTGTATCCTTCGATAACTAATTTGCGTTTCTCGTAGACTGTCTGAACATCCAGTGCAAATTGTTATAATTATTGTTAATTGTTTTTAACGTGTTCAATATAAATTTTCAGAGAATACAAATAAAATTGCCTTTCAGGTTGCTTACTTTATTAATGCTGAAGGACCTCAAGGTTGTTTCCTCGATTATAACGTACAAAAGTCTCATGCCATTCATGAAGTTATTTTGAATGAATAAGAATTTTCCAATGCCCATTAATTGACAGGGGTACAATTTATTTTCTTTTATTGAATTTTGTTTTAGTTCTTCCATCAAATATCCTCTGGCTTTGAAATCGTGCATCCCCTTTTGTCTACTGCTTCTTCTGTCGATGAATATTATTTTGTAGTCTTCAACGAAAGCTAGCGAATCTCGAGTTTCGATATTTATTCGAAATTCGCATTGTCAGAAATAAACTTCTTATTGTTGTGCTTTCAAAAATCATTAATTATTTTTCGTGTTACTTGGATTCTGTATCGTTGGTTAATTCTATAATATTTTCTTTGGCTATTTATTGCTTATCTGCGTCCATAGAATCAAATTACTATGATACAATGAATCGAAGATGAGGGGAATCTTTTCTTGGATGTAGTGGCATATGGGTTCGTCTTGTAAACTTGTCGATGTAAATTTGTTTTGTAAACTTGTCGGGTGGTTTCCTTTCCTCCTTGATGGATCATTACTTTCTTTTCTGTAATATGTTTGGTAGAAACGAATCTTCCGAGATTTTGTTTTCTTTTTGCTCTTTTCTTTTTTGAGAGGGTTTCTGGTTAGTGGATCCGTGTTTAGTGTGAAACTTTCCATGTTTGTAGGTAATATTACAGTCGTAATTAGAAAGCTTCAATTTCTATTTCCAACTTTATGAAGTACAATTCTTAAACGAATTCAAGTATGGTCTAAAATGAGTTCCACAATATGCAATTATTAAACATTCCTTTTTCATAGTGAAAGACATTCTTTTCAACAGGATTTGAAGTTCCACATGCATAATGAGGTAAAAAGGTCTATTCACAGAGGTCCTTGATTCAAACCACCACCTGTAGCATGTCTTGATGGATTTGTTATTAAATTCAAGAGTTTAGTAAAATGTGAGTATCATATCACAAACTCTGCAACGAGATCTTCAAAATTTGAAAAGATATTTTTGTGTTTCTTCACAAACATATTTCTACCATAAAATAAATCTACAAAGAATAATAGGTTTCACATAAATGTTAAAAATTATTCAAATTTTGTTCATCGTCGAATTCATCAGCTTGATATAAAATGTAAACAGAAAACAAACTAAGGAATACAAATGAAAGTCTTAAATGACGAGTTTATGATATGCAATGGTACATTAATCTCTACCGAGACTAAGGCAGTATGACGTTAGAAACTCACATGTTCAACAGAAATACTCAAGTTTGTAACAATGAAGCGATACCTAAAACCTCGATCCCTGGTTTCATTCATTATTCAGAACGTTAATATTACTACATAGTAGATATTTCTCAAAAATAGTGTGATTCACGATTGGTTTGTGACTTTAGTCGACTGTTTTCGAATGGGGATAATTATTAATCACGAATCATTTATACAAATTGTATCTTTGTCTGAAGTATTACTGTATACTTCATAAGACTCCAGTGAACTCCAAAAGCTTTTGAGATCACTTCCGTAATTAGTATTCATCTTTCGTCGATCACTAATTTTATTTAATAGTTATCAAAAACATTGTATCCAACACTTTTAATATTAAAATTCTGCAGAGTATAATGAAAGTCTATGATGGAAATTAATTAGAATTATATTACTGAAACAATGATGAATTTGTGTAACTTATTTTTAATCAACATTAATTATTGTGGTTTAATAATATACTTTTAACTGCTTTATGATTAATATCACAGATATATTAAAATTACATAATTAAAATTTACTAAATTGTAATATTTTCACAAATTTATAAAAAATGATTACCTGTCCGTGATAAATACTCCACGTGATATCCGTTGCTCTCCTTCAAAAGCCACAATTTCTGGTGGTAGATGACCTTGACCAACAACCAAATGTTCTAAAGTTAATCTCTGCTTGCCACTGATGATAGCTTTACATTTGTCGTTATCTATTACTACGCCATCAAGCTGCCTCTTCAAACAATACACTCCTCCAAATACCGCACACAATCTGCAAACAATAATAATTACAATTTTATCTGATAAAATTTTAATGTTGGAAATTACAATGACGATACACTAAAATAAAAGTTATAAGAAGAATTTTACCTGCAAAAACACTGAGGCAATTCGCCACTACTATACATAGGCCAAAGAAAAGGTGTATTTCCATATCGACCAAGACTATTCAGAAAATGCTTTGTGCGATTAACACCATCTCTACATGAAGTCTTTTCAGTGGCCATTGCAATTGCCTGAACAATGTAATGTTGCACAATTGGTGTCAAATTCTTCGTGTTTAAGTATTCTAAGAAGGTCTTGTCCTGGAATCCTATTAATAGGTGTAATTTACTTAAAACAAAATATAATAAAAATTACTGAAACACAATACCGAATTAAGAAACTTTTATTTCATACAGGGTGGTCCATATACATATGTACTGCATAATGTGCTCTTTCTAATCATGCAACTTTTCTTTAAAAAGTTTTCCTGTACAATACATATTTTACGAGTTAGTCGAAGTGTGCAAGTTGTGTGGACCACACTGTATATACGATAATTCATGTATAAACGGAAATGTTTAAATTTATCTCAAATATACTGATTAATTCTCTTTTACTTCAAAAGTTATAAATAATTCTCAACATCATTCTCTTATTACTGATTCTTTGTTGTGAATAATTTTGTATAAAATTCGATTAATAATTAATTTACAATAATCATATTAACATATAATTTTGGTTCATATATTAACTGCTATTGTATTTTATTGATAGATAAATGATCCATTGAAGAAACATAGTTTTGCATTATGTCAACACTATAAGCGTGTTTTCGGGAACGTAATTTGAGGGATGAGTGTACTTAACATTACCGAATTCAATCAAAGAATGCACATACAAAAGGTGAATATAATTACCATCAAACTCTGGACTATCAGCACCCTGCACCATGCAAGAAGTGAGTAGTTTCATGAGCATTCTTTTCTCGACAAGACTAACAGTTTTATTTGCAAATACATCAGCCCTTGAGCAAGGTACTTGTGTAAGTTTTCCATCCATAAATGTAGCCACTCTGGATACTGATCGAAATTCCGTATAACGAGAAATATTACTGGAGATCAGTAATTCAACAAGTTCGCCTCGTGCAAACAGCAACTATTATCGGTAAATAGAATTCCATCAATAGTGTTCAAATAAAGAAACTTGTAAATTTATGAATGTGTAAGTTTTTTCTTTATAAATAATTAATTAAATATGACGTTTAAAAAAATGAATTATTAATTTACAGTCAGTCATATAAAATATTCGTACCCTCTATCTCTATCAAAGAAATTTGTCTAAATTAAATGATAAAGTACAAAGTTACAAATGTACAAAGTTTATTTATGTACATATTTATAATGAAACATTTATTTGGAAACATCAGAACTGTTATTTAATCGAGACAGATTTTTTTATTACATACAGAGGGTACAAATACCTATGAGACTTACTGTATATATTTATCATAATTTACGGAATTTATAATTTATGTTCAAATTTAAGATACTTTTTTTATAAGTAAATGAATTTATAAACACTGTATGAACTTATTTATTTATTAAAATGTACCGAGCTCTTATAAAAGATCTCTCCATGTTGGTTGAACTACGATACTTCATTTAACAACTCATCGACAACCAACCACCTGAGAAGTCACAATCCAAGACAGACAGTAGACAATCCTGACAGAATCTAATAGACTACTCTAGTATTAATAGAAGAAAATACTCAATATAGAAAATGCCCACTCTGAACCAAACAAAATTCAGTGTCTACACCAAAACCATAATATTTAATAGTCTTGTTTGTTTTTAATATCATAAGAAAATATGTAAAACGTCGTTCAAATTGTTTTAAAAGAAGAACACAGAGCAGTACAATTTGTTTTTAATGTCAGTGTTTTCACACTTTTTTTTAGTCATATTACGGTAGAACATTTTCCTTTCCAATTTTTTCGCGCTTATTATTTTCGAGAAGAAAACCCTAGCTAGTGACTGTGTAAATATCCTGTATACATAAAATGTTTCAATTTTAATATACAGGCTATTTCAAATAAATGGGATAAGTTATTTTGAATGTGCATATTCCATGTACGAAGAAAAATTGAAAAATCTAGTACATCATTCTGGAATCTGAATTTTTTAGAGATAAACACTTTAAACTTACTGATCCGACTCTCTGCACGCGCAATTTATATGCCAATCTGCTGATCACGCGGTCGGACGTGCATATATATCCGCATATAAGAAACACATTTCCATAACATTTACACACGTACAAACTTTAGCTGCTCGTATTTCGAAAATAATGCTCTGGTTGCAAAATGGAGCAGGATTTTTCGATTTCTCTTCGCATAAAGAAATTGTGTGTTTTGACTTATCTCATCTTTTTGAAACTTGTATATCAATAAGCACATTTCATATACTTGATATTCAATCTTTTTTTATTCCTGTTATACCTTTGGTGCCAGATCAATATTGAATTTTCTGTATTCCATTCTTATACGATCTATACTCCACTGTTTTACATTCTCTTTTTTTTCAACTTTATCACCATCTGCTTTTTCATCACTACTACCAGTGCCATCACCAGTACTATCAGTCTGAGTGTCTTTCGAGGAAACCACTGGCAAATCAGCTTCACTGTCATAAAAAATAATTAAATTTCTAAATTATACTAGAAAGGAGAAATATTGTATGGTGTTTACATTATAATGAAGAAACTTACTTTGAAATGTACCAGGTTTCTTCAATGTTTTTGACAGTAGAATATTGATCGCTGGCTTTAAGAAATTTTTCGCCATCTTCTAAATCTAGTCCAGACACATCTATGGTATTGTTTTTGGGAACTTTCAAGTCCTCTATCCATTTTTGTAGACCATCGAAATTGAATGTTGCCCAAAGGCCACCATAATATTCATTACTAGAAAGTAATTTCTTGATGAAATTTATTATTAATCGAATAAAATATTTATTTAATCAGTTGTTTTTAATATTTACACAATGCTAACTCTATACATGTATGATAATCAGACCTTTTAATTAAAGCATTACTTATCAAACTAAATATGCAATAAGTAGAAACTATTATTTGTTATTCCTTATACGTTTATAACATAGTATTCTTATATAGAAAAATATGAATAAATTAACAGAATTCATAATTGTTGAACAGATATTCAGATAAAATGAATATGCATAACATATTCAAATAAAGTAGTTACATTGTTAAAAGATGTCAATTATTCTTTTTACATCTTTCATAATCAACTTGGTCTCTGAATATTTAAATGTATCTAATATTTGCTTTTTACTGAAACATAAAGAATTTATTTTTTATTACTAATCATTTACATTTTGTTTTCTTTTTAGATTAGCTTTGTTTTCCAAATAAAATCATCTGAATGAAAGTTGGATTTACTAAACAAACATTGTTGTTTACATCAATGAATAATTAATTTCTTTTTGAATATGTAAAATATGTAAATATAAAATACAAATGTATAATATTATTAAGTTATACATACTGTGTAATTTCTAACATATTGTTAACCACATAATTATCTTTCTATATTAAATATCTTATTATTTTCACACTACAAAGCTATATATATATGAAACATTATTTCTAACTATGTAGCAACAAATGTCGTAAAAGACATATCTGAACATTTTGTAATGTACATTCATATGTATACAGTAGAACGTTAATTATTGGAACATTGATTAACTATAATTAGTATTATTGCCATAATACTATTTTCCCAAACGAATTATGTCCATGCTTAAAATGATTAAGTTAAAAGTAAGTATGGTAAAAATATTAATAGAAAGCATTTGTATGATGTATGAAATGATATTAAAAAGGAAAGAGAAATGCTGATTTTGATAATAAAAAGAGCTATCTTTAGAAGAATAGAAATGATTAACATTACAGTGGTCAACATCATATTATCAATATCATTGTATAAATTTTTATGTTGGAAATTATTTACCTTGTATTGTCTATATTAAAATAAAATATTATTTACATACAATGGAATAAGCTACAAAAATTTGTGTGGCAATATCTATAATACTTCTTGACAAATAGATAAATTTTAGATGAAACTAGCATTGATAAGATAGAAGTACACAGTTTGAAGCTACTGGAATCAAAAATGTGAAACCTTGTGGATTACAAAGGGTTGACTTTGTTTATGACTAGCATATGTTTAACATCCTTGCGAGCACCGCTTTAATCTACAAGTGTCAGTTGGTATACAAAATTGTCTCAAGTCTTTCATTTCTAATTACTTGTAGCTATATCATTGAAAATATTTTTAGTTCACGAATGGAAAGTAATAGAAATGAATTATACTTTTCAGATACTATAAACTCATTAAAATATTTTGTAAAGAAGGATGGAAAAGCATTGATATTCTCTGTAACATTTATAAAAGCTTCTTTATTTCTTTAATCTTGTTTAATACTAAAAATATATTGAATATTTATCCTGCGATCCCTCAAAATCTTAAAGCTAAAAATACACTACATGTTGCAATAAAATAACTAAAAGCATAAAAGAAGATAGACTATGTATAAATATCTATTTTAAATGAATTATGAGATCTAGTTTCATTTAAAGATGATCAATTCTTACATCACTGTCTTAGTCTTCGTTGAAAAATACATTTTCTATATAATAAACAAGTATCGGTCAAGAAATTAACTTTCATATTCCTCTATTATAAATTTCTTAGTTTTGTTTCTGTGAATCAATTGTCGAAAAAATTGAATTATCAGAAATGTCTTGTCTTCCTATTTCTGATAATTGACGTTCTACTGTATTTTCATATTTTTATTTGATATCTGTAACTAATAAGCGAAGAAGAAGTAGTTATATGTACATAATGTAACTTTCAAAATTAAATTACCAGAACAGATATATTTCATATAATTATCATTTGTCATAAATAATTTAAAATCAAGTAGAATGGAACAGAATAAAAATACACACTATATTTGTATATAAAAAATACAAATGTACTTATACACGTATACAAAGTATGAAGTATATAAGGAAATGAAATAAGAGAGTGGAAAAATAAAGGTAAAAACAATTGAATGAAAGAAGAGGTATAGAGAGTTGAACGTACCTGTCTAGGTGAAGGACTTTTTTACCGATTCTACTTGCGGCAGCTGCGACGATGGACTCAGTCATACCTACATAAAATTATTAAACAATTATAGATATCAATAATAAAAACGGTTGACAAAATAAATGAGACATATATTCAAAAAATCAATACCCGTCCCCACGACGATGACATCGTACTTAGTCGGCAGATCGTCTTCCATGGCTTCCAGTTACAAATTCCAATAAAATAAAGGGTTGCGAACACAAATAATTGTAAATGCTTCTGATAGAACGTATAAGAAATCAATTCATTCCTACTGGAGTCACTAAATTCCACTGAGTGAAAGACCACTTCCGTCGTTTGTCTATCGTTCGAAACTTTCACTGGTTCACGACCATTCACGGCACACTCAAAACTTCAATTTGACAGAACAGGACGCCGTTTGTAACCGAACACACTGAAACACACTGCTGATTCGTTGAAATATAATCTCGCGAAAGACAACTAGAGGGCTACAAGCAGAGTGGCATCTGGCACACCTACCGTCCCTACCAAAACGTTGAAACCAGTTGAAACTAAGTTTCCATGACATGTCGTTAATGGCGCTGATGTCGTCTTTTTGTAGTGTTCTCGACTTGACCCCTTTTGTTACCATTAGTTACTGTTCAGGGTGTCCCAGAAATAGTGTAAGAATCGGAAATGGGGCAGATATGGGGAAAAACCCTAGGCTTCGAATAAATCTGAAGTTTGCCGATGTGTTTGCCGATGACCGCTCTCTGGTAGCAGTGGATAGCAATCATGAAGACTGTATAAGGAGATCCAACTCCATACGAAAGTTACTAGAAAACTGTTATCATATATGTACAGGGTGTTCCAAAAATGTTGTAACACCTTGAAAGGGGTGGTTCGGGAGGTGATTTGAAACAACTTTTTCCTTAGCGAAAATGTTGTCAGAGACTTCGTTGAGGATATATTAACGAAAAACACTGACCAATCAGAGCGCGAGTATGCCAGTGGAGCGCTCGCGGCAGCATAGGCTACACGCTCCCCGACCAATCACAGCGCGAGTATGCCAATGGAGCGCCCGCTGATTGGTCAGTGTTTTCCGTTAATATCTCTTCAAGGAAGCCTCGGACAACATTTTTGGTAAGGAAAAAGTTGTTTCAAATCACCTCCCGAACCACCTTTTTTAAGGTGTTACAACATTTTTAGGTCACCCTGTACTTTGTTCCTTACTTGGGATCCAACGGTATCCTAAATTCTAAGTATCTGTATACAGCAGTGAAGACTGCAACGCTCGCTCCAATGCGCATAATCAGGAAAAATTCCACGAATGTCCATCACTGAATGTAGCTATAGGAAACGATGCGTGGTCAGTTTCAGTTTAATTTTGATTTTATTATAATGGCATAGCCTAGTATATCTATTCTTTTATACTTCTATTATTTTTTAGAGCGAATAAAGGACCCAGTTTTATAGTCGTGTTTGATACGCTCCTGACACTAAGAACAGTGCGCATGCGCGAGTAAGAGTAGTATTTGGCATCACAATTTCCGACACGCATGCGCGTAGGCGCGAGTTAGAACCATTCAAATTCAAAACCATCCCTGGCATCACTGACTGATGATTTCTGATTTGCGTTAAATTTACTGACTTCTATTTCGATTTAAGGCTTCATATTCCAATAAATGACCATGTAATAAAAGTAATAAGTAAATAGTAATAAAAGAACCTTAGTATTATTAATTTAATATTACAATTATGTTGCTAATCTTATTTTAAGAATTATGCACAAAATGAAAAGAAATTTATATGTAATAACAATGTATTTCAAATGTATCCATTACACCATTGATATACGAACATCAACAATAATTTCGGTTTTGTTTAATATATCCTTAAATATACTCCTACATCAATATGCTTGTATGAGGAAATGTGTCTGTGTATTTCAATATTTTATACGACTGAATGTCAACAAGGGTGATATGGGTATTCCTAAGGCGTTTCTTTTTAAACCTATTGAACATTTTTCTTTTATGCAGTATTCATCATATTTTCGCAGAACCCTGTAATAAGGTACCTTTGTTCTTCATTAAAGCTCTAATCCTACATTTTCTTTGTAAATACAATCACAGTGTAAAGGCGTACTGTTCAATGTGTCTGGTCCATCTTGGTCTACCTAATAAATTTTCGAAACTGTAACCTACTTTCTTTACTCTGTTTCCTGAAGAATTTTACAGTACAGTGCTAGGTAACATGATACTTTAAACTGATAACATACAATATTTTCAAACTACCTACGCTAACAAAAAAATTTGTATTTCAATTTTAATTGATTTCTCTTTAAACAATATTTAAAATAAAAATTGTTTTAAACATTACTGAACACTGTCATTTTCTACAATCAATTTTTTAATATAACTCAAAACAGTGTAAATTTAGTATATCAGTTATAATCATATATGTGTTAACCCTTTGCACTCGGATGTCTCTTCTGAGATATTATCGTAAGAGTCCAGGCAAACTTTATTAGTGATTACACATGATAAACTTATGGGAGCGTAAAATTTGTAAAAGTGTATGATTCCTTGAAGGTTTCTATTCAAATATTACAAAAAAGCAAACTAAAATATGGTACATATATTAAGATATGAGCTTGTGTTACATGGTAAAAGAATGTGCAAATAGCGTACACTTTAAAAAAACGACAAAGAGCATTTGTATAAAAAAATAAGGTGTGGGAACATATTCTGTATGACATGGTCCAATTTATAAATATAAACAAGGAAACCTAAGATCCAACTTAATTATCACAAATTAGAATAGTATAAAATTTTGATTTTTGACATAAATATGTTCCACAATGTCTAAAGATTCATATAAATTCCAGTATCATTACAGTAAATTACATACTTTATAAGTTACATTATGTAATACGACGTGATTCTTGTTTGCACATTCTGTAACAAAATGGCTACGAGTGCAAAGGATTAATATCGAATTAAATCACAAATTGGAAAATATCTTTAATAAAAGGATTTATTATCGAAGAATTGTCTGTTTTAGAAAACATATAAATATATAAATAATTCAATAAATATGTAAATTAATTCCAGCTCAACCGAAATTAAAATTAAAATAATTATTTTAAATTATGTCCTTAGAATTTTAAGTTTTATTAAAACTCAATTCTATTTGACTGTAAATATCTTGCTCGTAGAGCTCAAATGAACCTATTAATGGAAAAGATTTATATTTATATCTAGAATTTGTAAATTTCTTTTATATGAACACAATAAAAACATAAAAATGACGTTTGTAATTTGATATATTATTTTGAAATTTAATTAAAATATTATATGAAACAGAATAATGTAAATTTTAAGAATATAATCGAAGAACTACCATTTCTTAAATGTATTTATCAAGACACGTGTCTGTACCTTATGTTATCACTGTATTATGTTCTAGAAACGTAAATTTAACTTAGCTAGATAACATTCGTAAACTATTTAATTTCTTTCTACGTGTATTTCCTATTTTATCAAATATCTTAATAATTTAATCATTTACACAGGTGTAATGCACATTCAATCTTGTATGTTAAAGGAATTAACATTAAAAATAATCAAAGAATTTTTGTGAAGAAAATTATTCAGTTTAATTCGTTGATGAATTAATCATATCTCAAAGACAGCAAAAAATTGAAGAATTCTATTCAAATGTAAACTGAATGCATCAATGGTGCCTTTTTGAAATTATATCTTACATACTGCTATCTTTAAATTACATTTCTACAATAAATTCATTAAATTTTATGATAATAATATTTTAAATTATATCCAATTTTATAAGTATTATAAAACATAATATGTTTGTTTTAGTAAAACCAATATTAATTTTCTCATGATTGAATTGAGATTTATCAATTATTCTTAGTGTTAGTCTTATTCCTAGAGACAATGTAGTCTAATGATAAATCTCTCCATTTCTTCATTCATGTAAAAGCATACAAGCAAGAATATGGTGAACACAAACTCTCACATAAAAATAGCTAACAAGTTTACACTTTGATGATATGCATAAAACTGATGACAAAAATCATTAGCAAGTTGTTCATATAAATTTAACAAATGTTTATCTAAAAATGCATTCTACTATATTAAAAAATAATCAAATAATTATAGTAAACCAACATTATTAACCCTTCGACTTCAGGTCACAACCTGAAGTAAGAATTTTTTTGTTATCTGAGAAACTAACAGTAAAATTTAAAAAGAAATAATGTTCGATAACAATTGACAGTTTGATCATTATCCATTTGGAGCACGGTACAATCAAACTGACGTCTTATCGTTAGTACAGCAACTCGTTGACACCCCTCGCACGGGAACCATGAAAGCGTGACCTTAGCACTATTGGCATGGGTACCTAAGGAGAGCGATTTCGCTTTTTTGCACTCAGACGATTTATATTAATATTAAAAGAACAAGAGTTGTTCAGTTTTTATTCAAAGCAAACATATTAATAAAAGTTCTCATAGAGAAACATCTTTCTTCAATTCTGATTTTAATTAATAATAAAAATAACAATTCTGATACTTTTAGAAAAGAAAGAAACAAAATAAGTATGTAATAAATGAAATACAAAATAAAATTTGTTTAATTTCTGAAACAAACAAGCACTGTCAAGCCTCAGACGTGTTTAAAAATTGGTATATTGGAATGCAAAGTAATAATAAATAACTTACGTATCGATAAATAATACAATGATGACAATAATATTAATAATAACATAGTAATAGCAATAATTGTATTAAATATTACGCAGTGTACGGAACGATTTTTAAATAACTACAACAATAGACAATAGTATTCGTGCGTATTTTCCTCAATCTATTTTTTTTAAATAAAGAACATATAGAGAGTGCCCAACCTGACTGTATATCCTCACATGTTATATATTACTTTAACTACTAAAAAATTCTTAATATTTAAGTATATTTCGTCTTATCTGTGTGACTGTAGTTGAAAGTATTTATTAAAGATATCACGCAGATTTGTAGATGCAAATTGGGCATCCTATACACATACATACATACACATTTACACAGAAACATGTACTAAAGTCGGGAAATCATATTTCGAAACCATTAGCGCTTTTACTGTACCAATTTATACTGATAACTAATAATATTATACTTTATTTTTAATAAAATTCTCTCTCCATTATAACATCGTTCTCAGATGATTTTCAATTTGTTCAAAATTGGTTTCGCTGATTTTGTTTTACGAGACTTTGAAGTAAAATATTATTTGAATACTCTGTTTCGATAATATATATCTCTGAAATATGACATCTTGACTTCTTTATTTCCTTATTTTTTCGTATATTAAAACTTCTCTGTACAAATATCTCTATATAAAATATTTCTTGAGCTGATACAGTACTTCAGCTGTCGCCTCTCTTACTTACTTGTATATTTATATTTATACGTAATGGTACGCACGGTTCGGTTCCTTTTTCACATCATAACATTAAATCGACAACAAAAATTTAGATTACAAAGGATTTTTCTTGATTATTCGTACTTCATTTTTACAGATGAATAGTCAAATTTGTAATAATTTCTTTAAGATCGTAATCTTATTTTATAAAAAATGTGTTCTACACATTTGAATAGAAATGACTATTCTTAATATAATAGGAATAAATGAAATACATAACTTATGAAATTTATATAATTTAACAAACGAGTTCATAAACAAGCAAAAACAAAAAAAAAACAGTGCATAAAAAGAATTTAGATAGAAAGGAGCTCATTGGTATTCTCACTGTTTTTTTTCTAAGTATAACTAGATTTAAAACTATCGATAGAGCTTCTGGAATATATTTTGGTAAAGCCCCATGGACGGATCGTTCGTACTATCATAAATTAGGACGATTCGGACGAGTGTGAGCGTTGGCAAAGGTATCTCGACAAAGGCACGATTTTTCCTAGATTCCAAATCATTCCTTGAACCTCGACTATTTTATCTCTAATGTAACCGACGAGTACTTATTAATATAAATATTAAAATAAGTACAAATTTAGTTCGAACATTTAAATATAAATCCGTTTCATTTACAGTTTTTAACACAAAATGTAACTTTTTGTTCAAGCTCATAATTTCTCTTGTATCAGTCATATTAACATTGTTATTCAATAATTGTTTAAATAATCGAGGTGCTAGGCCTTCTTGAAAAAATGTTATTTTTCCATTAACTACTGATGACTTTTGCTTAATAAATGCGAATTGAATTGATACAAATTGCAACACTGTTCCCCGCAAATATTGCACTTCCAGGGATTGCTTTCACTATGACAGCCCTTATGAAGGAAATATAATGTTTGATCAGGGAAGGTAATTCTGCAGTGAGTGCATTGAAGTCCACTGCTTCGTTGATCGGGTCTTGTCGAACTAGGAGGTTCTCCTCTTGAATGGGGATTTGAATTTGAACTATTATTACCTATTACAAAATAAAAGTTATCCTAAATAATATTTTAGAACATGCATAATACTACTAACACTTTAACAGCCGTCAAAGTGTTAATAAACAACAATTAAAGCAATGATAACATTGAAAAATGTGTTAAACATTAAGAATTAAGGCTTTCAGATTTGCGATTAATTTTTATATGGTCTGAAGCTCCAATTTTTTATTTTTAAGCTGACTGTATAAAGTTATATGCAATAGCAAAATATCATAAATACTACAAGATGCATCTGATATTCAAAAGTTGAGCCACATAAATTTAATAATAAAACAAATCATACGTGTGATAAAATAAAGAAATTACCATTGTTATTGTTATTATTGTTATTATTATTTCCAGAGCTTGATGAAAGTTTGCGTCGTAAATCATCTCGAAGAAGAGATTTCAGTGGAGAGACCTTTATCAACGATGGTAATGGAAGATTACTAGATGTTGCACCATTCTCCTCTGTTCCATTGCTGTTTGGTTCTTGCTTAATAGGAATAAGTGAGATTGAAGGTGTAATTGCCTCTTCGTTCCCACCAAGGTTCCTTTAATTAAAAAACAAGTTACAAATATAATTAAAGCAGATTAATATCACTTTTGAAATTATATTCTATACCTGTGAATACCACTACTGTTCATAGGTAACTGATGATGACTACTACTTGGAGTATTACTGTTACTATCTGCACTCTGCGGACTATTTGGACTATCTCCATTAAGGGGAGCAGGACTTGAATTCCGTTGACTTGTAGCTTGCTCAGAATAAGGAATTGATATTTCTATATGAGGTGTTAAAAAGTGCATCGGCGGAGTTGCATTATCCGCAGATCGATTTCCAGTACTGTCTCCACTATCAGAAAGAGGAGCAGAAGGTATAGCTTCTCCTGGAGTACAGCTATTCATCAAAGAACTCGAACTATTTGGTCCTGGGTTATCCAGATCTATTCCATGCCTAAAACAATTATTAAGTTAAAAATAGAAATGAATTTCGAAGTTAATAATGCGATATTTACAACAATATTAAGATAATTAAATACTAACCTGTTAAAAAAATGTAACCTGAGGCACTTCATAGTTGCTGCTCGATAATTGCACAAAGGACAAGATTTGACCATATCATGTTGGCCAACATGTTCATTCTGGAAATGGGCTCTCATCGCGATTTGTCTTTGAAAACCACGATTACAGATGGGACAATGATATGGCAGAGTCTTAGAATGAGTTGTAAAATGTTCTGCCAAATGGTCCTTACGAAAAAATCTTTTCTGACAGACGCGACATTCGTACGGCTTCACACCAGTATGTCTCATCTATAATTATATTTATTTTCCATTGTAATTTCATATTTGTATCTCCGCAAACGATTTCATTTGTACATGTTAATTAGTGAAACGACAAATAAGCGTAATTTGTACCTTGTGTCGCCTCATATTAGCTCCATTAGAAAATTTCATATTGCAAACATCACATTCAAACATTTTTCTGTGAGAACGAATTCCAGAATGAGTTTCTTCTCCATCTCCGTCATTTTCAGCAGTTTCTATATTCTCTGCGCTCTCTCCTGGCTCAGCACTTGTCAGACACTGGTCCTGATGAGCGCAGAATGCTGTCTTATTTATAGTCTCATAGTTTTCACACCTTTCACACCTGTCCACACGTTATGGATCCTTTGATACGCTATTTAAGACTTTGATTATCTAAACGTTTATCAGAAATCTCTAAATACAAAAATTAATTACATGAAGATGACGGACCTAAAAGCAGGCACTGCACCATCACTGCTATCATAATTAGTGTTCAAGGCAGCCTCATTATCTGGATCCAAAGCCTCCTCTTCTCTCTGGTTCGAGGACTCTCCAACATCGGCGTGTGAACAGGAATGGGAATCTACCTCATTTTCCCCACCACCAATATCAACCCCATCTGACATGATATCGAGCCCTCCAGACGCTACGGTGATGAATCTGCACCATTCGTTGTTGGTTACCTATGGTATCGCAGAACTATATTTCAAATCATTCTTTTTAATAACATGAATCTTTGTCAATATCTTGTACTTGGAAATTTATGATTATACACGTGTAATATTGCAAATATCTCTGTGAGCATAACGTATAGATTACATTGACTAAATATTTCTAATAAAAAATAACGAAACGATAAATAATTAACTAAATGGTAAATAACGTTAAAGGGAAGAAGTAAAATAAATAAGTAACATAAGTAACATGATTAACGTCTCGAGAAATCTCGATGTTTACCTGTCAGTTTCGATCGAGGGTTCGAGGATGACGAGACGATTGGTCAATCTTAAGAGAAAGAGAAAGAAAGAAAGAGAGGAAAAGAGGGGGAGGCTACTAGGCATGGAGTGAGAGAAATTCCGGTAAAGCGCAATGCCAGAGTACACTGCACTTTGTCCCAGTTTCGGGGGAATCCGTCACTGGTGACGTAGTTTTCCGCCGATCTGGCTGGTCTTGTCACCGTATGCTCGACATCACTGCACAAGAAAGAGGAAGTTGAACTTTTTGGTTAGTTTCCTTCTTCGAATTACGCAGAACCGAACATCTCCGATTTTATGTCACTTTAATTCGTTTTTCGTACAAAAATACACGACACCTCTATGAACCATTGCACACTGCTCTTTTACTTTCTTCTACACGATCGATTAATCGAAACCATCGATTTTACGATATTCGACTCTGCAGTAATTTTTCGATTTATCAAATCGGTATTATCTGTCGATTTTTTTTTCTACATATCTCACCATAAATACATAAGTATCGTTTAGAGAAGCTATATATTTACTTCCAAGTGACATAATGATTCGATTCGGAAATATATGTATATTGGTTACGAGGAATATCACCAATAGAATACCTTCAATTATTATGAAACTTTACACATAGGATAATGAATTGAAAAATGTTAGATATACAGGGTGTCCCAGAAATGTTGTAACACTTTGAAAGGGGTGGTTCGGGAGGTGATTTGAAACTTTTTCCTTAGCGAAAATGTTGTCATTAACAGAAAACCCCGAGCAATCAGAAGACGCGTATACCGTTTGAGCGGCCGTAGTAGCGAAGGCTACGCGCTAGGCGGCAGCGTCAATGTCTTTCGAATCTTTCGATGCTCGTCGAGTCACTTGTTCGCGTACAAACGCGGCCGCTTAGCTCGTAGCCTTCGCTACCGCGGCCGCTCTAACAATATCCGTGCGCTCTGATTGGTCGGGGATTTCTGTTAATATCTCCTTAACGAAGCCTCAGACAACATTTCCGTTAAGGAAAAAGTTGTTTCAAATCACCTCCCGAACTACGTCTTTCAAGGTGTTACAATATTTTTGGGACACCTTGTATTTGTAAAATTATCCAGGGGTAATTAAGATACCCCTTTTTAGTTGTGTGTATACTTCGGTGATGCTATGTTTGCCGCGCATGCGCGAAAAACCCGCTCATCTACTCACTGAGCGCTCGCTGAGACACTGAGCCCGTCATTGAGGTGAGCGTTGAGCGGTGACTTTTCTATGGAAGTATGATATATCCATGAAAACTGTATAAGGAGATCCAACTCCATACGAAAGTTACTAGAAAACTGTTATTAAAATCCCGAGTTTTAAGTTATGAATATTTCGTCCACTCGCGGCGCTAGTGCGCACACTACGTATATAAATGTCATATGTGTATGTATTATCATATATACATATGTACATTCTTTTATTAAAGTCCCTAGTCTAAACTGGGTAGCGAGCAGACATATATATATAATAATATTTGATAACACTTCTACACTACACAGTTGGAATTCCTTATACAGTCTTCATAGATGTATCTCTTCATGACTGCTCGTTACCCAGTTTTAGTCTAGGGACTTTAATAAGAAGAAGTTCTGTAGAAGTACACCAAACTTGGTTTGAACTAGTCTATGACATGCGCACTTCAATTCACTCGCGTTGTAAATAAACAGTATTAGAGTATTGCTATCACGCGTAAGCGATTGAAATAACAGAATGTGAAGAAAACGTCTAATTTTGTCAACAATGGAAAACGATCGATCAGCGATCGTTTATGTTGCGACCGAAGAAAAGGAATTGACCGTTCCATTTAATTATGGGCAAACAATTGAAGATCTTTGTATCAAGGTGAAGACTTTCAGGAACTATATTTATTTTCTATTTATGGTTTATTATTTTAAAATTAAATGTATTTTGTCATTGCGAGATTTTGTAAGACATTAGAACAAAATTAATACATTCTCGAAAAGCATTGTAAAACTTACATTAAATTACACTTTAAATTAAAATGTAGTTTGCACTTGTTTTTATTTATTGCCTTCTATGTTGACTTTAAATTATGACAAACGATAAATTTGGAGGCATACAGTGTTAATGATATTTAGTTTAATATAATTCATTTTGTTTTTGATATTCGTGAAATAACATTTAACTTAAATGAAATATGTGAATTAATACATTATTTTTTTTAGGTCTGTAAATCTTTAGGAATAGGACCAGTGGCCAGACATCTTTTTACTCTTAGAAATCATTCTACAAAACTCTGGTATCCAGTAGCTCATCGTTTAGAATCAAAAGACAAAAATAAGTTCGACTTTAGGCTTAGATTTAAGCCCCCAAACATACGTAGATTAAAGCAGATTGATGGACACGCCTATGACTATTATTTTCAACAAGCACGTGCAGATGTTATGGATAATAAAGTACCTGATATTGTTTATGAGAGACATAAGCAAGAACTGATTGGGCTTGGTGTCAGTGATATGTATAGGTAATTGTAATATTTAACTACAAGTTTTATTTTATATACACTTCTTTCTGTATTTATGATTAATTTCATTTGGTTGATATTAATTCAAATTTTCTAAATATTTTTATAGAGTAATGTTGGAGAAGAGGGTACCAAGAGAAACAGTTGAATCAGAGTATAGAAAGTACATTCCCAAAGAATGTATAAAACGTCATGCATTTTTTATTAAAAAACCAATTCATAATGCTCTTCGTAAAATATCTGGGCATGATGCAAACTATGTTAAAGACCAATATTTAAAGCAGTTTGAATGCATGGCACCAAATTACCCATACGAAGAATATGAGGCTTTAATGGATAGAGGTCTAGAAAATTCTTCAGCAAAAGTATCTTTGAGAATCAATGTAGATGAAGTGAAATATTGTGAAACTGCTGCTACTTCATGGACTACATTGTGTGCAATCGAGGATTTATGTTTTGTTTCTATAAGGTTTAAATATTAGTTGATTAATAAATATATAAGGATAAAATATTTCATGAAATTATCTTTTTAGTGTATATAGATATACACATAGAAAACTTTAAGATAATTATTTTCAATATTAGAAGAATTCGAACAATTTGTTTGGAAGTAATAGCTTCCTAAGTAAATACCATTCCATTTCTTTTCGTTTCACATATTCAAGGTTTCTTAGTACTGTAATTGACATTATTTTAAGGCAGAATATTTAACTTCTATTTTTTGGAAGTATTTATCCTACAAAATAATAATAATAACATTGATTTATGACGATTCTAATATAATTTTCATTATGTTTTAGACAAGATAATACAGTGGAAATATCAAGAAAAAATGGTATACCGTCATATTTGAAGTTTGCAAAGAATGCACTCCTAATGTCCTTCGTTTCGGGGCTGGATGGTTATTATCGTCTAGCATTTAAATGGACATACAATTTGTGTGGTGAGATTATTACTCCTACTCTGGAAAAACTGCACAAATTAAAATGTCATGGTCCAGTTGGGTAGGATTGCATTTATTTCAAAATATGTGTATATATATTTTTTAGCAAAAATGTAATATAATTAACGATTAACAATTACGATTTCAAATGTAATTGCAGTACTATTTCATGTTCACATTTTGAAATTTAAACCAGAGAAGAACTGTTTATGGAAATAATTACTAAGACAACCGAAAGAAGTAAGCATCTTGGGGCCTGGTTACGAAAATTTATTGTGTACATATGAATGTAACGATCTCATAACAAATATATAAACAAATTGCAAAAATATGTATTTTATAAATATCTGACAAATGTATAACAAATAGTGAACTTATAAAAAATGCTTAATATTACAATTCAAATTATATAAAACCAATTTTTCTAGTAATAAGGAATGGTTTATTTATAAAAGATTCATAACAAATTCAAAGAGTAAACATCATATTAGTAACTAACGCATGATCTACTTTAACAGTTATTCTTCTAAACTTACACAAATTATTCTTATTATTCATATTATATATATATACATATTCATCTACATAACTTTAACACCAAAAAGCGGTATTTTCACTATCTTCGAGTTCCAGTTTGAATTTCCAATTTTCAGTATGTTTTAACTGTATTTCTAATTGCATTTTTTAATTGTAATTATAGTCTACTATGATTACAATTACATTTGTAATTACAATCATGGAATTACAATTTCACCCAGTTGCAATTACATATTGTGATCGTAATCTGTTGCATTTACTTGCATTTTGTTATTCTCAACATTATACAAGTTTTTAACGTGAGCAATTTTCAAATAGTTGTGAATAAGTGCTCTTGAAAACCTTTGAACTCATTAAGATGTGTAGTCTCTATTACTTATAAAATATTTATTTTTTGAAAAAAATTGCTATTTATAAGTGAAATAAAATTAGTTGAAAAAATGTATAGTCTACAGTATAATAAAAATAATTTATAATTAAAAATTGTTATTTCAGACAAGAATTTTCATATGCCAAACTTCAACAAAAACGTGCTAATAAACCTGGTTCTTACTTACTTAGAGAAAGTGAGACAGAGTATAACGTATTTTACTTAGATGCGTGTAACAAAGAAGGAAAGTTATTTTCAAAAAGAATAGAAGAAAACATTTCATCGGATGATTTCATCATTGAAGGTTCTTCTCATCCTTATAATTCATTGGCGCAATGTGTTTCATCTATTCATGATAGTGAAGGACAACCGTATCTTACAGAATGCTTACCGCCTACGGAGTACGGTAAATTAAACTTTTATTTTACTCTTATTATAAATTATTTACAATGTGTTCCTAATTTGACACATTACCGAAATTATTTTTATGAAAAAGTTATACTTGTTACATTGGTTACCAAAATAAATTCAACGAGTACAAAAAAATTCTATTTTTCTTACAACAGTTATTTTAAAAAATGACAAATTATTAATAATGGCATAAATGCTCCATATGTAAATCACATATAATTTAATTATCCTTACTTTAATAGTTATTTAAGATTTTACAAGTAGATTTAAGAATAACTTAAACAATGTAAATGTTGTAAATGTGAAAAATGAAAAAAATAATTATTCTGTTTATTTTCCATTACTGTTTAGACAAATCACCACTATTGCTTTGTGCTGCTGAAAGTGTAGTTAGTGAAGTTGCAGCCGACGAAGAAATTGTTGCTTCGGTTTTAGAAACTGGACCACGCTGTGTACCTCACAATCAGCTTGAAATTTATAAACCGTTTTTAAGAACTGCAGAAATTCAACATTATTCACCGACAACTCTTCACCGAGGAATTTGGAGATTGACTAAGGGAAAAAAATTAGAAGTTGCTATTAAAATTTTAAAACAAGAAGAAGAAGTAAATTATACAAAAGAATTTTTGGAACTTGCTGAAAAATGGTCTCAGTTGCGTTCTAGAACGCTTGTAGGGTAAATACTTTTAGTACAACTTGAAGGCGAAGTAAAAGACTAGCCAAGTTAAAATTTAAGAATAATACAAAGTTCTAATACCTTGTATTATATAAAATGCAATATATATATATATTATGTTCCACTAGATTATATGGGTTAATGGTAACACCATCGATTGGAATGATTTTGGAAATGGTGCGACATGGCCCCCTTGACGAATATTTGTGTAGTTCTTCTTCTCAGACTATAAAAACTGTAGATATGGTAGAAGCAACAGCTTGTTTAGCTACTGCTCTCTGGCACCTTGAAGAAAATGGTGTAGTCCATGGCAACATTAGGTGCAATAAACTCCTAGTTCATGCACATACAAATAATAGTTTTGTAGTAAAACTTGCTGATCCAGGATTATTTGTATATACGGAGACAGATATTCATTGGTTACCACCAGAAACCTATAATGATCCAGATTTAGGTAGACATAGTTTTCAAGCGGATGTTTGGGCTGTTGGGACAACAATTTGGCAAATCTTTGCTAGGTAAAATGATCGAAGACATGATCTATTTATTTGCTTTTGTAGCATATTTAAATGTTATAAGATGAGATTATATAAAATAAATGTAACCTTAATACCTATTGCAAAATAAGCATAGCTAATAGAGTGTAAATAGATTACTATAAATGTACTCAACAGAATATTATACATTTAATATTATTTCATTTCAGGGGAGCTACATTACTAGAATTTCGAAATGCTGTTACCCTAAAAAATTATTATAAATCTGGAAAACGTTTACCTATTCCAAATGGTTGTCCCACGGAAGTTTATAGATTGATACTCGAATGTTGGACAGATTCGAGTGGTTCTAGAAAGCAACCTCAAGCAATAATGAGAGATATAAATCAAATTTTGTATCAAGTATACAATTCCCGCAGGAGTCATGCTTATGCAACAGCATTTCCTAAATTATTTAGTTCTGAATTGAAAAAGCTAGATGAGGATAATTCCGATAGTATTGACAGTACATCGATAAGTAGCGACTCAAAGTCTAGTAGTCTTTTTACAGACAATACAAGCCTCCCCTGGAATGATACCGATGATAGTAAGATTCAATTATTGTTTAATTTGTTTTTATAAAATTTTGTATAAATTTTATATAAGTTTTATATAATTTTGTTTTTATAAAATTTTGTATAAATTTTATATAAGTTTTATATAATTTTGTTTTTATAAAATAATTTTATCAATTTAACCGAGTTTATACATGCATATTTTTAATTTTAGATATGCGAGGTTTAATAAATATCAATGAAAACTACGTAGGTAGTACAGAAGACCTGTTTGCATATTTAGGTTGGTTATCTAGTGCAAGACGAGATTCAGAAGGTTATCCAATTTCTCAAAATAACATTCCTAATATGAATCGTATCGAACACACCACTCAGTCTCTCAGAATAGGGCATCCTGGCGACTTGGGTGAGGTAATAAAATAAATACATTAAGGATACTTTTTACTTTATGATAAATGTAAATTGCTAATATTTTAATTATGTATATAGAAATTTCATTTGGTTGGCCGATTGCTTTTTATAAATAACTAATAAAATGAAAACTTTGATCGAACTATGGTTTTTTCCATATAAGTTATGATAATTAATATATTTAATATAAATATAGGTGATAAGAAGAAACGAAGCAGGAACAGGTGAAGATTGCGGTTCCAGAGGAAGTAGTAATGACTCTTTAGGTCAAATGCGAGGAATATATGAATTGGACATTGATTGTAATGTAATTCTACAAGGTAGGATTGGTCAAGGTTATTATGGAGAAGTCTACAGAGGTACACTTGAAAGAGATAATGGAAAAGATATTGAAGCACAAGAGGTTGCTATAAAGAAATTGAAAACTCGAGCACTCGAAGCAGATATAAGGGACTTCGAGAGAGAAATTACTATAATGAAGGTAATTAGATTTCCGAGTAATATTTATTGCTTTGTCTAATTACAATTTATTTCATTCAATTTAATCCTTTTAATTTAATATAACGTATATTAAATAATATGATTATAGACTTTAAAACATCCAAATGTGGTAGAAATCCTTGGAGTAATATCAGACCCCGAAGTTTGTTTAGTAATGGAATATGTAAAACATGGTTCATTACAAAGTTATTTGCCAATACACAAACAAAAATTGACACATAAAAGACTGTTGGGTTTTGCTTTAGAAATTGCGACAGGCATGGATTACTTGGGTAGCATGAGTATTGTTCACAGAGATCTTGCCGCTAGGAATATTTTGGTCGCTGATGAAAATAGAGTTAAGATCTGTGATTTTGGGCTGGCCCAAGTCACTGGAAAGAATGGTTATTATCTTTTACAGACTGATCGTGGCCTTCCTATAAAATGGTAAGTAGAAGAAATCTTTAACGTTTGGTAAAAAGAGTTGCTGTGAAAGTACATCCTTCTTACGAGAAAGAAATTAATATTTTATAAAGATGTGATAAATTCTGTAATTTATATATAAAAATCAAATAAGTAGCTAAATTTTGTAAGAAAACAGGTTTTTGACTACTCTGCCAAACATCAAAGAAATATTCTATTAGTTTTTAGCTAGCTATAAATTAACATCTAAAAGTGAATTTACAGAAATAATATCAAAGAATCAAATTCGAGTAATAGTGAATCAAAATTTCAATAATGACATTATTCTATTTGCGTTGACATTAAGTTTTTCTTACATTGTCTTACTTTAGGTACGCCCCAGAAAGTATTAGAGACGGAAAATTTTCTACTAGATCAGATGTTTGGTCTTTCGGTGTAACAATGTATGAAACATTTGGCTTTGGAGAAGAACCACGTTTACCCGGTATCGATTCAAGCACAGAGCGTCTTCAAAATGAACAAGAAAAAGGAAGTACTGAATTATTGGCTGCATTAGAAAGAGGTACCCGTCTTCCTTGCCCTTCTACTTGTCCGCAATCAATTTATGTAAAACTTATGTATCCCTGTTGGCATTTGCAAAGCCATTTGAGACCAGATTTTATTACACTTTGTAAAGATATCAGAGATCTTCTTGCTGAATACTAAAAACCACAGTTATGTGAGTAACGAAGTAGGTATATTAAATGAAATTTAAATGGTATAACACTCTAGAAAACTTGAATCTAATGGTAAGTTTTAATCATTGTTAATTTCATTACTTTATTTAATTTTAATGCGATAATCGTCGTTTTAATAGATTCATATATGTAAAAGTTATAGTAATATAACAATGTAATAAACGGTGATTAAATGATGATAAAAATAAATCTTTTAAAAACCGCGACAAGGTAGAAGCAGTAGAAAGAATACGTGTTCCAGTCTCAAAAAGATTGAATAAATTACTCTAACACTTTACTTAATATAGAATAAATAAATAAAAAGTTTGTTATATTTAGCTTTTCATTCTTTTTTTATTTTATTTGCAATCAAATGTGTATATGTATATACAATTATGAATTAGGATTAGCATTTGGTCCACGTCGACGGCCAAAAGTTTGTACGACGTTCACAAATCTTCGATTGTACTGAATTCGTCTCTTAGCTCGGCCAGTTTTCTTTTTACTCTTTTCTTGTTTATCTGCCTGGAAAATGAATAAAGGTGGTTAACTGAAGGTAAAAGAAAAACAAGGAAAAACATGCAAATTAAAATTTTAATTAATATAGTCTACGTTAAGAATCTTCCAATTGGAACTTATCTTATACTCTTAAAAATTGTTGACGATTTGAATTTATAAGTAACTAAGATCATTATGTGCGATACAAATTTACTTTTTATAAACTAACTATAAATTATAATTTAATTACCTTTGGAGTTTGTGCTTTCACCTTTCCAGCACGAGCTAGAGATCCGTGCACTTTACCTAAAATACGAAAATAGTTTATTTAGTTTTGTCATGTATTCTAACATTATTTTCATGGGACTTCAAGGAAATTAAATTGCGAAGTACTGAAATAAAACTAATACAGAATGAAAAAATTAAGTGATGTGGAATTAAGAAAGGTAAAACTTCCCAAATTAAAAAAAATTTTTTTTTATGATAAAATAATCTTACCACCAGGAAGTGGAACTGTTAATTCTAAAGTATTTGAGGCAAGTTCTCCAACTAATGTTTCATTTTCTAACAAACGACCAGAACAATATAGATTGAATTCTATATTTGCAGCACCCTCCAACTGCACTATTGATCTCTGTAAAAGAATTATGAACAAATTAATTTTAGTTTATATCTAAAGGTTTCTAGAATCTAATCTATAAATGCTTCTCAAGGATTAAAAATGTGTACATTACATCTAGACAAACTTTTTTTATATCTTTTGTAGAGATTAGATATTGACATACATATTCCTTATCAGATAATATAATTCATAAAATTGGTATTAAATGTCTATAAAACTATAAATAATTGGCGAATCTTTTTGTAATAAAATGTACTTTCTGAAGAAATACTTAATTACTAAAAAAAGTATGTAAAGTATATCATAAGTATACTTGAACATTCATTGGCAAAAAAAAAAAAATGTTAAAACCGGTTCCCCTGATTATAAGACAATATTTGCAGGACACAACATAATTTGAAGATTACATGCATAAAGTTGTTGTCCTATAAATTTCATTATGACAGAAATAATAAATTTAATGCAAAATAGAAAACATTTAATTTGTTCTTATATTTGGAAAATATCATCTTATTAAAATTCTAATACCAATATAATGTTTTATATATCTCCTGTTTAATACAGTTACTATTTATGAGTGACAAATATAGTCCAACTATATAAAACATGCAAATACTAAACAAGTTGCAGTTTGAATCATCGATAGGACATAAACATGTTAAAAAAAGAAACAAGCATGGGAATGTGAGTATTGTATTAAAAAAAGTTAATTAATATTTTGCTACTTATCTATATAAGTTTTCAAAAAGTAAGACAATTCACTTAAGAAGATATATGTTGACGAAAATTGCGAATGATGATCAATGAATATCATTCTGATCATCAGCTCATAAATTCGTACTTTAATATTGCGTCATTGCTCCTCCTAGAGGCAGAAAATGCTGACTCTAAGTTATCATTTAGACGCAGTTATTAAACATATTTCAAAATACTAATGAATTTATGATTAGTAATTAAAAATCTGTTGTATCAATATTTTTAAATAATGAATCTATTACAAAACATTCAATGCCATAATTTCCTTACCAACAAAATTATTTGTTATGTATTCTATATTTCTGTTGTTATGCAATACTCACTTGTAACCCTTTATAAACAAGACATCTTTACATCAGTCACTTGTTTATGTTTAAATTCTTTTCAGGTGCAAAATATTATTTATCTTGTACAAATTAAAAGTACAAGATAGTCCAATAAGTTTTTTGTCTATCTCAAATATCTTTATTATATTAAATAAGAAATTTTGGAGTTTAAAAAAATTTTATGGTTTCAAAGGAGGCATAATATATTTTTATAATTAGAATTTTAAGGATGTTTAGAAACTTCACTTTGTCTTTTTAACAAAACTCTTGTCAGTTCTTTATAGTCAATTTTTGTACAAGTATAATTGATTCTATTAAATTAAAAGTATCTTAGGAATTAAAATATTTAAATAATTAAAGTAAAATAATGTAAAAACATTCTTAGCATACCTTCAGCTCTGCGATAGTTGCATTCTCATGAGAATCGACAACAGTCGTACTCTCCCCTCTGATATGTAACTGCATGTTTGTTCTAAGCCTGAAATAAAACAATTGGAAATTAATAACAGATATTTTTTCATATTTACTACAATTTTATTTAAAATGTCATAACCAATGAATTAAATTTGTTTAGAAATAAATAAACATAAATCTAAAAAGCAAAAAATCTACAGTAAATTTAAATGTAAAATAAGATAAAATCCCACCAAGAACTTAATTCTTTGAATAAATATAACATAAGAAAATGTAAGATAGTAACGAAGAAACTAATTAAATGAAAGATGGACGATTAACATTTACACGTGTCATTATAAGAATAGCTTAAACCTTTAAGATATTTATTTTGTCATCAGGAAGAATTCTAATCATACAAGACATTATTTAAAATGTATTTGACTTCAAATAATTACTTATATACCAGTATTTATTAGATTTAAAGTTAAAACAAAGACAGACGTACTTACCAGCAACGCAGTAATGGCCAAAAGAAACTCCAACGTGAAGTTAACCAAAGTTACGATCCTTTATCGATACTAAAGTAACAAAACGATTGATCGATACAAACAAAAAATTACTAGTAACGATTAATCGATTTTTGAAATCAATTTAAAAGTATTTTTCACGGAGTATTAATAAACTTTAGATATTGGAAAGAAACATGTACTAAAAAAATTCTAATAAAATCGGAGGTTATGAGTATGCAAAAATTTGTTAAAATATTGTAATCTTTGTAATCTTTATACAGGGTGTCTCAAAAATGTTGTAACACCTTGAAAGGAGGTGGTTCAGAAGGTGATTTGAAACAACTTTTTCCTTAGCGAAAATGTTGTGCGAGGTTTCGTTAAGGAGATATTAAGGGAAAACCCCGACCAATCAGAGCGCGAGTATGCCGATTGAGCGTAGGCTAAGCGATAGGCGACCGTGCTCATACGCTACCGCGGCCGCTCCAACGGTATACGCGCTTTCTGATTGGTCGGGGTTTTTTTGTTAAGGCGAATCCCTACACAGGTTTGATAAAAAGGTCCCTAGACCAGTCCGCATTAGTATAGGTTAATTAACTAGTAAGTTTTTGTTACTTAGCTGGTAACTTTAATTTTTAAGTTGGCCCAGTGATGGACATTCGTGGGATTTTTCCTGATCATGCGCATTGGAGCGAGCGTTGCAGTCCTCACTGCTGTATACACTTACTTAGAATTTAGGGTACCATTGGATCCCAATGAGGAACAAAATGTAAGGAAGTTATAGGGAAGGAGAAAAGTTTTTATGAAGGAAAACAGCATAGATGTACAACAAAAAGCGGAAAACGACTCATTATTTATTTAGTTTTTACGTCTGCAGCCGATTTATTACATGAATACCAACATTTATTGCTAAGAGTAAGGAGACCGCAGAAAACCTTACCAGTATTCGAACAAAAATATTGCACATAAAAATGAACGTAAGACACAAATACATGAAACATACATATACAATCATATATTGGAAGCATATACCTTACCAATGTTAACTGAATACATTTAAATAAAACTAATTTCATATTTTAATCGACTTGAAACTAAATCACACTCCTCTATCCTGTAACGTATACCGCGACAAATGAAGATTTTCCTGCTTAAGAGATGATACTACATCTCTTGAACTAACATGCTGTACACCCTGGTTTCATCTGTAAAAATAAATAAGGGTAATAACAATTACTCTTTTAGTTTATCCCGCTTGTATGTAAAAATCAATACCTATATTTTCTAAAGACTCTATTATTAATGTTTACTACTTCTGAGAAATATTTTGCTGCAATAGCACTGGCCCCTTTCGATTCTAATTTTTGGTCATAGAACCTGCAATAAAAAGTAAGAATGAATTGTAATCAATTTGTATACAATAAGATTGTAAATATGTGTATGTTATTTACTTATCTGTACTTACTTTCTTTCTTTGATACTGGTCGGTGAAAAAAAAGCTAAAGCAAATTCCTAGATGAAAGAAAAATTTATGATTATTTTCAATTAATCTAATTATTTCCATAACAACAGTACAAGTGTTATACTTACATTTATATACATTATACATGAGTATATATGAGTGTAGCCACGTGCCTTTCACACTCGGAAGAGTATACTGTTTCTTCTGTTTTGATGGTGACCCTTCCGAGGTGCCTTGGCACCTCTTGTCCATAACTTTTTTTTTTTTGATTTTTTGAGTGAAAATGCATTACGCATACCCGGGTTCTCTGGGGAGTATCCGGGTTATGTGGGGCTCTCCTCGGGTGGCGGTTACCGAGCAATAGCTCAGTGTTTGCCTCCCAAGGCCTACCCACTAAAAACACTCACCCACCTAAGTTACAAGGGATATGCCTGGAGAACTCAACAGGACACCTAGCATACATACTACCCAGGGAAAGGGTAAGCCTCTTCCACTCCCTAATCTAACAGGACCCCGAGCGCCAGTTCCCGAATCCCAGTTCAGTCCACTCATGGCTCCCGGCGCCCTCGTGCTGTAGTATCGAGTATATCAGGCCGTGCATTTTTAAGCTGCATCTGAAGCCTTCCACAATAGCAGCACTCTCCATGCCAGTCGAACTCTGATTACGACCCCAGTTTTTGAAGCACCGATGCCCGCGGGCTTCTTCATTGTTTTTCGCCGCTGTTTGGCAAATCATACAGAATTTGTTTTTTACGCTGATGTACAACACTTTCTTGGTGTGGTATCCCACGATGGCTCCCACGCCAGAAAGAGAATTGTAATCTCCTCTGCGGTATGACCTTCTCATCTAGCTGCCGTCTGCGACAACCGACATCCACGGTATACCAGATTCTGGAACTACGTCGCCTCTTGTTATGGCTGATTCTTTCTCCTCTCTTCCTGCATCTTCCATTTCACGTTGTGCGGCCACTTCGAACGCATCGATTATGTCATTGTGACATTTCTGAAAGATCCTTTTCGTCATGCAGGACACGTTCATGGCAGACATTACCTCTTCAAGTTGATTATACCCGCCGCCCGTCACCATTGTTGCGGAAACAGCGGCGTTGTTGATGTCTATACTGGCATCGCTCGGCCGAAGGCAGGATATGCGCTCCACGTGATTGCATATTCGGCATCGAACATTGTACGTTTTTTCCAATCCGTACTGTTGACATCCAACTATGTTAAAATGTTCAATGCCGCAGCCAATAGACGAATGTTTTTGCAAATTTTTTATTTGCTCGAAAACATATGCAAAATCGGCGAAGTCTATTCCTTCAGAAATTGGATTTTCCGACTGTCCTGGTTCGGCTTGCTCTACCATCCAGTTACAGTCGTCATCCATAGAATTTTCGGCATCTTCTTCAGTTTTTTTGACGATGTCCGTTACGGAAGATATTTCGCCGCTAATTTTCAGGTTATTGCCTTCCGTTACTGATGTTATTGTTTTCTTCTCTGCATTTAAATGTTTTTCTTCTAATACTTCGCCGTTTTTTGCTACATCTGCTTCTTCTATAAATTTATCAATAATTTCATGTTCTGTCTTTATAAAAACTTTATACGGAGTACCTGAAGAAGTACCTGGTTCCGCTGCGGTGCTTTGACTTGCCCCGAGGGCCGCTGCTTTTTTTCGGCTATACGAACAGAATCAATAATTGTAATTAATAACACGCGGTGCATACATAGAAGTAAGTAAAACGTACAATAGAAAAGTAGGCATAGTAACAGAAGATTTAGAGTATTTTCTCCATTATGGGGATAGCCTAGGAATCCCGCAATTTTAAATATTTCCGTATGTGCGAGAGAAACGCAATCGAAATTTGAGATTAAAATTTTTCTATTTTTTTTCATCGCCATTGTCATGAAACTTTTACCAACATGTTTATTCCATCAGGAAATGATGCCGAACACGACAGATGTTAGGCAATAATTAACGGAATTGCGTGAAAAATATAACTGTACAATTAGAACCTATCTCGGCTGAAAATAGTCCGATTTATGCGACATTAGGTATTGTTTCAATTGGGAGAACACCAGACATTTTTTAGTACCATCTTTTTCATCGATTCAATGAAGACACTGATTTTTACACAGAATTTGATTTTGTGATGATGCTGTGACAGAGAGGGCGATACAACAACTGCAGGAGAGATGAGGACAGGGCGATTAGGCTAGCATGATTTTTGTCAAGGATATTGAAGCAAAGAAGCAGTATTTTCTAATAATTCTGGTTTTAATATATTCGTTTCAAGGCCTGATTTTGCAATTTCGGCCCTAAAACTTTATAAACAATAAAAGTACGTTTTTTTTTTCTTATAGAAGAAATTTGTTTAGATATACTTTTTCCAACATCAGGCCTTGAGTCGCATATTACATATATGGCTCCTATATATGTATATGTATATGTATACATATGTTACGTATATACGGTAGGTGTGGTTCGAAATGGTTAGTAGAAACGCTTTTTTGAATTTTGGAAATTTAAAATGACTTTTCTCTACTCTTATGCTTTTTTCTCCTCTTTATAATACACTCTGTTCGCCTCCGCAACTCCCCTTCTATTTATAATATTGTTCATCCACAGTCTCACTCACACTGACAGTCTGACTGACAGTCCGTAATTATCGAACCGTGCACTCTCTCTCTCTCTCTCGCTCTCTCGCTCTCACCCTCTCACCCTCGCACACAGCTACTGTTCTATGTCTAAGATGTTTACCTACCATCTATTTAAGGTTTTTAGATAAACATCCACCTACGCTCGCACCGATCAACGTCTCGGAATGCGGCCGTTCACCCGTTGCGTAAGCATTTACAGTTTCTCGGAATAAACGCGTTCACTCGCATCGAGCAGCGATCGAATCGTTGCTCGGCAAAAACTCGCGCTGTTTTTACAATGCTCGGATTATTTTAGCCACAGTATCGCTTCATAAATATATTCATTATCGTTTTCCACGGTCGAATAACTGAGCGCCGAGCAGAGTAACATCTAGCCAATGTAAACAAGTGAGCAGCAACACGGTTCTAATATATTACATAATAATATATTGTAATATATCATTATGTAATAATATATATTCACGATAAGATTTACGAAAAATAGTTACATAACCGTAGGTATCCTTCTTCCATGAAACGCTTCAATAAAAACAACAGGAAAAAAAAGATATAAAAGAAGAACGAATGAAAAGAAAGAATTGATTCAAATGACTAACAGTAATTTACATATGCAATTTACATACATGTATCAAACAACGTAACTTACTTTTCTCGACTCTTTTTAGTTTTCGATAATCGTTTTGCAGACAACGCAAGCCGCTTTTTTCTTACTTTGCTCTTTAAATAGCGTTTGTCTATTTTGTCTTCATCTTCCTTTTCTTTTTTGAAATATTTGGGAAGATCGCACATTGGACCACGAACGCAGAATTCGAACCATTAAACTCGATATTGCACATATGAATTTTGTCCGCAGTAAAAAAGCCCGAACTCTTCTCTGCGTCCTCACTGTAGTGCGCACGGTGCAATACTGATCAGCTAGCGTTGTCACTGGCTCTAGTCATAGATCCTGAGTACGAACTCGGTACGATATCAGTGGGACGGATACTAAAGCAACGACGAAACTTTTTTATCTTTAATTTTTTCTTACTGAAACATTTACCAACGTATCTGTCAGACTTTTCTAACTGAAATGAGACTAAACACAACATAGTTTGTATCATACTTAAATATATGCATATATATATGCGGCATTCCAAGCCATTTCGAACACTTTTGGATCCGAACATTTTTTTTCTATTATAATATCCTACTAAATATATTTTTGTGAATGTTTGCAGTTCTTTGTGCTGAACCAAAAAAAAAGTTATGAATTTTTCAAATAACTAGCTCTGCTAAAAATTGACCAAATTAGATGTTTCTTTTTTTAAAATATGTGTTATCGAATGAATTTTACGAAAAAAAAATACAAACCATAATATTTGAATTCGTTTTCTATACAATTTTTTTTGCGCTTAACGATGCGACTTCTCTCGGAAACCGACACAGGGACTCCGGTAGAGAGAGTTTGGCGATAATACCTGAACACCAATTACGAGCGGGAGAGTACATAATGATTCTCCCTCATCGAAATAAGTAAAATTGTAAAAATTGTAGAATTGTATAATGTTTCATGATTCCGAGCGAGCCTCGAGTTCGCCGATTGTGAAAATAACCGTACATCAACAGGAACGCATTGATGATGCTACACAAAGTTACGTTGTACTTTGTACTTTTAAAATCTTTATTTTTGTTATAATTATCTTTAGAAATACATAGCGGGCAATTATTGACTTCGTGGTTTTTTTGCGTTAGGTTTTGCGTACATAATGATTACGGTACAATAATGTAAGAAAACGCATCTATAAAAGAACATAATGCTTTGATTTGTTAACATTTCCGACTTACGGTATAAATTTGTAATCTACCGTGACGTTACTCGTATGCATACCTGTATATCTAACGAAATTATTTTGGATACGGCATTAGTTTCCATTAAATTACGTAGTTATAAACAATCTACAAAGAAAGAACAAAGGATATAATAAAGAGTATATATTTAATTAAAATTTGATTCCTTAACAAATTTGGTTTCCTTGACTTCCTTGCATTATATACTTACATTATATATAAACTAATAAATAATAAACTCTGTAAAAGCATCTTTTTATTTAAATCGTTTTAATGCCGTTAAAACGGCATTATATACAAGCGTTTTGGCATCTCGACCCCACAAATAATCAATGTGATTAAATTTTGCATATTCTATTGTTCGCGTCTCTATCACATTCGGCAGTCTATCGACAAGTTTCCTTACATCTGCAGGATCGGTTAGAAAATCATTTTCGCTATAAAATATCATAATTGGTATTTTCACATTTTCTAGATCATATTTTGGTGGTTGCGTTGATCCGTATATTTTTAGGTTTTCAGACGCTCCATAATCAAATTTACGAAACGATCCTATTGCAAAGAAAAAAATTATTATTTATTACATAAATAATAATTAAGTACAAAAATAAGATAATAGTTGTCACTCTTATCACAATTATGTTATTCGTCAGTAAATACGGTAGACTCTCGTAGCAAATAATTTATTTAAATATAGTTATATTTTCCTGATAAATTATATTAAATAAGAACATGGTCAAATCGCGGTGCCACGGAAATCGTAATCGTGCCTGATAAATGAATTAAAGAGAGTCCAATGTATGAGAAATATAAAAACTTATTTTATATAATCACCTGACAATATGCTTTGACTGTAATGAACAAGCTGCTTGGCAGAAACACCAGCTGGAAAATGTCCAAAAATTAATGGGAGCATCGACTCATCTAACTGGTCACTCCCAAATCCAGCAATTAAGTAGAACCAATATGCACAGAAACCTTTAGTGAGACTGCTTGGAGCATTTCGAATTAGTGTACCCAAGGCTTGTGCCTGTAACTTATTGCGGGGGAACCACTGATGTACATTGCAATAAGAGGATCCCCACTGAAACATGCTCATTATACAAGTGCTAATTACAAATATTGAAAAATCTCTCGTCCAGAGGTGGATTCAGTTACTTATACTGTCGTTTAATGGTTTATATTTAAACTCATTTTACTAAATATAGCAGTAATAATAATAGTATTGTTGAAACTTAACCACCTCTGACCATAATAAAATGGTATTGTAGATATTTGTAAACACACCTCCATTAACCCATGAAAATGTACAATGTATTTGAACAAAGGACTCCTTTGGTTTGAAAGGAATGCTATTGGTGCCAGACTAACCATTCCCTTAATTTTCGAATTATATTCAGACCTTTCACTGGCCATTACATAGAATGCAGTCGTACCTTGACTGTAACCTACATAGTAGAGCTTAGTATATCCAGTTTGTTCTAGAATGTAATCTATTGTTGCTGGTAAATCATAATAACCAACTTCATGCCAGCTAAAATATTAGTAGAACTGTTTAGTCAGGTATTAAAACTAATCAATAAAAAACAATTAAAGTAATTTTAAACAGTTTCAACTGTCTGTATTAGGGAGACCAAAAAGTAATCAAAATTTTATCAACAATTATTTATTAAAGAAATCTTAAATACTAATCAACAAAATAATTTCCATCATTTTCTAACACTTCTTGCCAGTGTAAAGGCAGTTGTTCGCTTCCCTTTTTAAAAAAGTCCTTCGATTTTTCATTGAAAAACTTTTCCAAGTCAAAGACATTTTGATTACTTCTCGGTCGTCCTAATATATTCCTGCTGTATATCGAGTGTAATTCACTTAAAGAACAGTAACTAAATAACTCTCTTTGTTTCGAAGATATCAAACAATGTCAAGGGCATAGTTTGCATTAGTTTAAAGCACAGAAAGTGTTTTTGCTTAAGGTGGCCATCACTGGTACTGTCTATAAAGGTAAGCAGCTGCACATAATTAATATGCCAACTGTCATTTAAGAACAAGGTCAATAAATGTAGCGTATGTTTATATAAAATAATTTCTTTATTTTTGCATTACCTATCTACAACTGAAATGGTTCCTGCATGTTACAGATGTACTGTATCTAGGTTCCCAAATAAAATCAAACAACTTTCAACAATTGCAATTCTCAAATAGTTTCCTAATGCAAAAATAATTCATGGAAGTTCATTAATCTCAGCAAGAATAAAATTAAAATAAAAGAACAATATAAAAGTCATCTACAAAATTAATTGCAAGAAATTAAATAAATCATGTATGCAAGAATTAAAAGATAATTGAAAATAAGATTTCATGTACACAAAATAAATATTTTTAAATCTAATAATTAACACAAAACATAAACTACACTATGATTACAGCTTTCATTTTGAAAATAAAAAGTAATTGATAATGAAAAGAGTTAATAATATAGCTATTTTAAAGATCTGTATACATAATCGAAAATGAGGTTGTTAATGATAAGTAAAGTTGTACAAAATGCAATCTGATTACATGTCCACTGCTACGATACAAAGCAATCATATACTAACTTCACTGTAATTATATGGTTTAATGATATACATTTTGCCCCAAACTAATGACGAGGTCTATTGTAACAACATTTAATTTTCAAACACAATATGCTATTACGATCAGTCTTAAAGTAACACCCTGCTTTTTATATACACATACATGTATGTGTGTATGGTGTAATCAGAAGACATGGTCTTGAAATATAGTCAATAATTCGGAATTATTATAATTACATTTAATTTTTTTTTTTTATTAATTGTATCGGATCAATTGAGGATATATTATAACATTATACAACATATACCAATACTATATTTATTTTTATGTATCTGCATTCTATACTGTTCGATCATTGTAATTTTAAGATTGAAATTACCTGAAGTTCCAAAACTCTTTATCTGTGGTTGTATATTGTCTGTGTTTTTTGCCATATGCATTACCTCTTGTATTTCCCAACCAGACATCATAATTATTATCGCACAAGACATATGCTAGAGCCTTCTTTGGACCCAATAGTACCCAATCGGCTGAACTTGATAGCACTCCATGTTGAATAAGAACTGGTACTCGAGCCTTTGTATTTTGTGTGAATTCATAATTTGTGTACTGTAAATATTAAACATATTTTTTCATTTTAAATTTAATACGAACTTTATTGAATTATAGTTTAATCTAATTCAAATTCCTTAATGCTAACATTATTACAGATTTACAGACAAATCTCAACAAAAGTTTATATGAAAAAAATTTAATTCTTTCAGTATAATGTATCACTATACTAGTTTTCCACTAAGTGATTGGTTTGTTTGTGGTATATCATTTATATTTTTAATATTTGCTGTATTTATTAAGAGTTTATTATATATTAATAAATGAAAACACAATAAACATATTAGTCATCATTTTATCCATTATGCCTGTAGCAAAAGAGTTAAACATTATTTCATTACATTGCATAATGTACTGATTTAATGACAGGTATTATAAATTGATTATATAATAACGTAATTTTTACTTTTTCATAAAAGTTATATAATTTAATAATGTATTAAAAAGTTAAATTATACATGTAACGAATGTTATAATTACTTTTGCAAACTTTCATAATGTTAAAAACTAACTAAAATATAGTTACTTTACCTCTGTTATTTTTCTATTGTGTACAATATTTACATTATTCTTGCAGTACTCATTTTCATCTGTTTTTGGAGGGAGAACACGATGTACATCCAAACAATATCCATCTTCTGTCCAAATTTGATGCGTTTCTGACTTATAACCATGAGTATCAATTAGTTCTGGCTAAAACAAGACAACGTAATTGCTATCAATATAGTGTAAATAAAATAGATATAAGTAAAATGGATTTGCCCTTTGATGTAATAAAGATATCGCTAAAAACATTTGTTTTAAGAATTACAATTTTCTCTTTAAAACTACTTTTTATATGTATATGTATTTCTCGTCTTTTCTGATTAATATAGAACAGAAAATACATTTCAGAATCTTATTTTAAGTACATAAAAATATATACGAAATAAATAAGCAATAAAACAATTAAACGATACGAATACGTTTTCAACTTTCATCAAATAACCAAGTACAGTAAACGATTTGAAATGTTTTAAATGGAAGATTATTAAAGATTTGAAATTCCTTTAAATAGTTCTAAAATAACTTCGTACTACCAAACATCGCACTTATTAATAAAAAGTTATGAAAGTAAAAAAGGAATGCAGCTTACTGTTGTCATATGAGTCTCATCCTGATTAGATACTCCACTCATTATACGAACAACTAACGAATGAAGTTGATTTCCGTAATGGATAAGTGCTGTCTACTTTCACCAACAATTCGCTACTTTTTCTTCTTATTATTATTTAGTTTTTTTTAAGTATTGATTCAACGCGGAATTCAAAATTGTTTACGCTTCGGACGCGATATTCTACGGATGACGAAAGATAAAGAAATATTAAAATGATAGCACGATGAATTTTTTCAAGATGTTAGTTTGACACAAGCAAACTTTCTCACACTTCTAAAGCATACCGGATCATCGCGCCCAATCGCACTGCTCTGCACTGCTGGTGCCGTGGTCCCAGCTGCTGCGAAGAATCTGCCCCCAGTCGCGCATGCGACTTAAAAAAAGCTAAGCGCGCAGTGCTGTACCTATAGGAAACATATCACTATTTCCAAATAAAAATAAAGTATACATTTTAGACTATTTAAATTGAATAAAATATTTTTTGGGAAAAAAAATATAACCGACTTCGAAAAATATTAAAACTGCACTAAAAAGTATGAAATAATTTTTAATTAATTTATATGAGTATACATCGGCTCTAGAAAATGCAGGGAAAAGTATGAAATAATTTATATTTAAACAGCATTATTACTCACCAGCTCTCGACGAATCTGATTATTTTGGAACTATAGCAGGTTTCCCTTACCCTTGCAAGAAATCTTGGCATTATAGTTCCCTGCTAAATAAATTATTTAATTTTTTTAGTTATAGTAAATGTATTTTGTTTGTAAAATTATTTCAACCCCTATATTATAATTTATCCACACAATTAATATTATTGCGTGCAAAGAAGTATTTCCAATTATCATTTATAATTCTATTTTTCTTTGGGGCGACAAAGTGCGTCAGTTTTATGGTCGTACTAGATACTTTACTGACGCTAAAATCAGTGCGCATGCGCGAGTGGGAGCAGAATCTAACATCGCAGGTGTTGTCGTGCGCTGTGCACGTGAAAGTGACAAACAAAAATCATTTATGCGCATGCGTAATAATTTCATGAATTCACGGCCAGAGGAATTAGGAATTAGGCTGTGTGTAAATTACAAAAGTATCCTACTATCGAGAGGTGCGCTTTTTAAACGAGGCTGGGTACAAACTATAGATAACAATGCGTGTAAACGATCCCTAAAATAATAAAGATCAACATTTAGTTGTTTTTGTAAAAGATAGTTCCAGACATTAAAAATTTCGATTCTTGGATAAGCAATATTTTTTGTTTGAATTTGACGGGCGCCCGTGACTTGCCTGTAGGTAATGCGGACGCTGATTATATTTTTTTGCCGTTGTTACGTTTCCTATATCCTGGATCTTATATTAACATATTTTAATATTATATTAACATATGTTAAGCCTATATACTAGTATAAGTATATGTATAAATATATATGTGTTAGTAATTGTATACTAATACTTTTACTAATTGTATAAATATACTAATACATATATATTTATACATATACTTATACTTTTACTAATTGTATACATATATGTTATTTACTATTATTATTTACCGAACAGTATTGAACGCTTCACTAATGCTAAAATATTCATAATGGTGTTGGTGGTGCTTATTAATACGTTTTATATAGGATATCCCAGAATTAGTGTAAAAACCGGAATTGGAGGGTAACTGAGACGATTTTGAACCAGAATTTCTTTTGGAAAAATGTCGGATGGTGCTTCGTTTTTGAATTATTAACGAAAAATCACCGTCCAATCACAGCTCCCGAGTGACGAGCCAGGATGGTCGGGTCAGCCTCTCACGGCTAAGCGCGCGCTACTCAGGCGCTGTGATTGGTCGGTGGTTTTTCGTTAATAATTCAAAAACGAAACACCATTCGTCATTTTTGCAAAGGAAACTGTGGTTTAGAATCGTCTCAGCTACCCACCATTTCCGGTTCTTACACTAAGTCTGAAACACCATGAATATGTCGTTGTAACGTCTACTAGCGCTATCTACGAATTGGTCGTTAACTAAAAACGTGGATTCAATATATTACATCTACGCTTGGACCCCCTGAGTTACCCTGAGTTAAACAGTTCATGACATTCGGTGTGCCTGGAATAAAGACCGTTATATAAAAAAAAAACGTTATTCTTTTTTTAATGTGTTATTTATTGTCTACGTTTCGGTATAATTTAAGTCATTTTACATCGACTTGTTAGTTTTTTGGGAAAAAAACGCGAGATGAGCGAGAACGCAGAAATCACGGGAGTGATATCGCCCGAAGATGCGGCCAGAGCGGAAAAATTTAAAGAAGAGGCGAACGAATACTTCAAAAGTGCGTTTACAAAATGTTATCTTAAATCTGGTTTCACGATTTACTTATAAATCTATCGTGAGACTCCAGAAAATATTATAAGTACCAGTTGATTAATGCTATTTAGTCACGTGTGTGTTTCAAACTAAGCCAATTTTCGGCAACTTGGGTGATTATTAAATAATCGAACGAAATTTCACCGTTGAATGTAGTCGATTAAAGACTAAACGCAACTGTATCGTTTGTATAATCGTGTTTCGAACAATTACTTTCATCTTTGAAATTGTTTCTTACAAATGTGACATTTGGACTTTTGTATGACATGCTTTATTTTGTATGTTATTTCTCTCATGTCACACACTCTATTGGATATTGTATACTGATTTACTGAGTACGATAAATGAGTAAATAGAGATTATTTCTGAAATCCTTAATTAATATTCCAAACGTTTAATGTGTCATCATTTGTCTAGAATTGTCTTTTTCTTATTATTTTTTAGATCAGGACTACAATAAAGCCATAGAATTATATTCTAAGGCAATAGAATTAAACCCTACAGTGGCGGTATACTATGGAAATAGAAGTTTTGCTTATTTGAAAACTGAATGTTTTGGATACGCGCTTACAGATGCATCGAAAGCTATCGAGTTAGATAAAAATTATATAAAAGGATACTATCGCAGAGCTGCAGCTCATATGTCAATTGGCAAGTTCAAACTAGCACTTAAAGATTATAAAACTGTTACTAAAGCTAGTCCAAATGATAAAGATGCAATGAATAAATATACAGAATGTTCTAAAATATTAAAAAAGTTAGCATTTGAAAAAGCAATTTCTGTAGAAGAGAGTAAAAAAAATATAGCTGATACGATCGACTTAGAAGCTATGGGTAAGTTACCATGTTCAATATTTAGCTGAGATTGTTCGATGAATGTGAGTGTATATTTAAAAAATTGGCAATTTAATTTTGTATATATTATAGCCATCGAAGATGAATATGCAGGACCTAAACTTGAAGATGGGAGAGTTACATTAAAATTTATGCAGGATTTATTAGAATGGTACAAGATGCAAAATAAATTACACCGCAAATATGCTTATAAGATTCTTTTAGATGTAAAAACATTGTTTATGGCACAACCAAGTTTAGTTGATATTACAATTCCTGAAGATGGTAAATTTACTATCTGTGGAGACATACATGGACAGTTTTATGATTTACTTAATATATTCAAATTAAATGGATTACCTTCGGAAACTAATCCATATGTATCCTTTACAATAACGAGTATTATTACTCATAAATACATTGTATTTATCATTGTTTTATTAACTAAAATATGTTTCTTAACAGTTACGTAGTTATTTAATGGAGATTTTGTAGATAGAGGATCGTTTTCCGTAGAATGTATACTCACTTTATTTGGATTTAAATTGTTGTGTCCAAATCACTTTTTTATGTCTAGAGGTATGTAAGTATTAATTTGCACTATTAACATGTGATTCACATTCATTATAAGATATGATGTTTAGGTAATCATGAATCTGCCACAATGAATCAAATATATGGATTCGACGGTGAAGTCAAATCGAAATATTCCACTCAAATGGCACAATTGTTTACAGAGGTTTATAATTGGCTTCCTCTTGCGCATTGTCTTAATAATAGAGTTCTTGTAAGTTTATGTTATCATATGTATCAAGTCATTTAAGTAATTTTATAATAATGTAAACGTAATCCATTAAAATGTAAATCAAATTATTATTTTATAGGTAATGCATGGTGGTCTGTTTTCAAGAGACGATGTTACATTAAAAGAAATTCGAGAAATTGATAGAAATAGACAACCACCAGACGAGGGATTAATGTGTGAATTATTATGGTCAGATCCACAACCTCAACTTGGAAGAGCAGCCAGTAAGAGAGGAGTTGGTGTTCAATTTGGACCCGATGTAACAGAAAATTTTCTTACTATAAATAATCTCGACTACATTGTGAGGAGTCACGAAGTAAAAAAAGATGGATATGAAGTTGGTCATGATGGAAAATGTATCACTGTGTTTTCTGCACCAAATTATTGGTATGTTATGTATTACATAGAATTAATCATTTTTAACGTTTCATATTATATACATTACCTTTATCTTCCTTCAGTGATACTATGGGTAACCAGGGTGCCTTTATTACACTTAATGGCAAAGATATGAAACCCTATTTTACATCATACGATGCAGTGGTATGTTACAGTTTGTTGATAATTATATTATTTCTCGTTATAATCTTTATGATTTCCGGATGATTGCTGCGTTTGTATTCAGCTTGTTACCGACATTTTACAAACGATAGAGTAGAGTAACGTTTGAGAAACGTCGGCAAACGTTTGCAAAACATCGGCAACAAGTTAAACACAGACGCAGCAACCATCCGAAGCCATGAAGATTACAACGAGGAATAATACCCGCGAAAACCTTAAGTTTGAAATTGTATTATTTCTTAATTGCACTATACAAATTTGTTTCTTTTAGCCACATCCAAATATACTGCCAATGACATATTCTAATTATCTACTAAAATACGTGTGATGAATGAAAATGAATAACCATAAATGAATAATACGAGTAGACCAATCAAAGTGTATGTAATATATTTGATACCGAAATGGAGAAGTTGAGAAATGCTTAGGCTTCTCCAAAACAATAAATATTGTATTCTTTCTAGGAACAAGAAAATTTTCTGTATCATAATAAATGCAATGAAGGCATAATATTGATGGGTACAAAAATGAAAAAAAGTTTGCTGGTATCGGCAACTGGCAAGCATGTATATCAAATTTTGTTGTCTACAATGAGAACAATGTCTTGTTAGCAACTTATGTTTCATTGCGATGAAATAACGCAAAGAGAATAGAATACTTTCTATTTTGTACCCTCAATTAAACCACCTTCTTCATTAAAGATATTAGTGTTCACGCACAAGCTAAGTAAACGATCTCAAAGATCTCAATATATTAACTTATACTCTAACAAGGTGCTGAACATATAATAAATACATTTTATCGTACTTTTAATTTATTCTTTAATGAATAATGGTGGTTTCTATAGAACAATGATTATTATAAAGATATCTAACACATATGCGATCTAGCATGATTATATAGTACAATTTTCCAGCCAGTTACTATTTGTCACATTATTTGTGATACCAACATTTTTACAAATCAATGTGATTGGAAGGATTTCTTTAATCTAACATTTTGTTTTTTTTTTGTTAAGAATAAACGATGTTTATAATGTATTTGGTATTTAGATTGTTTTTATTGAAATTAATTTCACCTTATGAAATAAGATGACAAATTTCTTGCGGTAAAGTATCTCGATTTTGGCGATTTACGGTTATAACTTTAGACTTCTCATCTGCGTGGAGGTTTTGAAATAGAGGCAAATGTCTCTGTGGAATTTTATGCATTAGAGGTATTGTTGCAATTATAAAAGGTTTGTTCGAAGTTTCAGAGAATAATTTCAGTATTTTATCATGAAACTTCGGGCTAAATAATTCCATTTTGCCTATTTCATCGATAATAAGTATATCCTAAGGGAAATAAAAATTGAATGACTTCATTATAATTTAAATACATGTGTAATACGTAATAATAATCTGCTTACTGCGTTTGAATCAAAGACTGGTAATGCCATCGTTTCAAAATCATTAAGAAATACATGGTAGTTTCCCACTTTATATTTAGATCGTTGCCACTCGTTTATCGCATTTCTGTTTACAAATAGTATTGCTTCAGTCGAAAGGAAAATTAAATTTTTTATGATTATAGAGTAATACTAACTCGGCTCTTGCTAATATCGATTTTTTCTCAGAATTGTTCACAAGTACAACGTCAAACCCAATCCTTCTACCGTTTGGCCCTTGAACTTCTTCCGTATAAAAACCATCAAGCTTGTAACTTTTCTCCTCTATCATTTTAGTTAGCTGTTTGCATATCGTAGTTTTGCCTATACCTGTAACAATTTTTTCTTGTTTACAATAAACATACTTTCAAAATTTACTGTACAAAACATTGAATAAGTCGGCACGATTACAATTTCTGTTGCGCTATGATTTGAACGTGTTTTTATTTAATACAATTTATCACAAAACCGTAGTTCTCCATCACGTTTAATTTAGAAGTTATATTCATTTAAAGAATAATAATATATTTATAATGAATAGACTGCAGATTTGTATGAATTTATAGGAAATTTGAATAAAAAAGAAACTATAAAATGCACACATTATGAAATAATGTAAAAAAAAGTATTAAAAGTAAAGTTCATACTATAATATTCACAGAGAAAAACAGATTTCTGTTTATGTTCAGTTTTTGTAGGTACATTTTCTAAAATTTTATTTTGTATAAAGACCCGCAGTTTCTTAATGAATATAATTTATAAATAAAATATAATAGAGAATTGCGGTTTAGGACATTATTTTCTGATAAATGATATTAAATAAAGATATGACTGAATGCCCTGAAATTTATTCGTGTAGATTCATTGGGTGGGTGTGATTGTTATTTGGGGGTTTGGGAGGCATAGTCCTCAACCATGGTCAACTTCATATGTTATAAAATTATGTTTCAAATATTAAGAGATTCGTGTATGTTATAACAATCAAAGACCAAAAGTAAAAGTCCCAAAGGTCATCATCATTCTGTCAAATAAATATGATATTATAAAACTTTAAATAAATATAACTTCTAAACTAAACATAATAAAGAACCGCGGTTTGCGACATTGTTTTTCTAATAAATTATATGAAATAAAAACATAATAAAATCACAGTGTCATTGTAAATTCATAGAATAATAATTACGTGAGATTGTTGGAATCGCACAATATGATACAACAATCAAGTTTCTAAAAGGGTTTGAAAATTCTGCCAAGTTGTTTAAAATACATATTAAAAAAGTCTAACTTTCGTATAACTTTTGGAACAGCCTGTAATTTTAAAAGTCGCGGACTTACCAGGGGGTCCGGTGAGAAGTACACGCGAGATACGCAACGTGGCGCCGGTATCCATACTCATTGTTTTTTTAAGTTCGATCAGTGATTGTAGGTGACAATTGTACCTAATGAAAAGATAAGAATAATAAACGTTTGAAGTAGGCAGCGAAGGGAACGGTGTTTTATATGTTCGTGAATAACGGTTAGCGATGTGTGTGCATGAACATCGATAGCGTATTAAATAAAGAAAAAAATTGGTAAAGTTACCGCGACGTGAGCGACCGAATAGCGATCAGCTGATCATGCTCGAGTCTCGCTCTCTATTAAGACAATCCGTTTGCGAGTGGGCATAAACGCTCGCGTGAATGTAGGTACATCGTACCTAGTACCTACGCACTTTGGCTGCGTTCGGCAGTGCGTTTGTGCGTGATACGAGCCTCGTGCGACCCATGTTTGTGTGAGTTCGTAAGATTATACTCGCGACACGTCTGTCACAGAATAAATATAAGATTGACCACGACGAAACTTATAACAGTTGTAACTTTTAATAGTTCCGCGAGCTTGATTGCGCCACAAATTTCCCCGGCTCGGTGGATTTTTCGTTAGAATACGCGAGATAGCCTTAAAAAATTCGTATAACAGGAAGGATCTTCACCGAACAAGAGAATACGGGCGTTAGTTACAGGATACATGGAAGAAAGGGACGAAAGGTGAAGACGACGGTTCAATCCGTTTTCGCGTACATATCAGTATCTATAAAGGAGAAATGGCTCGTCCTTCCGTCTGTAATCCGCTTTCGTACCTTATCACAAGACAGATCGACAACAAGGTCGATCATTGCAAACGTCTCGTTAACGCCAGATTCGAGACCTCCGAAAATCTATTTAGAAAGGATCTATTATCTCATTATGGATGCGTTAATGCGATTGAATTTTCGAATCAGGGGGATCTTCTCGTCTCTGGTAAGGAATTAATAATATGTACACCTGTTTATTTTGTTTTGTACCGTAGGTATTATTTTTGCACGTTATCACCGTCGATTTTGAAAATTTATAGGTTCGACGGAAAAATAAAACCGTTCGGTGCTTTTAATGATCGTTCAAGGGAGGAAATAGCTTTAGGACTTCATTTTCTTAGCGATTTGCATGAATTTTTTTAGCAAGAAAGAAATGTATATAATTTAATGAAACTTTGAGAACATTTTGTACATATATTCAAGTAAGTATTGTAATTTTTTGAAAGTATTTCCTCAGAAAATATGGAAGATATCAGCTGCCACCCATTGGAAGTCATCAGTAGCTGTTTTGGTACATTCTGGAGGCCACAGTTTTCATCTGAAACCAATAGAATTTCAAATTTACTTTAAAGACATGTCTTTCTTCTATGTGAACCTAAATTCTCCCCTAAAAAATTGGATATTGCATTTTTAGAGGTGTTTAAACGAAAGAGCAATTTATAACGTTTTTTTGCAATGAAACGGTACTTTAAACAATGATATTACTCCGAATGTAGGTTCTTATAGAAGAAAGAAACATGTCTTTAAAGTAAATTTAAATCCCTATTGATTTCAGATGAAAACTGTGGCCTTTAGAATGTACACAGAACAACTACGTTTGATGATGACTTCTAATAAGTAGCAGCTGATATCTTCCATATTTTCTGAGGAAATACTTTCAAAAAATGATTAGGTTGTCCCAAAAGTTTCTTTCGTGCCTTGCACACAGTTATTTTGTGTAGCAGTGTTTATATAAATAGACATCCTAATTTCTTAGATATTCATGTTGTAACAGTAATGGAGCAAAATGAATCGTACGCAGTTCAATAATGTAACATTAGACATAAAATATTGTGTATGTATTAGCTATTAATGAAATGGAAGAAACTTTTGGAACAAACTAATACAATACTTACTTGAATATATGTATAAAATGTTCTTCAAGTTTCATTAAATTATATACATTAATAATAAAATTAATACAATACATAAATTATATACAAACGTACATTATTTCCTAAATGTAAATTATTTTCTAAATGCCTGTTTGATGCATTAGGTTGATCAACAAAAATATATTTAATATTAAATTACAAAACCTATTAATTTAACAGGTGGTGATGACAAGAGAGTTTTGTTGTGGAGAGTGGAGCAGGCGATACAAGGTGTAGGCAGACCTTCAGTGATGAAAGCTCAACATATTAGCAACATATTTTGTCTTGGTTATGACAGTAGTAAAACAAAAATATTTTCTGCTGGAAATGATGATCAAGTTATTGTCCATGATTTGAGAACGTACGAATATTTTTCACTCTAGATTTATGTACATAACTATTTACGATTGAATAATATTTCTTTGTTTTTTTGTAGGGGTGATGTTGTGAATTTCTTTTTACACGAAAAACCTGTTTACGGCTTATCGATTCATCCGCATAACGACAACATATTTGCAAGTGCTTGCGACGATGGGAGAGTTCTTATTTACGATATACGAGGCTCTAGCGCTATGGAAACTTTCTGCTTGGCACAATATAAATCTGCTTTTCACTCTGTAATGTTTAACCCTATGGAGTCGAAGATGCTTGCTACTGCCAATGCCAAAGAAGGTGTTAGCATGTGGGATGTGCGAAAACCTTTAGAGTAAGTACCCAATCTGAAACGAGTAACGAATATAATTAGGAAAATGAAAATTAAGACTGTTCTTGTATTTATAGGCCTGTATTACGTTATGGAAATGAAAGCTCTGCACAGAGTTGTATGAATGTTAGATTTAATGCAGCAGGTAATAGGTTATTAGCTTTGAGGAGAAGGTTACCACCCGTATTGTATGCAGTAGATTCTTCTACTCACTTGTGTCAATTTGATCATCCTGGATATTATAATAGTTGTACGATGAAGTCGTGTTGTTTTGCTGGAGATAACGATCAATATGTTCTTTCTGGTAAGCAGTAATGTCATAACAAAATATAAATATTAGATTTAAGATTTTCAGGAGTATCTTCTTCGTGGCTTCTGAATGATTGTCGTGTCTGTGCACAGCCACGGAGACTATAATGTAAACTATAAGCAATTAAATCTAATTTAAAACTAATAAAACATATTATTTATAGGTTCGGACGATTTTAATTTATATATGTGGAAAATTCCTTCCGAGGGTGTTAAATGGGTAGATTCTGCACATATGGTTTTACGTGGCCATAGGTCTATCGTTAATCAAGTACGATACAATCAAGCTAGTTGTATTTTTGCTTCATCTGGGGTTGAAAAAATTGTTAAGATTTGGAGTCCATTTTCACTTGGACATGGATGTTTAGGTGGATTGAAGGTAATATGTAATAAATAAGATATACTTTTATTACAATTCACCTTATTAACGATTCATATTATTTATTTATATTTCTATCTATAGAGAGATGCTGGATCTCGAGAAAGACAACGCAGAGTGTTCACACATGATGAATATATTGGATTAGTGTTACATAGTGGTCAATTCATGACACACGATTACAGTCATCAATCGACTAGAGAAGACCCAAGGATGATGGCATTCTTTGATTCTTTAGTACAACGTGAGATCGAGGGTTGGAGTTCTGAATATATGACATCAGCACCAGAGACACCTAGTGATTCTGAAAATAATCCCGCAACTGAACCTGCTTATAGTACAACAGATTCCGAGGGTATATATGTTCATGTTAAATATTTAAAATATGTTTGCATTAAACAAATAAGACAATTACAATATACTCATATAATCGCCTCTTTGTAGATTCGTCGAGATATGATCGCCTATTGATGTTACAAATCTTAGGATCAGCGGTAACATCTCGTGGATCCTCTGGAGGTAGAGTAGTTCCTGAAAGATCTTTAGAGTCTCCAAATCGTATATCACGACTTATAGCAAATCGCAGAGAAAAACTCATGAGACTCGCAGCTATGGATTGTGGTGTACCATTAAATAATGCTTCCACTACAGCACCCGGTCCATCTGCTTCAGGTTCTGCTAGCGATGGAGAAAATGCACAAATTAAGTGTAGATTTAAACCGAAATTAAAAGGAATAAAAAGAAAACATGGTAAAAATTCTGGAAGAAGAAGTAGGGCTAGAAGAAAGTGTACCGTGTTACAAATTAATAGCGAGTCTGATAGCGATGAACAACCTATCGATACAACACAACCTAGTACTAGTTCTGGTGTAATATCTAGAAGATCCCGATACGTAACAAATGCAATTGAGAGTGATGCGAAACGTTCAAGTTACAGTAGTAGCAGTTCAGAGGATGATAGTTCTAGTAAACGGAAACACTCAAAAACTGATTCTGATACTTCTACAACAGTGCACAGAAGGAAACATGGGAAATGTAAAAGTAACTCAAAAAGTGATACGACTAAGAACAAAAGCAAACGGCAACAAGTTAATTATGATACAGAGGAAGGAAAATCGGACTGGAAAATATATTTAAATGGCGTTACCACAACAAAGGTTCAAGAAGATGGCCCATCAACGCCTCTGAATAAATCATGTAAAGTTCCTTCAACTCCTGATAGTGGTATTACATCAGAAGTATCTACAGTTGAAAAAAATGGCGAACAAACACAGGAAGAACGAAACGGCGCAGAGAGTTCCGATCATGAACAAAAATTAAAAAATTTAGAGTGTTTTAGAAAAAAAGTGGATGTAGCGAGAAGAAGTTATCATAATCGATCTACGCCTTTATCACAAACCATTTCAACTACAACTGATTCTTCCGATTAAGCTCCTATTACCTTCAAACCCTTTAATCCCTTTCCCTTTGTACATAGTGAATCTGTGATTCCTTGAGGTATATTTTTATAATACTAAGTTTGATCACACGCAAATATGGTCGATTTTTTCTATCTTATTTTAGATTTTATTATTTTTCTGTTATTTTCATGAGCGTCCTTATTATTCATAAGGATTCTTATGAAGTATTTTATTGGAATCTCTTATAATACAAGGCACCTTCATAAATGTTTTGTCGGAATCTTTCATGATACAAGACTGTCCCAGAGTAATAATACTTTAAAACATTGGTAACTAATGTATTTTCGCCGTATTTAATGATTTTGGTCGTGAACTAATCGCGAATTAATTAATTTATAATTGGTACAAAAAGTTATAAATTTAATGGTTCCTCATCTTTAAAATTAACCACCGACATAGTAATTATTTAGAAGAACTCGATTTATTACTGCAAGGTAAACGTGTTTGGATATGACCATTAAATAATATGTAATCGAAACTACAACAAAACACCGCCGAGAGTTATAGGTAAATTAACGTTACATTAGCTATAATAAGGCAACTCAGCTAATGTGTATTGTTGACATGGTTTGTAAGTGTGATGGAAAATAATAAAACAATAAATTGATATACCCTTTTTTATATGTTCAGCTTTGAAGACAAATTCAGAAAATTGCATTATTTAATCCTGCATTTATACTTCTCTATTAACTTATGCAAATAAAGGAAAAATACATAAATTTACGTATGAATTTATTATCTTTACTTTAATTTGAATTTCGCTGTAGATATTACAAACCAATATTGACTCATTCTTACATAATGTCACTGTGGTTTTCACATATACCTGTATATCACTTCCTTCCTGTGATATAGAACCACTTTAATTCTTGTACACATAGTTTTAGGATTAGTACATGTAGTATTTTCTGACTTATAGTTTCCCTAATATTAGCTGCTGTTAGTATTAAACTTTAGCATACCTTTATCAACAATGTTTAGTATGTGGATTTTTGGTTTTACACTTGTAAGTTTGCGATATAGTGTATTGACATACAATTTGGATGTTAATAATGCTGAAGTGTTTAATAGTCCTACAATTTTGATTGATAAACGAAGCAGTTATTTTGGATTCTCTGTTGCACTTTATGCAAATAAAAAAGACTCTCTGCTGTTGGTTGGTGCTCCTAGAGCAAATACAACTACAATAAAGGGTGTAATTGAACCAGGGGTTGTATATCAATGTCCAATTAATGATACGTGTAAAGAGTGGACTTTCGATAAAACTGGAAATGGTCGACACGAACGGTATCCCGATATATATCAGAATAAAAATAATGGATGGATCGGTGCAGCAATTGCTGTAGAAAATAGAAGTGATCCTAGAGTTGTGGTATGTTAACATTTTATTTATGTTTTTATAAGTTTACTTTCGTATTTTCTTTCAAACATAAATTTCGAAGTAATTAAATTTATAATAGGTTTGTAGTCCACGATATAGAAATAAAATGTTTATGAATGGTATCTGTTACTGGATAGCAGTTAAAAACATTGAGTCTAAAAAATTGATTGGAACAATAGATTTCAAGTTGGAAAGGGTAGGACAGGCTGGTTTTTCATTACACATTACATCCAATGAATCACAACAGGCTCTATTAGGTAGTCCAGGTATATTATTAGGGAGAGGTATACCCATGTTAGTTGTAAAATCACTTGACAATAAAATGCAAACACTAATTCCTGCAATTGAAAACGGAATAGTTACGCATGATTCGTATTTTGGTAAATATTACACTTTTACTATTATCATACATTTAACACAATATCTTTTCTAAATACAGTACAACCTCGCTAATCCGATACAGTTCATATTTTACTTCTTTATTTCTTCTACAGACATATTATGAAAAGGAATTTTAATTAAAGAATAGAAACAGACCTACGTTGTCACATAAAAAAACAAGTACAATTTTGGAATCTAGCATCAATGAATAATGTTCATAAATAATAACTTTACAACGACGTTTTTTTTTTAAATTTAATTCTGTACTTTGTAAATTGACATAAAGATATTACTTTACAAGAATATTTAATTTTCTTAAGAGCTCAATGGAAACATGTTTCCTCAAAAATGTTTTTTAACAATACATTTAATTCATTGAATCGTTGATCATAAATTTTATTAAAGGATTCACAGAGTTTTGTCATTAGATAGGATTCACTGTGTATTTAGGTAAAACAGTTATCTAATCTCACAAAATTAATTTTATCTAATTCATGTAGTTTCCAAAATGTGTGTTATAGATTAAAATGTAAATTGTAAAAAAATAAAAAAGAATTTATAATACTTAATCTAGGTTACTCTGTAACATCTGGCTGTTATTTTAAACAAGGAGAATTGTGGTTTGCCTCTGGTGCTCCAAGAGCTGCAGATATGCATGGAAATGTTATTATATTTAGATTTCCTAATGAAAGTAAACAACCTTTACTAGTGAAAAAGAAGGTAGCTGGTGAGCAATATGGTGAATACTTTGGAGCTGCTTTATCATCATGTGATCTTAATGGTGATGGTAAAGATGAATTAATCATTGGTGCCCCGCAATGGGCAAAAGACATAAACGAGGGTCGAATATATGTTTTTAGCACTTCTTATAATGTAAATAAAATTTGTAATATAAGAATAGCAAGAAATGTAATACAATACAAATTACATATAAATGCTAAATTCGTAATTGAACAAAAAAAATTCGTACAATAATTTAATACTTAATGTACGTACTAATTTTACATATTTACCATAGGAAATTTTTGTAAAACAATTATTTGATGGAGAAGTACCTGAAAGTCGATTTGGTTCTGTGATAACTTGTCTAGGAGATATTGATTATGATGGTTACGCTGATATTGCTGTTGGTGCACCATACGAGAAGCAATTTGGTGCAATATACATTTTTAATGGCAATAGTAATGGATTACCTAAATTTTATAGTCAAAAGATAATTGGCAGACAATTTGGGGAAAACGTTCGGGGATTTGGAATTTCAATTTCAGAACCTCGTGACATAAATGGTGATAAATATTCTGATATTGCTGTGGGAGCTTATCTCTCAGATCAGGCAATTTTAATTAAGTCTAAATCAGTTGTTAAAATAACAACAAATTTAAAGTATTTAGAGAAAGAAAAATTACTAAGCAATTCTACATTTTTTATTATCAATGTGTGTACATGTTATGATACAATAAATGAGCCTAAATATCTCCGTGAGTATATGATGAAGGCCATATATATTTATATATATCAATATATATAAAAACCTTGAACAAATTAAATTGTATTTAGGAATTGTTAAATTTTTAAAAATTGATCAAATGTATGGAAGAGCTTTGTACCATGATGTAGGAGGTAATAATGGTAGTGTGTACAAATTTTATGATATGTTACACAAATCTAAAACTTTATGCAGTCCAATTAAGCTATATTTAGAGGTGAGTTATTGTATATTTTTTTTTATGACAAATTTGTATTATATTTGATTAATATTTTTAGAAAAATATTAAAAATGTAATAGATCCACTTGAAATATCTGTATCAGTTACTTTAGAGGAAGAATCACAATCTAAAAATAAAGAGACTAATTCGCATGTTCCCTGTACATCTTGTCCAGTTATAAATAAATATCTGTCTAAAACTGAAGATTTTATCAAATTGCCATTTACGTTAGATTGTGGGGAAAATGATATTTGTATATCAGATATTAGAGTAGAACTTTCAACGAACTTAGAGTTTGATAACAAATTTATCATTGGATCTACAACCACTGTCAAATTTATGATAAATGTTTCTAATTATGGTGAACCAGCATATCAATCTAAAATATTTGTATATATTCCGGAAATATTATCGCTAGCAAGTGTACCTCTTTCATGTATGGAAAGTTCATACCTGCATAATATTTTAGAAGTAATTTGTGATATTGGAAATCCACTTAGACAAAATGTAAGTTTTATCTATTATGTAGGACAATTCTTAAATAAAATTATACAAATTGTATTTTTTTATTAGAAAACATTAATTTTGGAGTTGGATATGAGCAAAGTTCAGTTTGGTATCGATCATGTAGAACTATGGACGAATTTTACAACTCAAAGCAAACGAAAGGACTCACGCAACACGGGTACTTTGTTGACTATCTATTTCGATGTTGATGTCGACGTAGTGGTAGCAGGGTTAATATCACTACACATATTTGTCATTAAGAGATAAAATTAGTTTTATACTTATTTTTTTCGTGCGTATTTCTTAGGAAAGTAAACGGTGACTCATACTCGTATTTTTATAAAAACGAAAAAGAGCAACTCACTAATCTCCAATTCGAGCATATTTATGAAGTTCAAAAATTCGGTGTTAGTCCAATTGACAAAGTTATACTAGCAATTAGTATGCCAACTTATTGGAAAGATTCTAGTGGAGATATACCAATTATTAATATCAATAAAACAATTGGTCAAATGAATGGACAACAATTTAATTGCATGCACTCAAACTATACACCTTCCACGTCTTTAATTGATAGACCTAAAATTCCTCCTATAAATTTTGATTTAGATACACAAGAAAAATTTACATTGGCAACTAATTTTTCAATTAATTTGCCCCCTGAGAATAGATCAGTGTACATTAATTGTACGAACACTAATGTACATTGTACATATATTCAGTGCAACTTGGGTCCTTTTACAGATTTTTCATCTGTTGCTAAACTTTCACTTGTACTGGACCTTTATCTCATAAATTTGAAATGTAAAGTATTTCTTATATATATTTAATATATTTTTAATTCTCAAATATATCTTAACAAAATGCATAATTTGTGCTTCACTTTTTATTGCAGCAAATATGATAGAAGAAAAAGATATCATACTTTTCGTGTCTAATGGAAGTGTTAGCATTATGCAACCATATAATATCCATCAAAAATTTGGACACAAACCTGATAGCACCATTGTAACCACAATGTTTTTAGGGTCACCAATAACTAAGCCAGTTGCTACTTGGATAATAGCTTTATCAATTATTATAGGAATTGTGTTGCTCATATTTTTAATTTTGGGACTGATTACAATTGGATTTTTTAATAGAACAAAGAAGGAGGAACTTGAAGCATTAAAATCTAAAACAGATGTAAGTTTACTATAACTGAAGAATTTTTGTATCCCACAATTAGGAGATACCTAGTACATTTATTATGTTATAGGAAGAACATAATATTATCCTGGAAACAAGTTCATGTAGGAAAGTGCTTGACGAAGAGTAGGTTTACTAATAGAGACAAATATTCAAATTTATATATATATTTCTTATTTCTTATGCATTAAGTAAATAGAATGAATAACAAAGTGTTCTGCATTCAATAAACATATATAAAGCATATATTCTTCTAAGGCTACCAATATTTTTATAAAAATATAATAAATCTTAAAAAATATTAATCTGATGATAAATCTCTATCTTCGGAAAAGCTGTACAACAAATATTTTATTTTGTTACGTTTCTAATTTTCGCCTAACAATAAGATACATGATACTCTGTAAAAGCATATTTGGAGCGGAATTGTCTTAAATAAATAATTTATATACAAAATATCAATTTGCGTGGTATGAGATTCAGGCAATTTGTTCCATCCTTCTGTACTTTATCTATTCAAATATTCTATGCTCGAAATTAAATTAGTCGTACATTTTCTCCAAATAAATATTTTTCTTAATTTCAGAAATTATATAATCTCATCACAATGAAGTGGGTTGTACGCTTCTACAAGTTAAATATTTACAAGCAATATTTTGTAGTAATTAAATTAGCTGCCTTTTACGTTAAAAATATTTAACTTCTTTTGTCATGTTTGCGATAATGCAATGCATTTTAAATTATATGACTATGCAAGAGCATAAAATATTTCTTCTCTGTATATCTTTTTTCTATATGGGTTTTCACTTCAACTTACATTAATCGTCCAAACCTAGGCCTTTTGAAATTTCATCTGCAGTTAATTTATGTCCTGAAGTAGGACTATCAGCAGGTGGAACAGGTTGTGTAGATGGTGGAGTACTTGGCGCATAAGTTGGTGGAGGTGCTGGATGGTTTTCTCCACGGGATTTCTGCATACAAAATAAAATTACGCGATTAGAATATAAAATACATAAATTTGCAATTTTGGAATCATCTTCTTACTTACATCTTTACCATGTTTGCTTAGACCATCCAAAGCAGAGCTGAACAGAGAAGATCCAATTGCAGAACCTATTCCAGATAAAAGATCCGAACCTGAGCTTGACTGCTGGTTAGAATAACCACCAGAAGGTTGATAATTTCCATAACCTCCTGAAGGTTGATATCCTGGTTGTTGATTTCCACCACCTCCGAAAACACCACCAATGATGGATCCTAGGGTTCCTGCTAGTGGATCAGTTGGCTGACTTTGTGGTTGTGCCGGCGCCGCATTATTACCACCTTGTGTAATACATATAGACTCAATTTACTCAAATGTAGTTATAATACCATATATGTTATTTATATATCATGAATCATGGATTACCTAATGCTCCAAGGATAGAGCCTAAGACGCCACCACTTGATTCTTGAGGAGGATAGCCTTGTTGCGCATGCGTGTTGTTTTGCAAAGCATTGGTCACTAAGCTGCTTGCTAAAGCTGCACCAAGAGATCCAAGGTTTCCTAAACCTCCCTCGCTTTCCGTTTTTGTCTTAGAAGCGTCTGATTTTTCATGATCTTTTTCACTTTCATCCTCTTTTTTTTTCTGTAAATTTTAATCAGAATACATTCTTTGAAAGCTATACTATTGTTAGTTACTAAATATACGTACAGTCAGTGCGTGCGCAGCAGTAGCTATGCCTCCCGCAGCAACTAATCCTCCTAATGCTAGACCAACTTTATCTAAACAGGCACTGAATGTACTTTCTTCTTCGGGTTTTTCATATCCAGGTTGGTATCCGTACATGTTTGGGGGATTATAACCTTGTCCTCCAAATGAATTTGGTGGAGGACCATAGCCAGCTGGTGGGGGACCATAACCAGCTAGAGGAGGTGGACCATATCCACCTTGCGGCGTTTGCGAGCCTATCGTTGGATACAATCCACCTGGTGCTAAATTGAATAATTAATATTTATACTATTTATAAAACTTATTGTTAACAAGTAAAATAAAATATCAATTTTATTAACACATTTGCTACTTGTTAGATTTTTGCTAAACTTGTGCTGTATTAAAATTATTTCTATGCTGTAAAGCAAATATTTGTACTTGATAAATAAATGTTTGTAACCAGTGTTGTATGGCAATATATCCAGTTTAATACCAGATAATACGAATTAAAGGTAATCGTATATAGCAAAAATATATACAGATTTGGATCTAAGATGTCAGTAACAAATGTGTTAAAATGTGTACAAAAATATGTAGAATGTTTTATTACGGGGTGGTCCAAAGTTAGCTGCTGGTACATCTGGTGGAGGTGCAGCTCTAGGAGAACGTGGCGGGTCGACAGGAACATTTTCATATGAAATAGAATTTACTTCTACATCTCCGTCGATAACCAAATGTGTAACTTTCTCATAAGGCAATCGGTGAGCAAACTCTGTAAAATGTCTGCCATTTATGGCAATCTTATAAGATGTATGATCGCACAAAAGAAATATCTCAAATTCTTGTCCAGGTTGAATCCACATGGGCCCCTCGTTCTCTTCGATACCCCAATTCATTGATTCTATATGATTTCTAGTAACAAAGCCTTCCGTAAAGCGAGGCGAAACATGGATCGCAATATCATCTCTTGGATTTAATGTAGGCCCCAGCTGATAATTGACAGCAAAACGTACTGCATTCGAAGGAACTTTCCCTTGAATTTTTACCATTTTTCCAGGTACCAGACCACCTTGAACAGCTTCCACACATGGAATTGGCTGTTAAAATTAATAAATTTATTAATATAATATTCATATAATATTTCTTTAATTCATGAGTACATATATGGGAAAAAGATTATGTGACAGTTATTGGTAGACTATTTTCTAAGCTCATATAATGATTATATTTTCTTTTTATAATAACAAATATATATATACATATATTTTTACATAAGTCTTTCCTAAGTTAAATACAAAATATGTAATTCATGTAATTCTGAGTGGTTGTAATAGTACATAAGAAATAGCAAAACTAAGGATGATTTAAAAACATACTATTATACCTATTATTTCTTATATTTAATTTATACATTATGCTATATTACGCGTAATGTACTATAAAAGTACTATTAAGACATAAACGTAATTCTTTAATGATTAATAAATGTTTGCATAGAGTAGTTTCACACTTCATATAATGTATATGTTGAATTTATAGAATTCAAAAATTCGTTGTTTCAGGATTCGTTATTCACGTTATTCGAATAAACGATAAATCACATTTAATTGCAATTAATACGTTATTGCGTATATTAAGTCCGTCTAGATCAATGACAATCACTTTTCTAGCATCACTAAGTTAAGTTGTTTTGTAAATAATTCCATGGAAGAATACTTACAGGATTTAATACTGGTTCAGATGACATTTTTGTCAATTGTTTGTATGTCACAAGTGGCGCTAAGATTTATGTTTTGGTACAAAATTAGAGGATAGCGGACACTGCTTAGTATACGAGGTCGAGATGCGACTTCCCTTCCAATTCTCATAAAACACATCTATTTAGAGTGCTGACGTTTCCAGCTTGAACTGTGGCATTGCGGCACTAACTGTACGTGATGCAACACGGACGCGCAGTGGTTTTCTGCGCACATGCATTTTCAAATTCACGTAGTATCGTGATCGCATCATATTACGAATTAACGATTGATCGATTAATGATTATTTTTGTCGTTAATCGATTACAGAAGCGATAAAAAAATAATCTATCACTGCCGAAGTCAGCCCGAAGGTAGATATCAAACCTCTCTAATTTCGGTTTGAATTATAAGTGAAGAAATGAATAGTTGCATAATACCAGATACTGGCAAAATTTTATTTGAATAATAAACGACGAATAAAAGCACCGTACTGAGATTTATTTACGATGTTTATTCGATTGCTTGGTTATTGGTTGTTAGACAAACTTTTATTCTTATCTAATTTTGTCAGTATATTCACATTCTTTACTTTTTTTTGCATATCCATATAATTTCACATCATTATTATCATAAATCAACTTCTAATTGTTGATTTGCACACTAATAATTGACCGATATTAAGTTTTTTAAATAAATAAAAAAAAATAAGGAAAATGTAGCGCCATCTCTCGGCGAACAACCCAAGTTTGTCATGAAGTAGTTTCCACCTCGCGCCGCTAGATGTCGCAACAAACATGAAATTATTCAAAACATGAATTCTCTACTTTTCTCTGCATATAAATGTAATTTTGCACCATATTTATGATAATCCAACTTCTAATTGTTGATTTGTACAGTAATAATTGACTAACGTTTAGTTTTTTAAATAAATAGTAATAACGAAATATGTAGCGCCATTTAGCGGCACGAGGTGGGAACTATTTCATGTCAAACTTGGGCAGTTCGCCGATAGATGGCGTCACATTTATTGTTATTTTTATTTCTTTAAAAAACTAGGCATTAGACAGTTATTAGTATTCTAATCGACAATTATTAGTTAAACTATAGGGATGTATGTTGAATGATGACATACGGCGGTGTATGACGGACGACGTGTTGCTATGACGACGAAATATATTTAATTCATAATCACCGAATGATATGATTCGTTAATATTTAACAGTCTCTTCGGATGGTACAAGTTCCAATTTTACAGAGTACCGGTACGGAACAAGTGGCTCCATTAAAATTATCGCTCAATGATTGCGCAATTAATTGATAGAACAGTTACAGTTGAGCACGCGCGTATTATCGCCTACGCTCATTTTTGCCCGTACATTGTTTAACGCTAACAGGAAACTAAATAAACCGTTCATTGAGATATACCAGTCGCTGGCGCGAAAGAGAATTATCTTGGCGTGGAACAAGTAAACAACTGAACTGGAGCAAGTTAACCCTCTGTGGTCAATTGGCACCGTTAATATAATTATAATCGTAATTATAATCACCACTAAAATTGATGAATGCGATAAATTCTGGAATATTTATCAAATTCACCAATGATTTTATATAATCCCCAACTCGTAATGGGGAATGTGATAAACTTGTTAATGCATATGCTGTCTACACAGAAATACTGTCTGAGTAGGTTTAGACCTAGTCTTTCGTTGGACATTATCACGCGAGAGGCTGCGAATAACAATATTTTATAATTTAAAATTAAAAATTCAATTAACGGTTATTTTTAAGTCACATGGATGTAGCGTGAACATTTATTCTAATCGTCCATTTTTAGTATTCATGTATCGATTTGTTGATTTAGTCAAATATGGATTTAGCCGTCAAGGGGTGGGAGGGTTTCGTGGTAAGTGTACGGCTGTAAGGACGTTAAATTGAAATTTCCAAAAATTGTTATCATATTATAAGCAATTGAATTTGTCTTCTTGTCAGTTACAATATTACAATAATTCAAATACTTCATGTCATTAAAAAAAAAGGCCGATGAATAAAAATGAATAAAATACAAGGAAACGTATCGTGACCACAAATTGTGGATATTATCTAACTATTTAGGAGTTCATACATGCAAGGTGTGTCACTATATAAAGTATCTGAAGCGTGCAAGGGATAGGCATCGGCACACCTATAATAGGTCGGATATAAATCAAACGATTCAACTGGCAAACGACTTCATCGATCTTGTCAATTCATTTTTGAAATAATTTCCAATCGTATTTCAATACAGGATAAAATTAATGTAATTTACTAGAAACTCATGTATGAAATTCATGTATGATCACGGATAACTTAAGAAATGTGCATCGGATCAAAAAACATCTCGTTTAATTATTTAATTAACTTATGTAATTGTCGAAATATTATAGGCTTCTGTGATCTTTTTCGGATCGTTTCGAAGCAACGGAAAACGAACTGTTTAGAGAACGTTTGAGAATAATTTTTTCTACGAAGGCATGGTAGGTAGAGGACTGAACCAATGTAAGGACTCCTCGACGAGATCAATAAGCAACGTAAGCGGACCCTTCTTCGCAAGGCTTTCAATGCTTTCTTATAAGCAGCCTACGACACCGATTGCTTTATACGCCATACACTCGTCCTATCCATCCTTACACATCCAGGTGTTCTCCATTGTATGAACCGCTCACGTTCATACACATATCTATTCAATTGTTTGAGGCACGCATTCGTAAATACGGATTTTAACACAGGTCTGGACATAAATATATGAATTGACATAATTATTTAGGAAAATAGGAAATAATTATTTGAAGTTAAAAGTAATATCAATTCACTTGAAATAATTGCTATTACAAATAACGAATTATTCGCTAATTTTTTCATTTCAAATTTAACGAAAGGAAACAGCCTTAAAATAATATAATTATTATTTAAGAGGTTTTAAATAAAATTCGATGCATCGTTTCGTAACATCTTTTAATACAAAATATATAACATTTACAATGACAAAATATCGAATGCAATCATACATATCGTACAATGAAGTACTATAACAGTGTCGCGAAATAAAATTCGATACATCTTTTCCTAACATTTCTTAATAATAAATTATATAACATTTACAATGACAAAATATCGAATACTTTGTTGAACGATGAAGTAATTTTAACAAACGATCCTTCGATTATTTCGAACCGTACGCATTCCATGAAACAATTACCCTGCAATTCTTTGGTACGTATACAGGGTGTCCCAAAAGTCGGGGACGAGCCGGAAATGGGGGGTAGCTGAGACGATTCTGAACAACAATTTCCTTTGCAAAAATGTCGGATGGGGCTTCGTTAAGGAGATATTAAGAGAAAACCCCGACCAATCAGAGCGCGCGTAGACCGTTGGAGCGGCCGCGGTAGCGAAGGCTACGCGCTAGGCGGCAGCGTCAATGTCCTTCGATGCACGTCGAGTCACTTGTTCGCGTACAAGCGC